TCCTAGAGAGCAGAGAGATTGGATTTCATAGCTGTCCACCTGCACCTCCAGGGAGATACTGAGCATCATGTTCGGAATGCTTTCCTTTCTGCTGCCCTTGCCAAGGAAAGAACATGGATTTTTATTGTCCCTCATCAGTTCCAAACATCTCCAACTGCTTTAGAGTTATCATCATCCAGGGCGCAGGCTGCATTTATAGACAGGCGTTCGAGCCAGCAAAGTCCTCAACCAGCTCCTTTGACCAATGGTCGATTCCTGCATTACCCCAACTTCTAGTGACCTTTGTGAGTGTAAGTCGCTGTGAGTTTGGAAATGTAGAGAGAGGGAGGAAGCTTTTCACAAGAGTTTTGAAGGCAGGAAGGGAGCAGGCATTTAGTGGCTGAACACTCAATGACAACAACATATTACAGAGAGAACGTCCCAAGGTGCTGGAAGGCTAAGGGTTTGTACCCGAGCTTGGGGTTAGAATCAAAAGGAGTGGAGAGTAAGGGGGGTGGGAGGGTGGTCGAAGGCATGGACAAAGAGGAGGGTCTTGAGACGACTCGAAGGAGATGAGGCAGAGGGATTTGAGGATGGAGGGTGGAGCAGAAAAGCTGAAGCCCCAACCACCAACGGTGGGGTGGGCAGGACGGGGAAAATTGAGCAGGCTGAATGAAGGAAGCAGACAGATTGGTATGGTGTAAAGAGCTCACCGAGGTAATGAGGGCTTTAAAAGTGAAGACCGCTAATGGTGGGATGGAGGAAGTGAGGACCAAGGAGCAGACCAGATTAGCACAAGCCAGTGGGGGGGGTGGAGGGGGGAGGAGGAGGAATGTTGCTGGAATGTTGTGGTTTTAGACTTATCCCGGTTTCCGCATCCAATAAATGTTTCACTGAGCTGATAGGGAGGCAGTGCAGTGTTGAGGCAGACCCTTCGCTCTTGGTCTCGTGCCAGGCAGAATCCTGACAGCTGAACAGCTGCACACAGTCACTGTGTCCAAGCAGCACTCACTGCCCGGCTTCTCGTTACCTGGGTTTATCCGGTCGGTTTCCTTGTTTTTAGTATCAGTCGGAAGCCGGGCCGGTATTTGGGGCTGGCGAGGGCACAGATTAAGGCATGTGTCCAGGAATATCCTTTCTAATTATCTCCTGGAGATAATTTCAGTCACTTCTTGCCTTTAGCTGAATGGAGGTAAGTGAGGCTTTAGCTGTTAAACTTCTGATGTTTTTCATTTAGGAACCGCGAGCAAAGGATATTGCGATTGATGTGTTTTTCTGTGAGTGTAAAACTAACTTTAATTCCCAATGGGCTTTGTTATCTGTGTCCAGCGCAGCTCCCTAACTGTCTTCCTCTCTGCACGTATCTCTGACTCTCAGCCTGTCTTGGTCTTACGCAGTCTCACCTCTGGATTAGAAGGTTGTTGGGTTCAAGCCCTCACACCAGGGGTCTGAGCTCGCAATCTAGGCTGAGTGGAACGCTACCAAGTCGGAGATGCTGTCCAGTCCTTCGGGTGAGATTAACCAGGGTCCGTGCCCTATTTAGACATTAATGATCCTGCGACACAATTGTAAACGAGAAATAACCCGATGCTAGATCTGAACTTTAGAGCGTGGGTGAAGAGCTCCCGAAGGCAGTGATGCAGAGGGACACTGAGGAATGAGGGAGCTCAATGCTGAGCATCTCATCCGCTGGTGTCAGTGTCTGCAGGCACCTGCCCTTGACCAGTGACCCAATAAGCGCTGGTTTATCAATCGCAGCAGTTCCTGTGACTTGGAGTCAAACGACCGTCCAGTAGGAACATGTCCAAAACCAGCCCCAGGCTGGAGGTTTGGGCCAAACCAGGAAAAAGTGCCGAGAGCATTGCCCACGCCAGCGGTCTGATTACACCCGGCTGGTAAACATGGCCTTCTCTCTGCCAAACAAACACCCACACACTTCCCTCCTAGAGTGATGTCATCCCCAGTCTCGCTTTCACTGCCTGACGTGTTGTAGCCGCATTTGATGATGTACTTAATAATGTTCCTCTGCACCCAATGTAGTCTGCCAACCACCTGCCCTCTCCACCCACCCTCAGCTCCGCTTTCTCCCCTTGGTTTCCGAGCTCACAACCACTCCAGAAACCCCTTCCCAAAGTCCTTCTGCCTCTCGTCCTCAAAAACTCTCCAGCTGGTTAGCCTCAGGGCTGCGGGCCTGACAGTTGCACAAGTTGCCATTCGCCTAAAAGGCACAGTCACTACGCAGTTACCTGATAGCAATTCTCAGCGAATTATCCTGAGATATTTTGCCATTAGAGCTGTTTATCCAGCAGAATTATCATTATTATTTATTATTATTATTATCATTTAATATTGACGAGAGATTCCTGACTGCAGGAGGCCGGGGGTCAGGTTAGCTCTTGCCTTCTTATTTATACTAAGCCAAATGTTGCTGTCGGGAGCTTCCTGTTTTTGTGCTCGCTGAGAGTTTCGTAACTGTGTCCTCATAGCTCCTAGCAGTTGCAGACGGAGCCCATGAAACAGAGGAAGTGAAGCAGCCTGTTTGTTCCGAGATGTTGGTGTGGAGGGGGAAGCGAGAAATAACACATTGGGGTGGGGGGGGGGGGGGGCGGTGTCACTCGTGGTGCACAGTAATGGCGACTGGTGTGTCTGACAGGGTAATTGTTCGTCCCTAGTTACTGATTATTAATAGTATCTGTAACCTTCAAACTTCTTCACAGGGAATCACGGTCGAGTGTAGTGACTGTGGATTTACAGGGTGCTGCTGATTTGCGCACAGCAATGTCCCGCGCGCGCACAGCCATGAAGTGAGCGACCGACTGATTTTATCTGGAGGATTTATCCAGAGGCCAGGACGCCAGGAGAGGGAATTCTCCCTTCTCTCTTCGCATCGCGCGATCTATACACTGAGCGGGGAACAGCCAGAAAGCACGGGTCCGCGGTTTAACGTCTCATCCGAAGGCCTGGTGCCTCGGACAATTGGGAATGTTTTGCCCCACACCCCACCCCGGGGCGCTGCGATGGAGGGTCAGCCTGGAACGTGAGTCTAGTTGATAATGATACGCTTTATTGGAATCAATTCCATCTCAACCTCACTGCAGGAAATGTGCTGCTATTTACATCCACCAACTCAGCTATGGCAGGTTACAAAGCCACTTCCTGTTATCTCAACCCTTGGAGCTGATTGACATGGGTTTTGGGGGTGGGGGGGAAGGGAGGAGAAAGGGAGAGATATGGGCAGCCGTACGCTATCCCTGACAGATGGGAGAAACTTCCTGTAAACCTACACGACTGATCCTCCACAAATACCATGGTTTATTTCCTAAAGTTAACAGGAAGTAACTGCTTACTGACATGTGGTTCTCCTCCTCTCTGCCCCCATCTCCCCCCCCCCCCCCCGCCCCGCGCCGGCCACTTGTAAACACAGTTAACACTGAGAGCTTTGTCAATTAGTCAGAGTGCTTTTTGGACTTCTACAATTAGAGAAATAGCTCTATTTCTTACAATTAAATATTTCTTCACATGGGGGAGGGGGGCACTGGCCATGAGCATGTAGAACCTGACTATAGAGGGCAGCATCGATTAAGACATTTAAAGGAAGTGAATTTAAGGGAAGTAAGAGAGAGGCATTAAGCCCTACAAAAGAAGTGTCAAGGAAATGGGACTAAAAGATCTGACGAGATCCAATAAACCTGTCACACTACTCGTACAGCCGAGGAAGTGAATCCTTCGCAACTGAGCTTTACCTGAGCGTTCTGCGTCACTATCTAGTTCCTTCTCTATTTTCAGATTATCGTCATCATTGCCTTTTTCCAATAAGTCGATTTAGTTTCCGTTTGCCTTGTGATTCCAGTTGATATGAATTTCCTTCCACTATTTACCCTCCCTCCCCCGCCCCGATGATCTTGCCTTAAGGTGCAATGAGTTGGCTTCTCAGATTCCCCTTTTCTCCTCTCACCCCAATCAATATCTCAATTATCATAGGATGGAACTACCAGGATGGTAGAGGCGAACTAGATGGACCTTGGTGTTCTTTTGTCTAGAGTTTTACCCCACCACCCCCCAACCGCTCTTTGTGGGATGGACCTGGTGCCTTTCTCTCTCCACCACATACCATTAACGAACCTCGATCTGCAGAGCACCCACCTGAGGTGCTGTGTGTGGCCTTGGAAGGTGCTGCACCCTTTTTCGCCAAAGGGCACCATGATGGAGATGATTGATGGTGAATGCACACTGTGACTGGAGCCTGTGGCTCAGAGCATCTTCCTAGTGGGTGTAGCTTCCTTGCTGTTGAGCTGTTCAGCTCTGACATCCACATGACGGTGCATAGCCTCCTTTCGTGAGGGGCGGGCTCTTGCGTTTCTATTGCATTTGCCGTGACAACAGTTTGTGATTGATCTTGTCTTTGGAGGCAGAGTGCCAGGGGCGCGGAGGAGTGTGTGTGTGAAATAGCTGCAAATGTTTCGAACCAAAATAAGTGTCTGTTCTGGCAAAACCAGGAGCCTGTTTCAGTTCAAATCTGTAACCTGTATTTCCGTCAGATTTTCTGCCACTAGAGGTCATTGGTCAGCTGTGGAGGAAAATTGGCAGCATCTCAATCTACTCCACGGATCCAAACGCATTTAACATTGTTAATTGCCAGACCTGAACCCCGGAGCGGCAGCAGAATTTGTTTGGAGATGGAGAGAGGGAGTGGGGGGCTGGGTTGATAAGCTTCTCTGAAAAGCCAACGCAACTTGAATTTTTTTTTGCCACGTGTGGCTTTAAATTAATGTGGACCTCCTTTCGCCCACAAATATACAGTTAATTCACTTTGCAGTGTATTCTGTGAAGCACTTTGAGATGTCTAGAAGACGTGAAAAGCGCTATATCAAATACAAGGATTATTATCATTATTATTTGCCACCTTTCCTCTTATTCTCCCCCGTAACTAAATTTGCTGGTGACCAGCAGAAACTGTAGGACTGAAGACACCATGTTTTAAAGATTATTCCCAGCGATTTGAGACAGAGTCACGGAAGGGTGAACTTGAGAGATTGAGTGGTGTGGGTGTGGGTCAGCACTTCAGCAGTGACTCAAATTTGAGGAACTAAGGCTGAGAATCTACCATCAGAGACGTCACATGGTGATGAGTGGCCACTTCTGTGGTTTTTACCAGAATGTTACTGGAGGAGGAAAGACGTTGAAGAGATAGCAAAATGTCTTATTCCGTTCTGATGTGGCGGGGGTTCTGACAAGCCTGTGCCTGCTCGCTGCTGAAACGCTATGTTTAAGATATTGTTTAGGAGCAAGACCAGGTTACAAGAGGCAAGTCTTTACTGCCTGCGGTTTGGACTGGGGCGTGGGGGGCCTGGGTGTAGAGACTTTAACCTGCTGTGTAGTTTTATCTGGTTAACCAGTCATGCTTATGGGGATCGCCGAGTCCTGTGGATTACACTTGAGTTTCTTTCTGCAGCTTTTTTTTTCTCTCTCTCTGTTTGAGCAAGAGTGATGTGTCAAGCTTTAATGACTGAGCTATTTCAGCTGGAGTCTCTCTCTCTTTTTCACACACACAGAGACATCTAGTTCTAGGTCTTAGTTTTGTCTCCTGTTGAATGCAGGTCCTGGATCCAGGTGATAATAATGGGGAATATACTGGGTGATCCAGTGGTTAGAGGCCATGAAACCCTTTAACCCAGCAGCTGAACATTTTTCGCCAAATTTATGGTTTCGGTTGTGAATTAAAGGGATCGTGAATTAAATGGGAGGGGCAATATGCTATTAGGTGTGGGGGGGCTTGATGTTGTTTTGGGGGTGTGGGAGGGAGTGTGGGTATTGTTGGTGGGGCAGCGAACGGCTGATGTAGGGAAACTCTGAAGACTGGATGCAGTTTCTTTAACTGAAGAAGAAATGCTCGCTGGTGGGAGAGCATTGAGCTAAGTTTAGACTCTGCGACTCTGTGAATTACATCTACTTTATTTTGTGACTCTTAATCCAGGTGAAATCAGAAATCACAGGGATAGAGAAGGAGTTTGCCTCTTTAATGTGTAAGGTAAGACCCCAATGTTTGCCACACTCTCTATCCTATCTCTGAGCCCTGCATTGGGACAGAGAGAAGCTGTCGATTTCAGCAGGAAAAAGAATTTACACACTCTGTTGGCTGGTTCCAGCTCGCTTTTCAGCTCCCCTATGATTGTTACCTCTTCATCACCTTCCTCTCCGACTCTGACTCTTCGCTTACACTCCTCTCTTGGAATCTCTTGCAAAACGATGTGGCCAGGTCGCTTCTGTCTCAGTTCCTAGTTGTGATCACCTACCATCCAGTTACTGACTCTCTCTCTCTCCCCCGCGGAAATAATCTGTAACCACTGAAGACCCATCTGCAAGCGCTCTAGGGTTCTAGGGCAGGCCACTCACATGGGCTCACATGCCCCACACGCAGCTGGACAGCTGAGCACAACGATAGCAGGGCTGCTGCAACTGAGGCCTGGCCAAGGCTTGGGTTTCACCTCGTCTCTCAATGGATAGGATTCCAGGTCACTCGATAACCGTTTTCCCACTGGGAAAAACATCTTGAAACTTGTGCTGCTACTTCTTTTGTAAGTGCTCTCCCGTCCACGCGTACGCACGCGCGCGCACACGCATGCTCCCAACCCGCCAAGCGTGACGGTGACTGTGCCAGCAATGCCCACCGGGAGCTGCTTTTCTGACGTGGTTTATTTTTGCAAATTGCAGCATTTTGCTCTAGAAAGAGCGACTCAGCCAAAATGGCTTGCAAGCTCGTGCCTTGTACAAGGTGACTCACAGCTAAAAAGCGCTGGTGATATTGATTCCTGGCTGTGCTGCGAATTGAAACAATAAATATAGACAATTCAACCCGTTTCCCCCAACCCCTCCCACCACCGCCACCACCGCCCCTGCACAAGAGCTTTGATACATCTCTCATTATCACCCTCTTTGATGCAGCACTTAAGTTCTCCAGGATTCGCTGTCTTCTCTGTCGGACATGTTTGAGCATTTCCGAGACCTTTTGTGCTGAGACACAAAACAGCTGATCTCCCGCAGCAACTTGTGATTCTGAAGTCTGCTTCTTGACACACGCTTAAAAATAATCACCACCACCCCCCACCCCCTTCTCTTGTGCATTCAGTGACCCATGTACGATTACTATGCTGTGTCACTGCCTCCAGAGTTGCTTGTGGGCTGGGACTTAGGTTAACATCTCATCTGAAGGACGAAGCACTGCAATGCAGAGGCGCAGACCAGGCGAGCACAAGTCTAGCGGCAGAAAGCAGTGTGTGTTACTATTTTGTGAACTCTAACCCTGTTTCAGGAGACAAACTGAGTGTCTGTGGTCTACTCTGTCGTCTTGTCAGGCCTCTTGGCCAAGAAGCCATTACCTCTTTACCTCCAAATTACCCCAAATTCCACCTAGTCTCAGCATATCGCGCAGTTCTGTCCACAAACTTCAAGATGGCCCAGAATTGTGGAGAACTCTTAAATCCAGCCTTCATTTGAAAGCCTGTTTTAGCGCACATCTTCAAACGAAAAAAGTTTCGATTAAGTTGTAATTTCAGAATTTTCCCCCAAAAATACCGTGCAATGTTTTGGAGCAAGGCTAAGACGAAGTAGCTTTGCTGGAGCTGTGCAAAGGTGAGGAGTACAGATTTGGTGTGTGTCTCTAGGGTAGCTCTGTGCTATATTGGGGGGGAGGGGGAGGGGGTTTCAGTTAATGCCTCGCTCCTCATTGCCGAACCAGGTGCTGTACTGTTGCACAGCGGAGACGTCAGTGGGCTCCTGCTCGCTCTTGGCCAATCGCTTCTCTCGACTCTGTGAACAGCTGATGTTATCTATGCGTGCTGTTTCTGCACAGGAAACCTAACTTTCCTGTGCGCTGTTTGAGCGATCGCTCGAACTATCCTTTTCTGCTTCTGCTGCGAGCCTGTAGCCCTTGAATGCCGTGCGGGCGGTGCATGTGGCTGCTTCCAGCCGCCCGTCCCCGCTGCTCTAAATGGAATTGTGATGGACAACGGGTCGAGAAAGTTTGCTCTGCTCAAGATTTTCTCCTTTCACCGTCGCAAGAAATACCCGGTTGTTGACTGTGACCCATGTCCGGAGAGCTGTGAACAGGTACTAGATTGCACACAGCCCTGCTGGTCAGGTTTCCAGGGCAGAGGATTTGTTGTGCATGACCCGATTGATCAATTGATTGTTTGATCAATTGATTGATTGCGTTGTGATAGTTTCTTCGAGTGGTGGCTTGACACAGCAATTGCGGCAGGGTCAACATGCAATACATGTTGTGCTCGGAGATTCAGCTGTTCTTGCGGCAGTGTGATGGTGTGACGAGTTGTGTGTTGTGGGTATGTCCTGTCATGTAACATTCATGCAGGTCAAGGCAATGTGAAGAGAGAGTGCAGCTTCAGGGATGTGGTGGGCAAGAAAGGGATGGACATCAGGAGGTGTGTTTTTAAGAAAATGGCAGACATCAGGAAGTATTTCTTTACATTAAGACCCTCACTTTTGACCACCCCCTTGGGATATCCTTCTGACGTGAAAGGCGCTGTATAAATGTAATTTTTTGTTGTTGTGATAACTCAACACATTACCACTGCTGGAATCTCGAGCAGTGTGCACCTGTCTGCTGTTGAACTCGCTGCAGCCTTTGCTGCCTGCAGGTTGGTGATGTTTGGCTGTGGTTACTGTCACACCCATGAGCACAACACAACACATATACACCCAAGCCACACTCTTTAATACACTTTCCTTTGCCAACTGCAGAAACTCCCCACCCCGTCCTCTTCTCCTGCCCCCGACACACCCCAACCATGCAAAACAGGTCGGTGCATCACCAATCTCACCAATGTTTACACTTCGAACGGAATAACTAACACAGCAAGTGAGCCATCACCGCCTCCTGTACAAACTGTTGTTTACCCACTGGGCAGAACATGTTAAGCTGTATGAACCCCCTCACTAAGTCCATTTGATATCAGTCTTGTCTCTCTTTCCCCCTGGCTGATTCAAACGGACATTTAAAGAACCCTCAACTTCCCTGCTACCGTTTCAATGAATCCTGAAGATTTTCTCCCACTTTTCCTGGTTTATATTCACTGCTAATTCACTCCCACCCCTATCCCCACCCCCACTCACCCTCCCCAAACAAACTTAACACAACAACATCTTGCATTTATATAGCGTCCTTCACACAGGGCAGCATCTCGGAGCGCTTGATATTGTTAATAATAACAATAATCCTTACTCAAATTGCTTCACAGGATATACTGGGTAGTGACTGTGTATTTTGTGAGCGACACGCGGCAGCCAGTTTACGTGCAGCAATGCCCCATAAACAGCCATGGAGTGAGTGACCAATTTTATTTGGGGATTGTTGCCCATGACACCAGGAGAAATTCCCTTTTCTTTTCAAGTAGTGCCTTGGGATCTTTAACCTCCACCTGAACATGTAGACGACCTCAATTTAATGTCTCGCCCAAAGTACACCACCTACGACAATACAACACAAACACAGCTCAGCATTGGAGTGTCAGCTTCAGACTGACTACCTGATTCCAAGTCCCGACGCGGGACTTGAACCCACAACCTTCTGACTCGAGAGGAGAACGTGTTTCCACTGAGCCAGTTAATACGTCAAAGAGTCTGTTCCTGCGCTTAGCGTTCATTGGATCTGTAAAGTACAGTAGAAACTAGCACCTGGTTCTACAGCAGAACTAGTGCTTAAAGTAACTTTTGCCTTTCCCTGTGAGCTGCTTTCGGAAATGCTTGTGATTTTTGACACTTATGAGGGAGGGAGACGAGGAGGGGGGAGAGCCTGGGCGGTGGCTGGGCGGTGTTGCCAAAACCCAGAAGTGTGAAATTACTGGATCATTGAGGTGGTAGAGAGAGATGGCGAGTGTTGCAATTTCAGACTAACTGTGAATTTCTCACTACCCGTCACTGGGGCTTTGCAACCGCAGCTCGGAGCCTCACTGTGGAAACCTGTTTTGCTCTTAAAGAAAAAAATTCTAATAATTATTGCAACAGTAATAGACGTTGCCATTGATATCGCGTGAAGATATCACATCGTCGAGACGTCTCAAAGCACTTCTCGGAATATACTGTGAAGTGGATTGACTGTGTATTCTTGTAGGCGAAACTTGGCAGCCAGTTGCGCACAGCAGTGTCCCACAAACAGTCGTGGATGGAGTTATGTCTAACTCGTCGCTCCTGATAACTCATTGTTTAACCCTTTTTTTCTTGGAGCGATGAGTTATCAGGAGTTTACCGTTTGTATAGTCAACGCAAAAAGGGGAGCAGAGACATGAGGAGACTCTGAACACAGAGAGAGGGAGGGGAGAGGAGGCATTCTCTGCCACATACTATTGTCAAAGACTAGTTCATAATTTTTAAAGAGAAACATGCAAGTTCCTGAGAAAGAGGAATGGAAAAGAGGGTGTGGGGACAGGCCGCAGTGTGATATGATGAGGAAGTATATTGCCATTCGAGCTACTTAAAGAGCAACCGCATACAGGAGATTGGAGGGGGACGGGGAAAGAACAGAGCATTAGAATTCAGTTTAGGATAGACACTACAGAGTGAACACCCGCACGGATACTGTGGGCCGAATGGCCTCTTGCTTTGCTGTAGATTTCTGTAGTTCTACACAGAGAAAACGCCCAGACTAGCTTGCTGGACCGACAACTCACGTCTGTGGGTGACGTTCTGTAGTAAGTGTTGGCTTCTCACTCCTGGCCCCCCGGCAGAGTACAGTCCTGAGCTGGCAGCCAGCCCTGAATTAGTTTTGCATTAATCCCGTCTTGCTTTTCTTTGTAGGATGAAGGGAACGTGAAAGAGATTAACATCACGCACCATGTGAAGGAAGGTTCCGAGAAGGCTGACCCATCCCACTTCGAGCTGCTGAAGGTTCTGGGCCAGGGGTCCTTTGGCAAGGTCAGTTTGTCACGGGACACCAGCTCGCGGGAGAGGGTGGGTTGTTGAGTGGGAGAAGGGGCCATTTCACCTCACGGCTGACGTGGGACCTTGCTGTGCTCAACATGACTGCTACTCGTAGTGTATTGGTTAGCACACTCGCCTTGCAAGAGAGAGAGAGGACCCAGGTTCGATTCCCGGGCAGGGCAAAACCTTAGACAAGTTTCCTCACCTCACACTCCTCTGTTCACCCAGCAGTAAGTAGGAACCAAGTTGTTGATAGCATTTGATATAGCGTCTTATCACGTCGTTGAGAAAGTGCTTCACAAAATATATAGTTACAATATATTCTGTGAAGCACGTTCTCAACGACGTGATAAGACGCTATATCAAATGCAAGGATTATTATAATTTAACGAAGAGTGAAGAATCCCACACAAGGCTAGAGGACTCTTCTTTATCCCCCCACACCCCCACACTCCAGACCCTCAAGGAACCTTTGCAAACCTGGTTAAATCTGTGGTTTATCCATATTTCTGGAGATTTGACCGTTCATGGTTTCTGCAGGTGTTTCTGGTGAGGAAGGTCAAGCCGCCGGACTCTGGCCAGCTCTACGCCATGAAGGTCTTGAAGAAAGCGACACTGAAAGGTAAGGCTGGCGTGACGTGCTTAGTAATGGATGATACGTGGCAGGAGGCTGTGGACACCAGTCTTCACTCTGTTTCCACTTTTTTTTCAGTGCGGGATCGTGTACGAACTAAAATGGAGCGGGACATTCTGGTGGACGTGAATCATCCGTTCATAGTGAAGTTACATTATGGTGAGGAGGCAGGCTCAGGGTCTGTGGGGTGGCGCCTTGGGGGCAGTGGTGGGGGGGTGTGAGGAGTTGGGAGAGGGGTGGGGCAAGTGGGCAGGTGAGGGGGCGGCAACATTCATTACAATCATGCAACACAAATCTACCATCACACACAGCCGCTCTCACTTTGGGAGGATGTCCCTAAAGCACTTAATAATCATGGCTGAGAGCTCATCCGGGGGTGGAGCTGAGGGGATGTGGGAGAGTGTGGAAAAAGATGGAGGTCTTCAGATGGAAGTTGAACGTGGGGAGGGAGGAAAGGTGACTTGAGTCGGGTAGACTTGAGAATCGAGCCCTAGAGCTGGGGCAGAATTGCTCTAGAGAAACCGATTATAACAGGAGCCACGTGGGTAGAATCTCACAGCGGCTAGGGCCGGCCGGCCAATGGAGATCTCTGTGACTGTCTTACGCCCGTGTCTTTGCTCTTCCAGCGTTTCAGACCGAAGGAAAGCTCTACCTCATTCTGGACTTCCTCCGAGGAGGTGATCTGTTTACTCGCCTCTCTAAAGAGGTACGTTCCTGGGAATCACTCGCTCAGTTCTGGCTGTGTTGTCATCAGCAGTTCTGGACCATCCGTCGCTGTGGTCTATCACAACATTTTGTGTGGGACCCCCCCACCCCCTCCCAGTGCTGATTGTAACAGCTCAGGCTGTACGCAACACCTCCCGGGCATAGTGGCATGAACGGTATTCCTCCATCTCTCTCTCTCTCTCCCCCTCTCGCTGCAGGTGATGTTCACTGAAGAAGATGTGAAGATTTACCTGGCGGAGCTGGCTCTGGCACTGGATCACCTGCACAGCTTCGGCATCATCTACCGCGACCTCAAGCCCGAGAAGTAAGTGCTGACGGGGAGAGACACGCCAACTGAAAACTCTCACCGTTAGATCTCAGTGCAACCGTGCGACAGAGAACACGAACATGTCACATTACACCGCCCTGCATAGCGTCACATCACACAGCATCACAGCACCGTGTGATGTTACACAGCACCACACAGCGTCGCACAGCACCGCGTGATGTTACACAGCGCCACGCAGCGTCACACAGCACCGTGTGATGTTACACAGCGCCACACAGCGTCACACAGCACCGTGTGATGTTACACAGCACCACACAGCGTCGCACAACGTACCACTGCGTCTCCATCACATCACTTAAACCAAGTTTGCTGCTCACGGATGTTTAACCGGATTTTCTCTCTTGTTGACCTTTGGCAGTATTTTGCTGGATGAAGAGGGACACATTAAGCTAACAGGTGAGCACCAACGGGGACAGTTCGGAGTGGGGGTTGGGGTTGGTGGTTAGCGTGAGGCCAGGGCAGGGAATGGGGGGTGGTGGCGGGCGGGGCATGGGGGCAGGGGCTGGGAGTGGGGTTGATGGGGTGGGTTATGGCTGGTGGTATTTAGCTGTGGGTCTGACCATTACAGACTTCGGGCTGAGCAAGGAGGCGATCGACCACGAGAAGAAAGCCTACTCGTTCTGTGGCACAGTGGAGTACATGGCTCCGGAGGTGGTGAACCGTCGCGGGCACACGCACAGCGCAGACTGGTGGTCCTTTGGGGTCCTGATGGTAAGTGTTTAATGTTTGTTTCTCGCCTCTTCCCGACTCTGTCTGTGCTCTGACCGACTGACTCCCTGTCTGTCCTCCCACTCCTCCGCAGTTTGAAATGCTCACCGGCTCGCTGCCGTTCCAGGGGAAGGATCGAAAGGAGACGATGACACTGATTCTGAAGTGAGATGCCATCGCGGGTTGGGTGCTGCCTGTGTGATTGACGGGGATTAGCCAGGGGAGGGGATGGAGTCAGGGGGTGGGGAGATAATCCTGAGATTCCAAACTCATTCTGGCTTTAAGACCAGAAGTTAAAAGTTTGAAATTCAAAAAAAAAAGTAAAAGTTTACGATTGTGCAGAAGTTTGCAAATCTCTTAAATTCACGTGTTGATTTCAAGTTGATTTTCCCCAGTTCTTTGAGATGTCTCGACAACGTAATAAGCGTTATATCAAATGCAAGGTTTATTATTGTCAATGAATTAATTAAAAATAAAGCACTGTTTAAAATTCAGCACATTTATAAACTTCTGAGACGACAGTCATGAACCTGAGACATTGAAGCCAGGATTGGGTTCACGTGTGTCAGTCGTTTCACCCCTCAGTCAGTCTGCCCTGTCCTGGTTGTTTGTTTTGACGCGATGATGAATGCTGTGAGGTGTTTACCCTCCCTGTGTTCTCCCTCTCTGTAGGGCTAAGCTGGGGATGCCTCAGTTCTTGAGTTCCGAAGCACAAAGCTTGCTGCGAGCACTTTTCAAGAGGAACGCCGCAAACCGATTAGGTAAATATCGGAAATATCAGCCTCGTGCTCAGATCAGGTTTTCTCCCCTCTCTCTGGGGGTGGGGCCTTGGGGGGGATTGGGGGTCGGAGACTTATTGCCAGTCTCTGGCCTCAGCCTCTGGACAGAAACTTGCATTTATACAGCGCCCTTCTGCAAGGCAGTGTCTCGGAACACTTAACATTGCGCAAAGCCGAGCTAGGAGGAGAGAGGAGGTGACCATAGGCACGGTCGAAGAGGAGGGTCTTCAGGCATGATGTAAAAGAGGGAAGGGAGGTGGCAAAGCAGAGGGATTGAGGGAGAGAGTTCCAAAGCTTTGGGGAGTAGTGACTGGAAGCACAGCGACCGATGGTAGAGCTGAGGGCATGAGGGTAAAGCAGGAGGCTGGAGCCAGCTGAGCAGAGGCAGCGGGTAGTGGAGCGGGGAGAGAGAGTGCCAGGGTGTGAAGGGATTTGTTGACAAGTGACTACATGATTAATCACCGTATAAAGACTTTGCAGTTGGTAATAACTCGGGATTCTGAATGCTGTCTCGTCTCCCGGCTTGTGTTACCCTGAGTCTGTTGCCCAACAGGAGCTGGTACGGATGGTGCAGAGGAGCTCAAGAGACATCTTTTCTTCGCAACTATTGACTGGAACGTAAGTCCCAAAACCATCCAAGCAGCTTGTACCTATACTGGCACTGTTTTGCTCTGTGTTGGACGTAGATAAGATCAGTTCAGTGAGGAGCATTCAAAAAAAGGGTAGATTCAGCTCAGCTGTGATCAGAGGATGTCAGGTGGGTGGGGAGGGGGAAATCAGGACTGGAACTAAACACATCTGTATTTTACAGAAACTGTATCGAAGAGAAATGAAGCCTCCATTCAGACCAGCAGTAGCCAGGCCAGACGACACCTTCTATTTTGATCCAGAGTTTACAGAGCGAACGCCAAAAGGTTTATATCATTTGTGTGTCTGACTGTCTAGCTCTGTGTCTCTCTGTCTGTGTGTCTATCTGTTTTCGTATGTATCTGTCAGTCAGTCTCTGGTGTGTCTGTGTCTGGGTGGGTATGTTGGGGGAGGAGAGGGGGGAGGACTGGAAGTGCTATTTGTGGTGAAGGATGTTGATGCACATTAGCTTCTGTGTTTGCCATTGTAATCACCTAATTTCTTTGTATGAAGCGCTTAAGAGATATCCTACCTCGATAGACTATATCCTTGTCTGCAGATTTGCCAGCATCTCAGTGACCTCTATCCTCTAGTGATTTCTCTTCCCCACTCCCCCTCCCGCCTCCCCCAGCTCAGGTGCAAATTTTAGACTGTCCAGCTCCTTGGGGCATCCTCCTGGCATGAGAAGGATTGTGTATAAATGTGAATCTGTATTGTAATCTATGGCTCTTGTCATTAAACAATCGCCAGACTCTCCGGGTGTCCCTCCCAGTGCCAGTGCTCACCAGCTGTTCCGTGGCTTCAGCTTTATCGACTCTGGACTCGAGAAAGAGGAAGGAAAGTCGGACGTTCCCATCCATCCGCTCTTGCATCCTGTAGTGAAGGTGAGAATCGGTCGCCCTACTCTACGTGGGGGAGGTCAGAGCCTGCCCTGTGTGAAGGGGGCAGAGAACGAGAGTGAAACTGTGTGACGTCTCTTCCAGCAAATGCACGGCAGCAACATGACCCTAACTGATGGTTACGAGATGAAGGAGGATATCGGAGTGGGCTCCTACTCTGTCTGCAAGCGATGCATCCGCAAGGGGACAAACTCGGAGTACGCAGTCAAGGTAAGGTTTCCAAAGTAAAGGATTCGTCCCAAAATCCATAAGTATAGATTGATCCACCCTCAAAATGTCTCAGTATTTCACAAAGGTCTCAGGTTTTTGCAGGGTGGGAAGGGGGGGAAGACCTGTGGCATGGAGTTTCTCTCTTTACCAAGCAGTAAGTAGGAACCCGGCTGTTAGTCGATTGCCGGTTCACTTTCTGGTGGTAATAATCCCTCCAAGACGATAGTTTGAGGGACAGTGCTGTGTGCAACTTCGTCCACAGTCCACTTTACAATATATTCTGTGAAGTGCTTTGAGACGGCCCAATGACAAGATAAGGTGCTGTATCAAATGCAAGGATTATTATTATTATAATATTATAATTAAATCTCACGTTGTCTCTTTGTCTTTTCTCTCCAGATAATCGACAAGAGCAAGAGAGATCCCACGGAGGAGATTGAGATCCTGCTGCGGTACGGCCAGCACCCCAACATCATCACGCTGAAAGACGTGAGTGTGTCTCTCGCCTCGTGCAGACAGGTCCACCATGGGGAGGGGTGCTCCTTGCCGCGCTCTCTAGAAAGGGCCACAAGTTCAGGAGCTGACATCCTCTCCACTTGACACTGAGATTCCGAAGCTAGTTGTGTCTGAATCGTAATTAAACTCTCTCCCCCACTGCTAAAATCTGGCCATGTCTGTGTCTGCTTATCCCCTCCATCCCACCATCAGTCGCCAAGCTTTAGCCCGCTCTCTGCAACTCCCTCCCGTATCTCCACCGTCTTGCCCTCGCACTCTCACTCTCTGCTTTCAAAACTCCTCCTTAAAGACCTCTGTGATTGTGCTTTGGGCCACGTTCTCCTCCCCACCCTCGATATCTAGCTCAGTGATCCACACGGTCTCGTTGAAACACTGCAAGGACATCCTTCCGACATGAAAGGCACTATATAAATGTGATTTGTTGTTGTTGCAAATCATTATCCTGTGTAAACGCACTGTGTAAGTGTGAGCTGCGCTATCGTGGTAAGTGTGAGCCGTGGCAGTTATTCTGCCCCTCTATCTCCTCCCCAGGTCTACGATGATAATAAGAGTGTGTATCTAGTGACTGAACTGATGCGAGGGGGGGAGCTCCTGGACAGAATATTACACCAGAAAGGTTTCTCCGAGCGGGAGGCCAGCACCCTGCTTCACACCATCGCCAAGACCGTGGAATATCTGCACTCTCAGGGGGTGAGTGAGCGCTTCACTCTTTCCCTGTCACATGGCTTCATGTCCTGTACATGTTGCATTTTGCTCAGAGTCTGACATTAAATGCAAGTTGTTGTTGTTATCGATATAAAAATATATGGAAAATGTGTGAGCATGTGTATCTAGTGTGTGTGTGTATATACATATATATATGTGTGTGTGTGTGTGTGTGTACATAATGTGTGTGTATATTTATAGTGTGTGTATATATATGTGTGTGTGCATCTGTGTATATATTTATAGTGTGAGCGTGTGTGTATATATATATAAATGTGTGTGCATGTTTGCGTATATAACGTGTGTGTGTGTATATCTATATATGTGTGTGTGCCTAGTATGTATTTATATTTGATATAATTACACATTTTCAAGCACAGCAATAAAGATGGCTTTGCCCTCCCTCAGGTGGTGCACCGGGACCTGAAACCCAGCAACATCCTGTACGTAGACGAGTCCGGGAATCCGGAGTCCATCCGGATCTGTGACTTTGGATTTGCCAAACAGCTTCGCGCCGAGAACGGGCTCCTCATGACGCCGTGCTACACGGCCAACTTTGTGGCCCCGGAGGTGAGCGCCTTCCGTGAGTGAGAGAGAGACACCCACAGAGGCTGCAGGCGTTTGTGTGTGGGAAGAACTTTGAAACGTCTTGATGCTTCAGTCACAACAACCCCGACTGTCTGGAACTCCCTGCCTCAATCCATCCGCCTCGCCCCCTCTTTGCTTGTCTTCAGATCACACCTGGAGGCCTTTTGACCCTTTATCTCTATCTCCCGGTCTCGGGTCAAACTTCGCTCTGAGATTTAGCAATCCCGCATGAAGGCTGCTTTATAAATACAAGTAGTGGTGGTTGTGGTTGTCTGAGACGCTACTGTGCGCAATTGGCTACCACTTTTCTCCCACAAAATTACACAGTCAATCCTTTTTCCTGTGAAGCGCTTTGAGACGGATGTGATATATTTGATCGTATATCAAATGCAAGGATTATTATTAATAATAAAGCAGCTCTATATAAATAGATCTCTTCCCTCTCACTCCCTGTCCACCCTAATTAATATTAAATTAAATATCAGTGTGTGTCTGTTTGGGGAGGGCGCAGTGGGAAGTGGTGTTGGTTAATGAATTGTGATTTGAGGAAATGCCAGGTTGTGAGCACGGGCTGAGGTCTGGCCTAATGGAGAGACAGACTGGCTCAGTGCCACACAGCAAAGCCCCAGCAGATTGCTGCATTGTTGCGGCGGCAGCTGTCACCGCCACACGCGTTAGCAATGCCGGCTCTTTCCAGTGGGCCTCGCGCTGCTCTCGGGGAACTGCAAGGGACGGAGTAATCCCTCGCAATCTCTCGCAATCCCCCAACATTCCTGATCCGATCCGTCTGCTAATGAGGGAGAGCTGATGGCAAACGCTGCCAAGACCTGGGATGATCTTGTTCTTAGGTTCACTGACTCCCACTTCCTCCTCCTCCTCCTCCTCCTCCTTCCCCCCTCTTCCCCCAGTCTGGGGGAATACTAACCCTAGAGGAGCCGCGGGAATCAGTGAAGGTCACTGTATCCCGCCTGGGGAGAGAGCAGGTAATGGGATTAGAGTAGAGAGCTCCAGTGGGGGTGCAAGCATGTGGGCTAAAGCCTCCCATCTGTGCTGATGACATTCAGTGGTTCCACACTGCCCGTGAATCACTCAGAATGATGATGATGATGGTTGATTTCCTAATCACTGGCATCTTGGCGGAATGTTCTTGATCAGAATTGAACAGAAGCAGCAGGCTGTGTGGCAATGAGAGTAACGTGTGTGTCTCCGGCTCAGGTCCTGAAGCGGCAGGGATACGATGAAGGATGTGATATCTGGAGTCTTGGAATCCTGCTGTACACCATGCTGTCCGGGTGAGTCGCGTCTCTCCGCTGATAACCCCCAAAATATACAGTTAATTCACTTTACAGTATATTCTGTGAAGCGATTTGGGACATTTCGATGACGCGATAAGGCGCTACATCAACTGTAAGGATTTTTTTTAAAAAATTATATCAGCGTCTGGGTCAACTCCCAAGATCTCTGTACAGACCATAATGCTCTCCCCCCAGCCCACAACATACACATTTCATTGCAAACAACTCTTATGTTAACAAAAAAAATCTTGATTTCCCTACGCCTTTACTTATTTTGATGATGATTGTAAATTGACTCTTTGGACTCGCTGCACAGTGGAAATAGTTTCTCTCTGTTTACCTCCTCCTGTTCAGACCTCTGAATAGCCCTGCGTTCTCTCCTCTTCCCCTCCCTCTCCCCCTTCCCCAATAAGTTCCATTGTGATCCTGTCTCCTCTTCCCCTGTCAAAGTCTGTGTGTGTGTGTGTGCGCGTTTGTGTGTGTAACTGCCTGTTCTGAGCGGGTGCTGGAGTTCAGAGCATTGTGTAGTGTGTGGGAGTAAACGGCTCCTGTATGACAGTCCCAACACATTTATGTGAAGCTCAGCATCAAACAATGACTCGGAATATAAAAAAGGAGCTTTTGTGAGGGAGCGAAGTATTTGGTGGAATAGCTGCTAATAGCTTGCGTACCGCCTGAGACACCCACACACACGCGGTCCATGTCTCCTGGAAAACACGCCGCTTAGCCTGACAGGTACATCAGAGCAAAATAAGTTGTCAAGCTGAAGGAGAGCGTTTTAAAGGGTGGATTTGAAACTTCTTTTAAAGGGAGTTTCGTTCTCAGCGCACAGTTTCAAACGCAAATGTTGTTCGGAATTATGATTGAACGATTTGCCTTGGGGGGAGGCTGTCTATTTGTACGGGTGGGGGGTGGGGTAGTGGGGGGAAGATTTTGTTTAAAGTTTTGGCTGAGTCTGTGAAACAGAGTGACGATCGGTCTTGAGAGCATCACCGTGTCAACGGCGAGAGCCGTAACACACAAAAGAGCCATTGAAGGGGTTCATCGAGGTGTGGGATGTGTTTGGCCGATCGTAGAGAAATTGTGATTTGTTTCACACAAAAAAACATTGTTGGGCCATTTGTGGACCTCGCGTAAGCAAACAGGTGTTACGGTACTTGGATTTTGCGCAGTTACAACGGGGGATGTTGCCCGTACAATGGTTCTAATCATTCACAAATGCTGTAAAATTATTGACACAAAGGTGCACCGTCTTGTGAATTCCTTGAACCCGGACTTATGTGCAGTGCCGCCAGGGGGCGCCGGACTTACGTGCAGTGCCGCCAGGGGGCGCCGGACTTACGTGCAGTGCCGCCAGGGGGGGCCGGACTTACGTGCAGTGCCAGGGGGGCCGGACTTACGTGCAGTGCCGCCAGGGGGGCCGGACCTACGTGCAGTGCCGCTAGGGGGCGCCGGACTTACGTGCAGTGCCGCCAGGGGGGGCCGGACTTACGTGCAGTGCCAGGGGGGGCCGGACTTACGTGCAGTGCCGCCAGGGGGGCGCCGGACTTACGTGCAGTGCCGCCAGGGGGGGCCGGACTTACGTGCAGTGCCGCCAGGGGGGGCCGGACTTACGTGCAGTGCCGCCAGGGGGGGCCGGACTTACGTGCAGTGCCGCCAGGGGGGGCCGGACCTACGTGCAGTGCCGCTAGGGGGCGCTGGACTTACGTGCAGTGCCGCCAGGGGGGGCCGGACCTACGTGCAGTGCCGCCAGGGGGCGCCGGACTCACGTGCAGTGCCGCCAGGGGGCGCCGCCGCGCTCCGCATCGGTCAGGCAGCGCCATCAGGGGACACCTGTTGGTACTGCAACAGAGACGCGGTTACACAGTTGAGGGCAATTGAACTCCACCAGGGTAGTTTCAGTATCTAAACTTATCCAGACCTAAAAAGAACAGGAGTCAGATTATTCTATGGGGAGGTCCCCTCCTACCCTTACCCTCCCCCCCTCTCTATCCCGACTGATTCCAACCACCAGCTCGGGGGCTGATCCCTGACTGTCCAGCTCCTTGGAGTGTCCTCCTGACGTGAAAGTCGCTATACAAATGTAATTTTTTTGTCTGTTGTTGAGGCCGGCACAGTCGGTAGCACGCTGGCCTCTGCCGTCAGACGTTACTCTGGGTTTGATCCCCACATTGAGGACTCACAGTCCAAGCTGACGCTCCAGCCCAGTGCTGGGGGGAATCCTGTGGATGAGATGTTAAAGCTAATTCCCAGAGCGTGCGATTGATTGATTGTCCAGTAAACTCAATGCCTCTCTTTGGTCATCTTGAACCAGGTACACTCCATTTGCCAACGGCCCAGACGACACGCCAGGGGAGATCTTGGCCAGGATTGGCAGCGGTCGGTACACCTTGCAAGGTGGAAACTGGAATAAGATCTCGTCAGCGGCAAAGGTAGTGCAACTTTAAACTGTGAGAAACCAATAGCGTAGTAGTCGCTTTCCGGGGGTAATAATCCCTCCCCCACTCAAACAAAAGTGGTCACTCAATCCACGACTGTTTGTGGGACCCTGTTATGCGCAATCGGTTGCCGTGTTTCACCCCAAAAATACACAGTCAATCCATTTTACAATATATATTCTGTGAAGTGCTTTGAGTTGTCTCAATGATGTGTTAAGGCACTACATCAAAAAGAACGATTATTCTGATTTTACCTGACGAGAGGGTAAGCCTTTACAATTGTGGCAAAATTATCCCGGTACAGGACTGAGCAAACAGTCCACAGATAAAATTGGTCATTAACTTCATGGCCTTGAATTGGCTTCTGCGTTCGCCTACAAAATGCACAGTCACTGTACTTTACAGTATGGGCAGATGCTCTTTGAGATTTCCTCCTAACATGAAAGACAAGGTATCAAATCTAAGGATTATTTATATATATTTTCTCTGTAACTGGAAGGTTGGCTCTGGGGTAACCGGGACTCACTAAGTATCTTTAAATCCGTCTTTGCTCATAGGATCTTGTCTCCAAGATGTTGCACGTGGATCCCCATCGCCGTTTGACAGCAAATCAGGTCCTGAAACACTCCTGGATCGTGAACCGGGAGCAGCTGCCCCAGAACCAGCTGAACCGGCAGGACATCCAGCTTGTGAAGGTGCGCCTTGCTCTGATTCATCTTCCTTTAGCTTATCCTCAAGACACTCCTCCTACCCCTACCCTCCAGTCCTCCTGATCCCAACCTCCAACTCGGGTCCAAATCCTTGACTGTCCAGCGCTTTGGGTCGTCCTCCCGATGTGAAATGTAATTTGTGGTTGTTATGCTCCTTCCACTTTGTAGAATCACAGAATGTTGTGGCCCAGAAAGCAGCCATCCATGGCTACACTGGCGCTTGATCCCCGTCAACCTCTTAGTAAAACCCCATTTGCTCCCCCTGACTGCCCTACAGCCTTTACTAAATGGGGAATGAAGACTGCTGGAAGATGTGGTTGACTCAAAAACCATCAGCACCTTTAGGAGGAAACTCGATGCCTAAATGAGAGAGGAAGGAATAGAGGGGATTAGGAGTGTGGGGGCTCATGTGGAGTATAAACTCAGGCATGGATTACTTGGGCTGAATGGCCTCTTTCTGTGCCATTCACTGAGAGACGCCCAAGCTCTCTTGGCACCTGCGGTTGATTGGCAGTGAGACCGATGTCTGGAGTTCGATTCCAGTTGGGGTTGGGAATGAGACATTGTGACGTGGATCTGCAATAACTGTGCGACGCGTTAGAGCAGGGTGTTAAACGTGAAGAATTTCCTGGTTTGGGTGTCACTAACTCTTCGTCTTCTCTCTGTGTCTCATCCCTTGTTTAGGGGGCCGTGGCTGCCACCTTCTCAGCTCTGAGCAGCTCCCCGCCAACGCCCAAGCTGGAGTCGGTGAAGGCCTCGACCCTGGCCCAGCGCAGGGAGCTTCGGAAGCTGCCGTCCACCTCACTGTGAGGCAGCCTCGGGCCACGGCTCACCTCACACACAGCCCCGGGAGGAGGACCATTACTGCTCATGCACTGGCAGAGACTATGGACTTTTTCGTGCTGAGCAGACTGCCTTCACTGAGAGGCGGAGATTCACAGGAGCTTGCTTTTGTACAGAAATTTTGGAAGAACCTGAGATACTTGTGAGGGGTGGGAAGGGAGAGGGAGTGGGGTGGGGGGGGATGGGGTGGGGGAAAGAAAAGGGAAGAAGCATCCGCTAAACACTGTGAGAAATGTCTCCCGTCAAAACCATCTCCGTTTACTACGATGGCCGAGACTATCTTTGAAAATGCTGAGAGACTCCAGGATCAAAAAGACCTCACGGAGAACCAAGTGTTTATAAAGTGTAGTGACGTCAACAAAAGAGGGTTTGCTGAGCCTATTCTGGGTGAAAAGAGCTCTGGGATGAATCTGAGCAAGAGGGGTCTGAGTTCAGATTGTGCTTTGATGTTCTTGAAGAAGTTAAGCTTTTCATCGTAAATCCATGGTTGCTTTTGTTCATACATTCTCTCTCTCTCTCTCTCTCACCTCTCTCTCACACATGCACTCCTTTTGCTCCTTGGTCCTTTTCTCTGCAGTGAGCAAGCACTCGCTGATCATTGTTATGAAAGAGGAAACAAGCGAGAGCAGCTGTCAATTAACTCCTTCAAAAAGGAGCTGGACAAATACTTAGGCGAGAGGGGGGAGCGTTCGTGAGACGTGAAGCTGACTGATGGCAGATGATGGGTATGTGCCGTAAGGTCCCGGTGGTGGGTAAAATGGTGCCTGTTCTTGTGATGATCAGCGAGCAATGGTGTTAATTAAGCACAGATGCATTCCTCATGCACACCCTCTGACACGCTCATGGGGATCGTGACATGCGTACTGTGTGGTGTGTGAAAGTCCACACATGTGTATGCACTGTCACCGAACTATGTTGTCATTTGGATTTTAGTTTCTTTTGTGGGGGAAAAAAGGGAAAGATTCCTCACCGATGACCTAATAACTGAAGAGAAATGTCTTAATTCTCCAGCGAAGCATTTTTCTCCACAGCTTTCTCCTTACTTGCATTGAGAGACAGCTCTAACTGTGTTGTCAGACTGGTTATTCGTTGCTGCTGTACTCTTTGTTGGATAATTGTTATTTTATGTATAAATTGGTGGTGGTGTCTCAGTCGTGAATTCTGGAATGATGAGCTGTTTTGTTTTAATTTGCTTTATGGGCGCTTGTGCAACTACCTATCTCTCCTGGGCGTGGGATCTGGATTTAAATCATGTTTAAACAAACAGGATGGAAAGCGTTGTCATGGAATGTAACTTTTGTTTTATTCTTACAAATAAATTCAAGACTTTGTAATTTCAGGTTGTACCGTTTATGTTCTGAATGTCTGTTTAACCGTGTCTTTCAGAGGGCTATACTGTAAAACTGTGAATAAACTCCAAGCTACAGGCACACTGGGGAGGAATCCTGTAATCTCTCTTCCATTATATTTGAGTCAATTCTTTGTGTGTGACTGAGAGTGACGTTGAGATCACCACCAACTAGCGAGACAGTTTACCCCCTGGGGCTACCTTCAGCTCATTTGGCAGCACTTTTACCTCTGGGTCTAAGGGTTGTGGATTCAAGACCCGTATCGAGACTTGATCTCACTATCCAGGCTGACACACACCAATACATTGTTGGAGGTGCTGTCCTTTCGGTGAGATGTTAAAACGAGTCCTTGTTCAAGTGGATGTTAATAACACCTCTGGCACTATTGGAAAAGGAAGAGAAAGTTTCTCCTGGGTTTTCAGCGCCTTGGGACGTCCTCCCGACGTGAAAGGCGCTCAATAAATGGAATCTTGTTGTTGTTGTTCCTCAATCCCGACAAATCGCTCGTTCATTTCATGGCTGTTTCTGGGATTTTTTCCGTACATAAATTGGCTGCTGTGTTTTTGTGTGAAAATGCATAGTCACTGCACGCAAATACACACAAAAAGGAAGTATGTACACATGCTGGTGAATTAGAGAAGGCAGTAAATTCAGCCTTTTGAAGCCAGCAGTAAACCCAAAGATAGTTAATGTCTAGCCTGTCTGGCTCATCATTAAGACTCGGAGGTGCATACGTGGCGACCCAGCTGGTTACGTGCTGTGAAATATTACCAGTGCTTAGTACATTGCATCAGAATTCTCATGTAATATCTTAGGAATTCCCATCCAGAGTCCTGCTCCCCTTCTTCCATTGCCACATATTGGATGTCTCCAGAGATGTCTCCACTTAACTACCCCTTCACGCCCCCAAAGTGGCTGAAGACAGCTGGGAATTTCCATGGAAAATCTTAGGAATTCCCAAACGTCATCTTGTAACCAATGCTACATCAGAGGAGTTTCTGCAGTCAGTTGTGTAACTCTTCAGATCCCAGTCACAAGCTACCAAACAATTATAATGAGTGGAGGGTGCTGCAAGTTCCAGTAAGCTTATTGAAATTGCCGTCAATGTTCGCAGTCACTGATTCAGTGCTGACGATAAATAATAACAAGCCCTGAGTCATTCACTCAGACTCCTGGGCAAGTTCTGTGGATCCAATATGTACTGTATGTAAAACCTGTGTTCAGATGAAAAATACACTGTAAATCAACAAATGAACGAATAAATGAATAACTAAATAATAAATATGTAAATAATAACCACAAAATTGCATTTGTAAAGCGCCCTTCACGTTGGGAGGAGAGTCAGTCTTTCGGACCGAATCTGTGGGTCGGGATTGGGGAGAGTGGAGGGCAGGGGGGGGGGAAAGGAGGATGATCAAAAGCACGGTCGAAGAGGAGGGTCTTGAGATGGGACTCGGAGGGGGCAAGGGAGGGGGCAAGGCGGAGGGACTGCAGGATTCTCACTTACAGCCCAAGTTTCCTTTAGAGGCAACATTTCTCTTTATGGTTGAATGTGAATCTGAACATTCAGCACCAAGCTATTAAAGTACATTTGGGAATATTAGCACTTATGGAACACTGCTGTCGCATTTTGCCCACAAAATGCAGTTATTCCACTTTGCAATATATTCCGTGAAGTGCTTTAAGACATCTCAACAACGTAATAAGGCATTTTACGAAATGCAGGTATTATTATTTAACAATAGAGTTGTCCGCCTCTTACAGTTATTAGGGTTGGATATTAGAGTGTCCGCCTCTTACAGTTACTACGGCCGCGGTTTGAATCGCGCGCAGCTGCAATCAGGGCACGCACCGCGCAACCAAACCCGATGCGTTGCGCGCGGCGCTCGGGGTCGTGCGTGAATCCCACCAATCAACAGCGAGAAGCCTTAGACTGACGGTCGATCCGTCCAATCAGAAGCTGAACCGTTTGATTGACGCGGGGAGGAACCAAACAGGATGGTGGGTGGGGCGGCGGTCCTCGCCGGGCGGGCCAATGGGAGCGGGCTGTTGAGCGGTGGGGTAAGCGCGGTTGCGCCATGCGCGCGGGGTAACGGCCGTTCAGCGGGTGACAGACTCGGGGGCTGAGGAGCCGTCGCCGCCTTCGGGCTCTTCCCTCACTCAGTCCCGCCCGGGCGCTCCGTAACTGTCGCCGGCCGCTCGGCCCCTGAGGTGAGTGAGGCCTGGGTGCGGGGGGGGGGGCACCGGGCGGCGGAGGGGACGCGGGGTGTTGTGGCTGTTGCCAGGGGCAGCGCGCGGCCTTCGGTATGGAAAGTTCGCGAAGCCTCGGGCTGGGTCGCGGGCTGCGGCACGGCCTCTGGGGCCGGAGGGCGAGGGTTCGAGCTGTAACCTACCCCGTCTTTGCTTTGAGCTCCCAGTCCAAGCTGCCCCCCCCCCCCGCACAGCCTGGGGGAGAGTCGCACTGTTACACTGAGGCCTTTACTCTGGGGCTCGGGGTAACTTACGATAATAATAATAATAATCCGGGCATTGATATAGCGCTGTTCACGTCTTCTCGACGTCTCAAAGCGCTTCACAGAATAGACTGTGAAGTGAATTGACTGTATAGTTGTGGGCGAAACGCGGCAGCCAATGGCGCGCAGCAGTTGATCCCCTCCCCCCGGCGCTGGGGCTGACACAAACATTCAAGGGCTCTTCAAAAGCACAGTCCTTGGGGTGGAGGTGTGGACTGTCCCTTCTGACCTCTTTAAACCCTGGACAAGCCTAGAACTGGAGAAGTCCCAGTTAGAGAAGATCCTCCGGCCACAGCTGTACAAAACATTGTTCTTCCATATGTTTAAGGGAAGGAGTTTCAAAGGCGGGGACTTTGCTTCCCCAGTTACATTTCCGATGAACTTGTGTCTTTAGAAGGAATGGAATTCCTGGTGATGAGTAATTATTGGGCAAGATAATGAACAATGTTCCATGCTTTATGTTGGTATGTGTCCTCTGGTTAGTACGTAGATTCAGGCCAATGTGTGTAACATACTCAGACTTCATTATAGATCGAGTGGACTTGTAAACGTACATTAGGTAGATTCAGTGGGACTACTCAATTATGCTCTTGAATGTAATTCGAACGCTTAAATGCACGTTGTGACATGAGCTGTCATTATGAAAACTCTGCCAGAAAATATGTGTGTAAACATATATAAGAAAATATCCCCGAGGGTTCTACAAATCAGTCACACCCTTATAAATCCACAGGGATTTAAAAAGTGGTAGAACGCAGTATTGAGCTCATTCATCACTTCCCAATGATCTTTTCCACTCCGATCACTGTCTGTGATTCCTCTTAGAAAGTGCTCTTGGCTAAAAGTGATCTTGCCCACATTCTGTCTTGGATACAGAAAGAAAGAACAGGAAATGGAAGAATAGCTTGAATCAATCTCATCCTCAGGATAGTAATGGGGTGAAATTGAAGTTTCTACAGTTTTCCTTTTTTTTTAGAATTTGCCCAAGTCATTACACTCACAGTATCGTGTCCATTGGAGACTTGATTTCAGAGATTTTCTAGTTTCCAAAGATCAGTGCGATAGTGGTATAAGACTTGTCTGAGGTGTACTTCTATATTGTAAATTGTTAATTGGATTTGCGATTTAATTGCTGTTTCTCTTCAACTTGTTCAACTCAACACCATGGTTAATTTTCCTCCTGTTGTGGCTTTACGGTTGCCTTCAAGTCAACACAGTCAAAATGCAACTGGATACTTCGTTTGATGTATTTTCATCTAAGGATAGGGCTGACAGTGATTGAGTTTGTTTTAATATTGTGTTGCAAAATAGCTACTGAATGCCAGTTGCTGCATAGATTATCTGTGTTTATTTAGGCATTATCTCATTGTAAGAGCAAGCTGGTTACAGAATGGTTTGAGGACAAAGGCTTTGCAATTTATGTTTTAATAAACCTGGGTGAACGACCAAAGTTGGAAGATGATGTGAGAGGATGTGATTAGGTGATGCTAAGAATGCAGGTAAACTGATAACTTTTCAGCAGCTGTTTATGAAGGTAAAGTAACCCAGTGAGCTTTCATATGACTAGCTACTGTATAACCTGTAACAGGGAGGACGTTAGAAGTTTTGCATTGATAGAGAGTGAAATTTGCCTGTCTTTCCTCAAATAATCTAGATGCAGGGAAATAGTTTCCTTTCATTCGGGTCTGCTGATTGTTCGGAAGAGACCTTTACTGTTCAGAAAGGAGAGGCTGAAAGCACAGCTGGTGATGATGAAGTAATTGTAATCACACCAACATCACAATGGAGTAGTTATTTGCCAGTCAATTTAATCTAGTTTAAAAAAAGCATTGCTGAAAATCCAGTGAATGTATTGGACGCACCGTTATTTTAAAGCAAAGCTTGTATCTCAATACAGTGAGTGCCATGGAGTCATACAACTGGAACACTGACTTGTGATGTTACATGGTGAATACTATTTCTATAGTGCAGTTAATGGGAGGCTTAGGAACATTAGCAGTCACTGGCATTTAGCTTGATTGTCTGTCCTTGAGAATGGTTTGCATGCTGAGGTATGCAGAGGAAAATTAAAACAAATAGCAAATTATAACTTTCAGCCTTGCATTCTTTAAAAAAATCAAAATATTTGGATTTGATAATGCATCCTTGCTTTGATGTATTGAAATTATAATCAGTGGTGAGATTCAATTTCCTGTATAGTACAAAGTAGTTCCATCTATTTCATTCGTATTTTTAATCCATAGTAAGTACAGTAAGGTTTTCTGCTATATTTGGGAAGATGTAAAAGTGGATCAAATGGAAGATAGTTTTTTACAGTAAAATGCTCTTTTAATCCAATCAGGAATGTTGAAAATTGTATCTCTAGCCATATCCTGCTCTCAAACTAAATAATATAACAGTGAAATCATTCAGTTTTTTTTAGTATACCAAGGGACAGCACAGTCACAGCCACCAATCAAAACACATTTTATAAAATTGTGCCTTGCCTGAGATTTGAGGCCCAACTTCCTGAGATATTTTTCTTTCCTCTGAAGCACTGATATTTGGCAGCAGAAGTAACTGGTAATTTACTATAATGGAAGCTAGTAGGGAGAGAGACCGAACAGAGTGTGAAGGACAAAACAAGCAATAAGGTGTAGATTCATACCTGTAGCAGAGGGGAATACATAGCAGTATTCCAGTCAGCTATGTATTTATACCAGCAAAGATGAAAGTGGGACTGGTTTTATTTTACTACTACAGCTGCTAGAATGCTGCTACAATTAATAAGACGTATGAAATGCATTATCCACAAAGTGAAATACCGTATTGTTACTTGTACTTTTTCCAAATTTCTGCTCCTTAATGTGATCTTGGTCACAGTCTTCCCTCTCCCCCTGGCTCAGCCCTGGGATCCATTACTGGGAAGCACTCTGAGACGTCATCCGGGGTGGAGGGCACTATATAAATCCAAGTTGTTGTTATTGATCTTATTTTCTTTTTTTGCCAACAGGCAAGTTGATTTCAAATGGCCACTTCTAGAAAGTACAGAGACTCAATTCACCAACAAAACAACACACCAGGTAGAGTTCTGTTATATTTATTTTTCCTCGTGCTAATTGACACGATTTCATACTACTTGAATGCTATGCAGCCAATCCTTGTTTTTATGAAAGAAAATGACATTCATTTCACGACTTGACTGTCGACATACAGTCTTCTATGCAAAGTCAGGTCATCTAGTGCAACACTTGAATGAGTCTATTTTAGTTTGGATCAGCAAATCACTGAACTTTGTTGGTCTTGGCTGAAGTGACTAGAACATACCATACTGAGTTGCTACCACAATTCAGTGATGAACGACGATAGGGCCTTTGATGAAAATAAGTACGGGGGAACTAAATCAAAACCCATGCTATAGTCTGGTTGCTTGCTTAAACTAATAATAAAGGCCATTGCGTTATAATCAGATGTAAATGTAAGAGGCCAGTTGTGTGTAGTTAAGATGCTGGCATTCCACCCTGATACCTTGTGTAAGTGATTCGTTCTCTGTTAGAAGAAATTAGTAAATCAGGCTTGCTGCTAAGCTCTATTGCTTCCACTCTCTGGTAACCAGAGATCCACAATCTATCCTTAATAATTAACTGTTAACTTGTGTAGCATCTAATACATAATTTAGCCAGGCAATTGGAGATGACCCAGCGTCTGCTTAAATACAAACACGTTAATGGTGTAACGTTGGCAAGCTCTGCCATCTATCAGACTTGGCATAGCGTGCTTTACGTTGTGGAGTCAGCTTTGTATTGTGACCAACCTGGAGGCAGAACCATGAAAAAATAATTTGTGTTGTAAACTCTTTGACTTAGTCTTTTGTGCTTATGTGAAGCTTTCACATTGTAAAGACTTTCCTAATCTTAGTCATGCTCTTTGATGTTCTATAGCATAAGTATCAACAACAAAGGATTCTGAACTAATATCTTCTGTTTGAAATGGCTTTGTAGTATGAGTGTATGATAACTAATAATGCATCTCAAGGGAGAAATAATATTGTACAGTGACCCTCAAGTTGTAAATGCACTCAGGAAAGGATTTAATGTGTGAACAGTTTTGTAATAAAAGTAATAAATATTAAGTTAGAGTTTAAGGATTCATGTTGAATTTCTTGTCAAGTTTTCAGCTCATAAATTTGATGTGTCCTTTGCTTTCTGAATTAACGCCTCTAGATTGAATGTGAGTCCTGATGTGTAATAGCTGTAAACCCGCAGACATCAGCTAATTTGCCATTGAATCTGGGCCACAATACCACACCACACAGTGTTTATCCATTAGGCTAGCAGGGGAGTTTGTTAAACAGTACTTTTATTTTATCTTTGTTACATAATGTACCAGTTAATTGTAGTCATGAATTCTATTAATGGATGCAACGTTATTCCCCCAGCATAACTGTATAATTTCTATAATGTGTGCATTTGTAGAGAATAGAAAATAGTTTTTGGGGACATGGAATTGAAATTACTGTAATCATTGTATTTTTATAATCCCTGAAATGGGAGCCTGTTTTGTCTCAGGCCTTCAGTACAGGATTTGCAGTTTTCCAGGCAGACCAACATAACAAGCCTAGTTGTAAAAGTACCACAGCATTGAGACAATTGTTACCTTTTTATTAAAAAAAAGAGATTGACTGAATGTATAATAATGTTTTGAGGTTAGCAAGCTAATGTGTTTCTGAATTATGTTCATGTGTGGTTTAATGGAACCATCACTGGAACTGACAGAATGCAAATCTCATCCAAGCGAAAATTTACATTCACAGAGTATTAGTTCTTCAATCAAGCATGGCATTTCATGGTAAACTAGTTGGTCATTCACTAATAACAAGGGATGTTCATTTCCATAGTTCTACTTCAGTATTAAACCATCTCTATTTGCATTTTTGGGGGAGTAGAATGCGATCATTGTTTATGTTGAAATGATTAAGTGACTGCATGGTTACTGTTCTAAAACTGTGATTTATGTAGCAGCCTTAAATGGATAACAATTGAGCAGTTATTGAGAGATATCCCAATTGAAAGGAACCTAATTTGATAGGAAAGGTGGTGATTGAAATATTTTATGTTCAAGATAAATGAAACAAATTGCATGTAACCTTCTCCCAGGTCAAATGCCAAAAATATAGTAACAGCTGGATTGATTTTGTGTCTGTGGTATGAGATGAGTTGATGATTTGAACTGCAGTAATATCTGGTTTCATTGCAATACAGTGCATTCAAATACTGTATTATCTCTGTCTAGGCTACTGAAAATGACCTGTTCCCATTTAAAAAAAAACACTTTTTATGACATGGATAGTTTTACTCTCTTGCTAATGATTTGCTTGCATAGCTTTTTTCAGTAAAAATCACTTGATCCTATTATTTTTATTTGCTCTTATTGATTTCGGTGGATTGCATCTGTGCCTTCTTGTATGGGTATTCTTGTACTGTGCTATCAGTTACCAATGCAACAGAGCCTGAGAAAGGAAGAGAATGGCAGGAATGAGGATGTATTACTCATACCACTAGGCTTTCATTATCTCAACTTTTTTTTCCCTATCAGGTAGAAGGGTAAATAATTCAACATTTATGTTAATAACTAGGTTTGCTGCAACATTGCTCTCAATTAAAAAATGTGTACAATGTTATGATTTTAAATGATCCTCTTTTAAAATTACATTGAATTGTTATGTGATCGTGCTGAAAAATGGCCCCTTTCATTTATTAGGTATAATGTTGGTACTGAGAACTCATTCTCGCCACTTTTATGTTGATGCTTAAAAGATGAGTTTTCACCAACAGGAAGATATCTAATTGGACCTGTCGTACCAAAAAAATGGAATTAGATTTCATTTTGTGGAGAGTGTAGTTAGAAAGTATGTCTTGTCATTTCCATTTTAGTATCTTGGCACTTAGTAGTTAGTGTAAATTATGCATTTTACAGTGAGCAAATAGAAATTCTACAAAAGCTTTCTGTCAACACCCATTGAATTAATTATCTGTAGTTCATTAATACTGAAGAATTCATTGCACCTAATCTGATCAATTTATTGTATGAAACCACTTAACTGGAATTAGAGTAATCATTGAATGCAGTGATTAAATTCTGATTTCATAAAGCCGGTGTGAGAATGATCAAGCATATGTGGTATGCTTATACTGCAAATCTCTTCGGAGTGCATGATTATTAATCTTCACTTTATAGAAGGGAGAAATGTAACGACTGTCTGATATTCAGGCTAAACTAAATAGTTAGTGCCATTTTAAATAGAAGCAAAGTACTCTTCCAGCAATATTGGATGTCTGGAATGAATGAGTGATTGATCAATGTAGGACTGTAGTATTTGATGCTTTTCCTATTATACAGTAATTTCTTCCTAGAATATCAGGTGTGCCACGACTTCAAAGAAAATTAACAGATTCTGGCTTACTCATCAGTGGAGAAATATAACTACATGCCTTTTTAGAGTTGCATTTGTAGAAATTATATTTCAAATGAAGCCTGAAATTTGTCCTCCTGGAAGGAAAAATATAACAATGTCCCATTCTCTATAGTGCAGCTCGTTTATTATACGTAGAATTGGAGTCTCCAGCTGGACTAAAACAATAGTGCAACCTTATCAGTAAACTTAAAAGTACAACATTCTCTTTAACTCACATATGAAATGGTGAATAAGGTTAATATGTTTGCTTTGAAAGTTCTTCTACATTTATGTAGTTTGCAAGTAGTAGTTGTGGTTTGTTTTTCACAGGTTTCAAAATCAATAATAAGCGATGTGATGTGACGTACTGCACTCATATTTGTTTTTAATGTGGTAAATGCCATGGTTAAGTTTGTAAAATATTAGTGTTTACATTTTAATATCAGTTTCTCTCTGATCCAGATTTAGACGACCAGAGAGGTTTTTACATTGAAACAGAGTGGCAAACCCCGGTGCGTTCAGAAAGGGTGCAGCATAGAATCGAAAGGCGACCCAGCACAGCTGACAGTTGGGATACCGCCTTAGGAACGTCTTGTTCTGATAGCACAGACGGTGAGTTAAATACATGAAATTTCACCGTAAAATATACAGTCAATTCACTTTACAGTATATTCCGTGAGCAACTTTGAGACATCTCAAAGATGTGATAAGGTGCTGTATCAAATGTGAGGATTATTACAGTCAGATATGTGTAAAAAATGTTTCTTTAAAATTGCAGAATTGTCCAAATGTATTTCCTCTTTTCACAATTTTAACCCTAATTTGCAGGGATTTTTTTGTTTACAGTTCTTTTGTTTTTCAACAATAAAACAATGAATGAAGTAAATCAATGTGAATAAAATAACTATTTACCTACAGTATTTCCTTTATTTTTTAAATATTATTATGCTATTTAAATACCAACAAATATCGAGATTCCATAGTTTTGGCATAGTTTTGTGATAGTATATTTGCATTTGGAAGCTTGAATCGTCAAGTGCTTGGCTCCCAACATTACCTTTCTCCACATGCTGATACCCACACCACATCCCCTCTCACACAAACATGTGCACTGAAAATAGAATAGTTGTAAAAGTGAAACCTCTGACTTGACTGCCCTTTTTGTGATTATAACTAAAATGGTTATATGAGGTTACAATTATTAGTTATTTTAATGGACTATGTGGTTCGAGCATATCCCTACGCGCTTACTTGGGCTAAGTGGAGTCAACACACAAAAATACACGTTCTGTCTTTGCTGTAAAATGTGAGTGAATGGTGTCACTGTGCAATAGGTCTCTGTAAAGTCTGCCTCCACAAGATACCATGTCATTGCTTTACACATGATCTCTGAATTTGCAGTGTTAATGTTGAAAACATCTGCGAGGCTTCATACTCTTAAGAGTATGAGGTCATAGAATTTTATTTTCTCTCTTTCTCCCCCCCCAACCCCCAAAAGTAATGGCAATGAAGAAGAGAGTAACCAAATTCAAATTATATAAAATAATTCACTTAAATGGAGAAAATCCATCTCTTTGTAAATGTTCCAACTTTATGTATTCTTGCCTTTAACTTGGTGCGATAAAATGTACAGACCGCTTTTAATCCATGCACCGTGGTCATAAGATCTGCAATCTACTCAAATTTCCAGCGTTGTGCACTGTAACATTAATCGAATAAACATTAGCAGGCACAAGGAGCTAGCCAACAAGTGAGCAGAAGGAGCTTTAGCCATGGGAATAAAGGCCTTTTTGCATTTGTAGTAACAGAGTAGGTTAAAAGACAGAACTTCTCCAACTTTGTGGTTGAATCTTAGTTTAATGGCAGAGCGTTGGGTGTGTACTGAAAAGCAGCAAGTGGGCTTTGCTGCATTCTGTTGATGGCCATGATTCGAGTTAAATTTGGAACTGAAGTACTGAGAATTGATACTGCGAAGGAAGCCATTACTTTTACTTTCCTGGACCAGGTTTTCAGTAGTGCCACTAACAGGTAATTTTGTGCAGTTATCTGCATTTACTAAGTATAAACTGATGAAAAGACAAGCTACCTGAAATCTGTGAGTATTTTACTAGTGCATTTAATTCTAGTACAGTGCTGGATATGTTCAAATCTAGAATGAAGACCAGTCTTGACTTCTCAAACCTATGTGCTTCATGCAGTATGTATGGTTCTTTCTGGCTCAAAAGATTTTAAATTTATAGATTATTGTAAAAGTGATGGCATCAATCAAGTTGAGCTCTATTTTAAAATTGGATTATTTGGCTTATTGATTTTGTTTGGACCCATGACAAAAGTAAATTGGCATCAAATTCAATGGTAGGATTATAAATGGTGCCAGGGAACTTCAGAAAACGTGTTTCAGGCTTCCTGGAAAATAAAAATAACCTTTCCTGCAAATATCATGGTATCTATCAATACATTAAAAATAAATCTATCAGCTATTTACCTTAGTATAAATGGAGCAATATGCACATTACCTTAAGTAACTAATTCTATGCATAGCCGAGTCACTCTTGTCCTTGTTTCTGTTACTTACCAGTGCTAGTGAAACCCCATTATTACACCCCTTGGTCTATAGCGTAGCTTTGGTCAGTACTAGTGTTCTAATGACCTGCCTATTAGTATTTCTTCATAAACCGTACAAGTCGGCATTTATGTTCACGTATGTGGAGTGAATCAGCTGTAACACCATGTAATCCTTAGGTTAGTGAGAACTCTTGTGTTTAGAGTATTTTTTGGTTTAAAATGAATTTCAGTGGAATGACACAGTCACCTATTAATAATCCAGTCCATTTGAAACTACGCATTTGAAACTCCTGCCCATGATGATAGCCTCTAAAAATAGTGTAGCGTTTGTATTTTCCGCTTGTGCTGTTAAATGTGTGATCATTCACAAGCAATGTTTCTAACCAATCGAGATGAATTTTATTATAAGCGACTCACATAGCCAGTTACAGTCACTGTTGAAGATTTGTTTGTCCTACACTAATTGAATAATATTTAATGTCAGTTTAGTAGACTGGATACAACCTCCTTCCCTTTTAATTGCCAATGAAAAGTAGTTGTGCTCTGTAATTTGCCACGCTGCTCATTATTTCTTCTACTGTATTTTAAGATCCTGGATTCAAGAATTTTTTAGTATCTTTTTCCTAAAACAAAATACTTATAGAACACATTAGCTCTCATGGAGTACAAAGCATGCAGCTTGTGTTTTTGTATCTACTGCAGGTCCCCAATAGGTGAGAAACGAAAAGGACAACCGATAAATGGAAGTTCAGAAAATTATGCACCTTATCTTGATTGTATTCTATTATACCTGAGGATTTTATTAATCGCTTAGAATTTACTTGTATGCTGTAATGATTAGAAGCTTCCAACAGTGCAGGATTTAGTTTAGCATAATCTGCCCCATTAGTTTTGGCTCTCGTGTTTTTGATGTTTAATTTTGCAACACAACAAAACTAATCTGAGTTTGTATTAAATGATGGATTATCCTGCACATAATCAGATGAGCCATCTGTGGTATTGAGCACTTATTGCAGAGTTCCGAGTTATCCTTCATGTTGAAAGCATTCGATAAATAATTTTTATTCAACTAGATTTTGAATTTCTCTCTCCCTCAGATTTCTGTAGCTCCAGTGGAAGTTCTTCATTTAGACCCATCAGGACACAGTCCATTATCCCTACTGCCCATGTCATGCCTTCCACCTCTGGTAATTCACCGTCAAGGCTTCATCCACCAGGTGATCCAGGGTTCAGCTCTGCATCTGTACATCAGAGCTTTAACACATCAGATATGAAGGACCAAAGGACTGTGAAGAAATGGTCCTCCTTATCCAAGCTGAATGGGTTGGATATTAGTGAAAGAATTAGTGGAGAATCTTCTACTGATGTTAGAACCTTGCCTGCAGATAGTTTGAATGTTTGCAGACCAACTTTGAATGTACTTGACCATTCATCAAATCCCAATATCGAACATTTCAGAATGGAAGAGATTGCAAGGAAGTTTGAAGCACCTAACCTTGAACCAACCTTAAATCAATCAGATTTCTTAGACACATTTTATGGTGAGCCAAATCACAGGTTGCAGACTTGCAGCAAGGCTGAGATACCGCAAGACGTCAATGGCACTGGAACAAAAGACTGCTATGATTTCACTTACAAATCTTTGCCCGAAAGTAAGGCTGTACCAAGCAACAGTGGTCTATTAGGACAAAAGGCCTGTTTCCAACCTAATATTGGAGGCTCGACAACTGCTAGTCTCTATGACTTTCAAACACAGCAAACTTCTGTGGGTCCATCGTGGCTAAGGGAACATGTTCACGGAAAGACTTTTGATACCCGGCCTAATGAAAGATCACGTGACCTGACTGTATGGCAGCAGCAGCAGTTTGAGGCCCTTAGACTACAAGTGGAGCACATTCAGGTAATGCACTTACATTCATTTAGTGCTAGATGGGAGTACTGCAGGTACAAACCAAATTAAAACCCGATGGACACTGCACTTGCAACTAGTATTAATTTTACTTCAATTCTTTACTGCCTATTCCCATAGTTATTGAATGCTGGATCTCAGCAGTTCCCAACTGCCCAATCTGTCATTCTACATCAGGAACCTAACAAATGGGACCCACTGATTAAAGCAAATGAGAGCATATTGAAAGAGAAGGAGTTGGTGATTGAAAGGTGAGTTATATAGAGGGGTGAAGAGAATTGTGAGCTTTCAGCAGTCTAATAAGTGTGTTCCTCTGCAACTACATGGGCTTTTCATACCATTCCCTCTGAATTGCAGGCAGAAGCATCAGATCTATCAGCTGGAGCAGAAGATGAGGATGTCTGAGCTGCAGATGCACAGCGCGATGCTGGGACATCCTGTTCCTCTCAGTGATGTGTACATGCTTCGGTTACAGGTACTGCTCTTCCATGGGAACAAATGATGTTTGTATTATCCGTGGCCTAAGTTTGCTTTGCCAAACTCTGCATGCAGAATTCATCAGCTTTCTAAATACAACTAACTGGTTATAGAGTAATTTCTCCACTCACTGAAATAATGGTATTCTAGAGCAAGGTGATGGTACGAGGTCTACATGACTAAACACTTCAAGACTAAACCCAGCTGATCATATGTGTGTATGTTGTGGATCCTAGCAAGAGCCAGCAAAGAGAAAAGAAAAACAAGAAACGCATAACTTGGTGAATTTTCTGTTGTACAGGAATCTTTACGAGAAAATGTTTTCTTACGGGCTCAGTATGCAGAACGGACAGAGGCCTTGGGTAACGAAAAAACAGAGATGGAGAAAAAACTAGCAGCCGCTGAAGTAGAAGTACGGCGTATGAATGAGACACTGAAAGAAAATTCACAGAAGTACATGGATGAGATGAAGAAAATGGAGGAGAAGGTAGGTTGTTCTTGAGTTTTATTGAAAAGAAAAGTACTTTCTACTGGATACACATTGGGGTCTAATTTATATTTCCAACTGTATTCCATGTTAATTGCAGTTTTGCTTTGTGATGTTTGCAAACAGTGAATCACGCATCCCAAGTCAGCATGTGACAATGTTATGCTCACAAGAAATTTGTGAATATCACACATCAGATCCTATTGACAGACCTTGTGCACCTATCATTCCACTCGTTGATTTCCAAGGCACAGTGATTAAAGTGTTGTGGTGCCGCCAAGTGGCTGAATCTCAGTAGTACATATGGCCCGTTGAAGAAAGTCATGAATTCCACGTTAACCAGATGCTTACATTTATATTTATTGAAAAGAGAAGGAAAATTCTTCCAATATCCAGCAGTCCTTCAGATAAACTGAATTCACATTGTGGCTGTTTATGGGACCTTGCTGATGCAAATGGCTGTTGTATTTGTGTACAAAAAAAAGGATTAATATAACCCTTGCATTTGATACAGTGCCTCATCACGTCTTCGAGACATCTCAAAGCGTTACTGTAAAGTGAATTGACTATCTTTTGTGGGTGAAACGTAGCAGTCAATTGGGCACAGCAGTGTCCCACAAACAGTTGTGGATTGAGTGACCATTACCAATTATTATTATCATTAGCAATGTGAAGGAAGTATTAAAAAAACAAGTCTTTGCTCATCATTCTCATTCTGTACTGCTACAGGTTCGAGGCCGTGACAAGCACATCAACAACCTGAAAAGGAAGTGTCAGAAAGAGGCAGAGCAGAACCGAGAGAAGCAGCAGAGAATTGAAACCCTGGAGAGATATCTTGCAGACCTGCCAACTCTGGACGACTACCAAAAGCAGAGCCAGCAGGTAGAGCAGAAACTATTTGATAGTGTGACCTTGAAACTCTTTGACCCTGGGTATGTTGACCTGTTTTCAGTGCCTGTAGACTATTAACTGGCACCAGACAAAATATTTTTTTGGTCTCTCCCCAAAGTTCCAATTAGATATATCACCTAGTAAATAAAGGGAAGCTTCAGCAATGGTTAAGAATGGTTTAAAATGTATTAAGTGAAAAGTTATTCTGCTCCAGAAGTTCAGTCTACTAACCTACTCCCTGAAGTTTGCTGTAGTGCTCTGTTGTTGCATGGTTCAAAATTGGTGTCAGTGCTGCTGGACAAAAAATGCTCAGAAAATACTTTTGTGGACTAGAAACTCAATTGGGATTGTTGCCTTTCAAGCTCTTTGTTTAAACAGACAAGAAGGTCGTTAGGGGATTAAATGAATGCTGTTACTTCAGTGCCACAAAGCAGTGAAGATAAAACGTGTGGAGCAGAACAATGTTTTCTATTGTCAAAACAACTGGCTGAAAAATAGCAGAACTTATACAAGACCAAAGAGAAATGTAACCTCAACAGATCAAAGTATTTTTAAAAAGCCATGAATATAATACAGAGAAAGCTTTGAAGTGATATCCATTCCCCATTGATTGCCAACTGAACATTGGCACAGATCCACCAGCAATTCTTGTGCAAAGCACTTTTGCTGTACCTGCATTGTATCTTTAAAATGTATTCAGGCAAAATGATTGATTATAAACAAGTAGTTAATGGATGTAGATGTGTAGCTATGTAACAGTCTCCTGTGTTGCTAGCACAACGGTATTGCCATGCTGTAACAGATTTATTTGAAATTTGTTTTCTCATATTTTTCTGTTCGGAATCCACCGTAATGTTCGTGCAGTCCTTTGCAATATTCTTTTACATGAAAAGATATTGTTTTTTCTGTCTATGTGAAACCATTCTTGATGTAGAATAATAATGCTCTCAAATCCAGGACCGAGGTTTTCTCTAAAGTATTGCTGGGGATTTTATAATGTGTGCTTCAGGTTGCATGAGGTTAGCTGCAAACCTAAGGGATGTCAGATAATGTACAAGTGAAAGGGTCAGTGTTAAATTACCTAGTTAATCTGGATTAAATTTACATTGGTGTTAATAATAGTATATTAATATTGCATTAGTCTGCACTGACTCTAGCACCTTTTGTAATTAATATGTTGCACCTTCCTTGTCCTTATATATAAATCCTTATTCTGTGCACTGTTCCCCGAGTTTTTATTCTTCTGTATTAAGATGCTGCATTGGTTTGGGGATAAACTCGCCTGTGTTTGTCATTCTACAATATATGCCTCATCTAGCTGTCAAGAAATGGTTTATCTTCTCTGTCTCCACAATTGAAAAATATTCTAATGAATCTGAATGGAATTTCATTTTTCCAGGTAAAGGACTTGGAGCTGAAGAGTGACCAGCTGCAGAGCATGGTCACGGATCTGGAGACAAATCTGGGGGAAGCTCGCGCTCTCTGCAGGGAAAAGGAGAGCCTGCTGGAGAATCAGAAACAAAATGAAGCACAGCTCATTTCCACTGTACACAGGTAAATGAACCTGTGTTTCAGGATTTACTGTCTCTTATTCCTTACCTACAAAAATGAATCTGAGACTAAAACTTGTATCACTATAAAATAACAACTTGCATTTATATAGCATCCTCCACTTGTAGCATCCCAGAGTGCTTTAAACTAGTAGATTTGGGAGGCTGAGTGTTCTGGGTTGTTTATAGTAATAAATATTCCAGTAAAAAAACCTTAGGTTGATTTTTAATGTTAGTGTTGCTATTGCTGGAAACACAGTTTGGATTTAACGTGATTCGACGGTATCGCTCTTCTCTTCAGTCTTCAGGATAAGGTCTCCAAGTGTCTGGAAGATGGGGCGAGATTGCCAATTCTAGAAGTAGAGAAACTGCAGTGTGAGAGTGACGGCTTGAAAGAGGACTATGAGAGAGCCAAGAAGGTGAGCGCTGCATCTTCATTCCAGGCATCTGAAGAAATGGATCCTTTTTGCAGCGGGTGGACAGCCCTGGGAGAAGCTGTTTACCAATGCGCATATTTTCTTTTATGCAGCATAAATTTTCTTTAACTTTGATTTTTCTATATTTAATGTCTTCCACGTGTGGCGCTAACGCATGCATGGGACAGATACTATTACTGATTTACTAATTGTATCTGTTTACTTATCAGCTCATAGATAAACAACAGAAGAGAATGGAGCTGCTGACCTCACAGATACGGGTATGGTGATCCCTGAAATTCCAAGCCATGCAACTGACTGGACTAATTCAAAGGAACTAATAACTCTCCTTGGTTGAATCAAACCCAGACTGATGGAATGGGAGTCTCCTTTCTATCTTTTAAGGTCTGAAATGTATATGAGGCAGTTTCAACCCAAGTCAGTGGTTGGCGTGGGTCTGTAGAAGAGAACTTTGAATTGTCATCTCACACACATTATAAGGATCGAGAGTATGAGAAATATGGGGAGGTTAAGATAAATAATTTCCTGTAAAAGGTGCTTTTACTGTGGATTTTTCCATGCTGACACTAGGAGAGTAAAACGGTGGGAATGGGTTCATCTCAACACTGACAGATTCAACCTGGGTACAAAATTGAGTAGCTTGAAGTACACATCATTTAAGACACAAACTTGTCTTTGTTGCCTCACCAGTATTTTACTTTTTTTAAAAGGAACCTACAGTGCATTTTTGTTTGGTTGCTAATAATTGTTTGTCCAATAACATAGAAAATGTGTCTCTTTGCATCATTCTTGTATGATGATCTGCAGTCCCTGGAGGATTGTGTGGCACAGGAAGAGGGGGCAAGCCAGGATCTTCGAGAGGAGTTGTCAGGAAAGGAAAATGGATCACAACAACTGAGGAGAGCCATGAAGGAGGTGAGCAGTGAATACACGGTTCAACATTGCAGGAGACAAGCTCAGTTTGAAACCTCAGATATTCACCTTGTGTGAGAGTCTGATGACTCAGCGCCTTGGGACGTCCTCCCGACGTGAAAGGCGCTCTATAAATGGAATCTTGTTGTTGTTGTTGATGAATTGTTGAATATTTCTTAAATTCAGTCTCAGTTTGGAGGCTGGTTTTCTGCAGATTAAAAAATGCTGGGACTAAGAATAGTTACTACTTGTGGACAGCTTCCTGCATCCTACTGTCTTGCTGGATGAAGGACAAGTGGGTTAGTTAACAAATTAATTGAAATACGAATAAACGGTATGTTTTTTATGCGTGAAACAACCCACTTTTAATTACAATAGTTTTAAATTTCATCGGTGTGGAATTGTGCAAAGAGAATGGGCTAATCCACTTAGCTAGACATGGCTCTGATTTGCTTGCTGGTGTAGGGTGCTTCACAGCTGGCACATGGTCAAGTATGCTGGCTATGTAGCCTGTCTTAACTCATTGTGGCTGAATGAAATGATGTGCAGAACAAAGCTGAATATGGTTTCTGGTCAGTGTGCTGCTGGCTCCCAGCTTGGTACGGAAAAACCCTCCATCCCTTTCAGCAAGGGGAGGTGAATGGCCGCTGAGGCCAAATGCTAAATGCAAGGAGAATCTGAGGATTAAGTAATGGCGGGAGAAATCACCTTACTACTTGTTAATATCTGAGGAAGCAGAGGTTTTGTATGTGCTGCATTTTTGATCCCTGACAAAATTTGCAAACACAATATTTTTAAATAAATTGTAGTTTATGGAACAGTTGGCAATATTTTTTCGTTGTATTAATTTAGTGTTGAATTTCCATAATCGCGCAATCAGTGCTATATTCTACCTGTCTCGCTTTTGTTCTGAGAATAGGCTGAGAAAACTAATTAAGCGTTCCTTTTTTAAAAAAATATTGGAAGATTTTTCAGATGTTCATATTCGAATGTAAATTAAGCTCGCCATCTGGTGTTGGACAATAGTCTGAGATCTGAAGAGTAAATTATGGTGTTTCAAAGAGCTCCTTTCTACTGAAGTGGCAAGTTGAGATGAATTGACTGTTGGGGGTTGTAATTTTCTGTCAGTGGCTCTTGTATGTACACTCTGGACTGTCATCAACTGTGTCGCCAAAACCTCTCACACCAACAGTTGCTGATAATGAACATCAGACATTGTTTCTTTTACATTCTTAAGTGTCTACAATTTTGGTTAACAAAATTTAAGAAGCACTTGCTTAAAACAGGCGTGTTTTCCAGACAGATGTGTTCCGAAAATTGTTATATCTAGCAAAATATAGTGTTTTTAACCTTTGTTGCAATACTTGTGTTTTGACGTGCGCTGTTGTATCTGCAGCTTTCTGCCCAGAATCAGGAGCTGATTGAGAAGAACCTAACCCTTCAGGAACAGCTGGGACAGAGCAGGGTGGGGCAGAGCACACAGTTGCCACCCAAAACCATTCAGCTCACAGAGAAGCTGCACCGAGAGTTGGCCAAGTGTCTGTCGGACCTGCAGGCAATCTGTAACGTCCTCGCACAGCGAGCACAAGGCAAGGATCCCAACCTGTCCTTGCTGCTTGGAATCCAGTGTAAGTACACTGTGTGCCCCACTATACACACCGTCCCTAATTGTGTACTGTTTCACAATGTAACCTCCTAGAACTCTTAACGCTCAGAAGAAGGCTGTTTGGCCCACCGTGCATTTGTGTGTTAGCTCCCCCTCTTGAACTCTATTCTAATCTCTTTCCCCTACACTATTTGTGACTCTTTGTCACACTATCACTCACTGCAGCTTGGCCTCTTGCAGAGCACATACTATTGAAAGTAGTGCAAAGGCACTCATCGTGCATGGAAGAGGAAGGAATCTGGCAACTGAAATAGAAATAAAGGAACAAAAGCATCACTGACTAACATTCTGAGCATAGCTGAAAAATCAAACATTGTAGTTTTCATGAAGTATTTTTCACACTTGTGCAATACTACTATTTTTAAATATCACTATTTTTATAATCTATTTTGTGTCAAAACTGAATGTCATTTTAGTTTTTTATAATTCACTTCCCAGAATAGCTCCAAATTGTTCAGTTTTCCTGATTTATGGAATGCCTTTAACTAGATTAATTAGCAGCCTGTTCTACCCCTCAAGTCATCCGTACGATGTGACACAGAAAGTTTGTATGAGCTTGTTTCTCTTCCTCAGCAATACATCACTTCAGCGCTGAAGAGGAGGATTGGCAAAATGTGGATTTACTGATCAAGAAGCTGGCTGATGTCAAGCAGCTACACAGAGAGATTGATGATTTAAGGACCACCATATCAGATCGATATGCTCAGGACATGGGAGACAACTGCATAACACAATGAATGTGTGCAATGTTGTTTGTAGGGATTGGGGAATTTAAAGTATTGGGTCTTTAATGTTTGTTTGTGTTGGACAATCCAATGAAAAATGCCTTGATTGAAACCAGTTCATGAAAGAAGTTCAAAAACTTGCCACAATGGTTATCTTATGACAGCTGATATTCTTGCTGTTAGGTGAGACCTGCATCTCTTCTGAGGGCACTAGTCTGGCAGTAGCTTTCTGTATTCCAGTGAAGTTTAGTAAATTTCTCTACCGTGAAAGGATAACAGCCTTGTTAAAATACTCAATTTTTTAACCAAAGCAACAATGTTTATCAGAACTTTTCCTGCATAGCACTTAAGCCTGTTGTTTATTTCTCTCTCAGGTACCACTAAATAAATTATTTTACTTTCCTGAAACCCTGGAATATTTGGACAGGAAGGAATCTTGCAGCACCCTAGATGTAGAGCATCCTCCTGATCCCTGACTCCTTATGGGATGGTGCAAACACATACTGGCAGTTCTGGCCAGGAGCTGCTTCTACATTAACAATGATATTTATGATACCGAAACTAGCGGATACCTGGCCCTCTGTTAGTGCTTGTTCCTTGTCACATATCAACATGAAACTTGAACTTGACCAGGTCTAATTATGAAGCTGATGCACGTGCACCTTAGGACCTAGTGGGTTATCAATAAACTTTCAGCAATAATCCCAGGTCTTATTCTGACTTGATTGTCACTAGCAGTTCTTTTGCTACCAAAGAAGTGGAATCCAATAAATTGGACCTTCGTAACTGGAATGACTTAGTTCAGAGTTAATGTTGGAGGTTTTAGCAATGCTTTCTTCACCTGCACTGGTGGTGTGTATATTGTCCTAAATGGCCAAAGTTTACATGCCTTGACCCTTTCTTACAATCTGAAATAAAGACAAGTTGAATGAGTTGCTTGTGCAGGTATGTCCTTATGCTTGACTCCAATGTAAAGTGCTCTGTCTGGTCACTCAGGGCAGGACTGTCTCGCATCAAACTAATTTCATCTCAAGGTTATTACAGTATCTGAGCCCGAAATTGCATAGCATTAAATTGAGGAATAACAACAGAACTTTTGAGGTTCACTAAATGTTTGCAGTAAAAGTTGGCTCAACCTACTGAGCTAGAGCAGCAATGTAATGTTTTTAATTGTTGTCTCAAATTTGGGTGGGGTGGTTGGCAATTTAAACTTAATAATGTGCCAACAGTGGACACCCACAGTAAGTCCATCAGCAAGAAAGGGGTTAACGTTGGACTGGCCCTTCAGTATTTGGTGAAGAAACATAAAACGTTAACCTAATTTCTCTTAAAGCTGCTGACTAACCTGCTGTGGATTTCCAGCAAATGTAGTTTTTATTTTTTTATTCAGCTCAATATTGATCTGAAACAATGGAATGTGGACTCTCAGCATTTCCTGATAATTGAGTAACTTTCNTTTTTTTAGAAATAGCAGCACTTGACTCCGTTTTATTGTTCTGGGGTTTAACTGGACCACCTAGATTGTATAGAGGATATTGTGCCTAAGGTGGGTTTTGATATCGGTGTTATTTCCTTAATGTGAGTTCTTCTGAGTGAAAGTAACCCAGAAAAGTGTGCCTCCTGTTGCAGGTTTGTATTCTGCATCTAATCCTTTGGAAAACTTGTTTAAAAGGGCAGTATTTTAGTGAGCACTGTCAGTCATGTGAGCCATAAATTATACATCTCCGCTGGAAAACACCACAAGTGGAGTTTGCTGTTGCAGATAACTTTATTATAATCTCACGGATGAATAAGGGTACATAAGGTTTGAGATGTACCCTAGATCTGATATTTAAAAGTATAACAGTGCTAATTTGCAGAGTCAATTTGTTACAGCCTCTGCACAGGCCAAGTTTTGTGACTTACAGAAATTTGAGATTTGGTGCAAAACTGGCCAGTTTCTGAACTTCTGCCAAACTGAAGTTTGATTTTTTTTTCATAATGAAAAATATGGAGATTTCAGGATTTACTGAATAATTCAAATGTGTTAGTATTTTAAAACGACTGACCCTCGGTGTGCGTGTTCTATGCAGACAGTTACAGCTCAGGGAGGAGGATTTCCTCTGTTTTTACGTCCATTTGGATGACTCATGAGGTTAATCTTGCAGGAGTTGCCTTGAGAAGGACAATGGTTTATACTAATTTTATTAAAAGTTTTTTTTGTAAGTTTTGATGTCAATTATTTATATCAGATTCATACTTGTATTTTCATCTTGTAATTATCTTTGTATTTGCAAATAAAGATTTTTTTATTTGTATTTAAAATAACCCAGGCTGCAGCTGTAATTTCACGTACTTGTTTTCTGTTCTCCAAAAAATACCAAGCTGCATTCTGCAGGAAATTGCTTACATGACCTGCTCCCAGCTTCAGGAGGTTAAATTAACCCGTTAATCCTTGCCTGCCTTGTGGACAGAACTTTTCATGCACCCTTCCTTAGTAATAATCTGTTATTTCAAGATCATTACTGTTATCCTCCAGGTGCCTCGTGATTGCAATTGTTCAAACCGGCCTGTGTTTACTTTACGCTTAATCACATCCCGCACGAAAGACACAACACCAGAGCTCAGTTTCTCTTCCGTTACTGGTGAACTGTTGGAAGTCATTTTCTCAAGAGAAAAGTTCTCAACTTTCCATGTCACAATTTGCCGATTGTATTTGCTGAAAGGTTTGAGGTCGTCCTTCGGCTCCGCTTGCAGTCTCCAAATTAGTGCGTTTAATTTTTTTTAAAATTAAAAGTGCCTTCAATGAGCTCTGAATTAAGCGCAATCTGTCGTGGGATTTGTTCCTCGGTGGAATTGACTTCTCACAATTTTGCAGAGTTGGGTCATTCCACCTGCGTTTACAGCGAAGGCGGCATTGGAAAGGTGACTTGTCCAGTGATTTAACTTACTATCTGCTGTGCTCCAGTTCATAACCACCTGCACATTTTTTTTTTCTTGGGGGGGTGGGGCGGGGGAGTGATTTCTAGGTTCTGAAAAAGTTCGGAGCTTTGAGGAAACTGGGCCAGTCCGTGACGGAACTAATTTCAATATTTCTAATGTAAGATAATTGGCTGGGGAGCAAGTGCAGTGATCAGGGAAAGGGTTATTGAAACGATTCCCCCACTCAACGCACACATACATACATACATACAGTGGGAAAAGGAAACGTTACCAGACCGGGCGGGCGGGGGGGGGGGAAACAAAAGGCGTGTGGTGTGCGCGATTAACCAACCAAGTACAAGTAAGCAAATTAACCGCTCTTATTTCAAAAAGAGAAGGCAGTAATCCCTTTCCAAAAATCCCCAAATAATGTTGGGTCACCGGCTGTTCGCGCGGGACGTCGCTGTGCGCAAACCGGCGGCTGCGTTCAGCCCACAACACGCGCGCAGCGAACCCCACTTTAAAGTGTGTCCCGCGAAGCGTTTTGAGACAACTTCGACATCACGACAAGGCGCTACATTGAAATCCAAGGATTATTATTATCATTACTATCCTCGCGCCCGCCTGCGCCGGCTCTCGGAAAGAATGTCTGCTCGGCCCCAACCCCTCTCTTCCCCCCCTCCCACACGCGCACACACACACACACACATATTCAAAATATGTGCCCAGTTCCCTTCTGCTTCAAAGAAAACTTTTGCTGGAGGATTCCAGGGCCATGTTCTGCATGTAAAAAAATTGTTAAAAAAAAAAAAAAATTCCCCTTTTGAATGATTTTAAATTGATGGGCTCCCTTTCTCCCCTCTCCCCCCCCCCCCCCCCCACACACCCCCCCCCCCTCCCCAAGTTATTATTTGACCAATGCAAAGTGTCTCCCTCTGCATTTTTTTTTGCAATGGGTTGCAATTAAGCAAAGGAGTGGGAGATGGGCGATGGTCGCGTTGAATCGTGTGAGACACGAACCCCCCCCCACCCCCTCCCTCCCCCCTCCCCTCTCCCCCCTCTCCCCTCCTTCCCCCCCCTCCCCTCCCCTCTCCCCCCCGAGGGTTGACGTGGATCAAGTGGACGAGTGCAATTGGGCACTGTTATATCACATGGAGAAGTTGTCCTCTCATTTGCTTTGGGGGTGTGTGGGGGGGAGTGAGTGAGTGAGTGAGTGAGCGCTCGGGAGAGATACACAGAGAGAGAGAGAGAGAGAGCGCAGCGGAGAAGATGAGCGTAAAAGTGTACTATACCACAGTGACCGGGTCCAGGGGTGTGAGTATTGCGGGGGGGGAGGGGGGGCTGTGTGGGGGGGGAGGGGGGGAGTGGGGAGGGGGGGTGTGGGGGTGTGGGGAGGGGGGGGTGTGGGGTGTGGGGGGGGAGGGGGGGTGGGGGGGAGTGGGGAGGGAGTGAGAGAGAAAGTGGAAGGAAGGAAAGAAAGGAAGAGAGTGCAGCGTTGATAACGAGACATCCGTGAAACTGACCATTGCCTTTTGGGGGGTTCGCGAAGTCCGACCACAAATAATGGGTTAGTTTCACAGAGATGCCTCGGGGGGGGGGGGGGGGGGAGTGGGGGTGTGGGTGTGAGTGAGTGTATGAGTGAGTGGGTGTGTGTGAGTGGGTGTGAGTGAGTGAGTGAGTGAGTGTGTGTGAGTGGGTGTGAGTGAGTGAGTGAGTGTATGAGTGGGTGTGTGTGAGTGGGTGTGAGTGAGTGAGTGAGTGAGTGTATGAGTGGGTGTGTGTGAGGGTGTGGGTGTTAGTGGGTGTGAGTGAGTGTATGAGTGGGTGTATAAGTGGGTGTGTGTGAGTGGGTGTCAGTGAGTGTATGAGTGGGTGTGTGTGAGTGAGTGTATGAATGGGTGAGTGTGAGTGAGTGAGTGAGTGTGAGTGTGTGTGAGTGAGTGTATGAGTGGGTGTGTGTGAGTGAGTGTATGAGTGGGTGTGTGTGTGAGTGAGTGTATGAGTGTGTGTGTGAGTGTGGGTGTGTGTGTGTGAGTGAGTGTATGAGTGGGTGAGTGTGTGTGTGTGTGTGAGTGAGTGTATGAGTGGGTGTGTGTGAGTGAGTGTATGAATGGGTGAGTGTGAGTGAGTGTGTGTGAGTGAGTGTGTGTGAGTGAGTGTATGAGTGGGTGTGAGTGAGTGTATGAATGGGTGAGTGTGAGTGAGTGAGTGTGTGTGTGTGTGTGGGTGTGTGAGTGTGTGTGTGTGGGTGTGTGAGTGTGTGTGTGTGTGTGTGGGGGTGACAACGCCCTGTCCCCGCAAAACCCGCAGCGAGAGCCGTGAGAAGGGAATGTATCCGATGGAGGACTGAAGCCGTGTTACACAGTAGCCTCAGCCCCGCGGGGGCCGCGTCCGGTCCACACTGCACCACAGAACACCCACTCCGAGGGGCAGTGTGTAATGTTGTATTTACACACTACACTACACTATATTCTGTGAAGCGCTTTGGGACGTCTAGAAGACGTGAAAAGCGCTATATCAAATGCAAGGATTATTATTATTATTATTATTATTATTACACGCACTACACTACACACCCAGAGCGCATAATGAAGCCGTAATTGTATTCGGGTGTTTTTAGACTGGGTGGGTGGTGGGTGAAAAAAATCTTATTTCTTTCTCTCTGGCGGGGTTGTCTGTGCAGCAGATTTCCATCCTTTTCCATCAGTGTTAACCTCACGGCCGGTGTCAACTTTAATGCACCGTAATTGTGTTTAAATGCTTTTTTTTAAAAAAAAGGTTATTTCATTGCGTTATTTTTGTGTGTGTGTGTGTGTGCGAAGTCTTGAGCTCTTTGCGTTGTGTAGTCTCTGTTAAAGGGACGGGTGGAACTCGCTTTAAACTGTCCCAGCAAATCCCTTCCTCCCTCCCTCCTACTTAAGAGTCGAGGAGATGAGCCATGAAATGAATGAATGGATGAATGAATTCTGGCACTTGCACAAAAATACCCACTCTCCAGTATATCCTACAAAGTGCTTTGAGGCATCTTAGCGACGTGATAAGTTGCTCTATCAAATGCAAGGGTTATTATCATTTGATACAGTGCGTAAAATGTCCCAAATGTCTTGAAGCGCTCGATGGGTGATTGCTGTCGGGTCTACGTCTTTTGTAGGCGGGTGCGGAAGACTGTTCGTGGAGAGTAAACTGTGTGGCTCGTTTCTGAGTATTTGCGACGCTGTGGTTTGTGTTTCACTGGGGCCTTGCGATGCAGTTTCAAAATAAAGTCAGCAAAAGCAGAAGAGAGAGCGTAGGAAGCGTTGGGCGTGTGCAGCAGCGACAGGGTGATTTGAAACTGTAGAATCGATGGTATCAGCAAGGAACTAACCAAGTTTTGGGGGAATTTTAATTAATTAATCGCTGCATTTAATATAGCACATTATCACGTTGTTCAGACAGCTCAAAGCCCTTCACAGGATACGCTGTTAAGTGGGGTGACTGTATATTTTGTGGGCGAAACACATCAGCGCACAGCGATGCCCCACAGAAACCATGGAGTGAGCGACTAATTTTATTTGAGGGGGAATTATCGGTCAGCACACTTAAGAGAGTGAAACTTCCCTTTTCTTTTCCAACAACTTTCATTGAATGGAAATGAAAGGATTTTGAGTTTGGGGATGATGTGGAGGCTTTTATTGGGAAGCTGGATGGTGCAGTATCTGACTCTGGTAACAAGCCCAAGGCTGAGATGAGAGATTTCCTGGCAGGAGAGGAATCGGGTGGATGAATGAGCAGCTTCTGAGCTGATAGTAACGTAATTCTCTAAAAAATATCAAAGTGGTGGCAGGGGCTCGCTCTGCCGCGTGTCTTCTGAGGTTCAGGGAAAGATCACTACCTCGCACCACACCTCACGCTCTGCCTGTGACTGTGGGCCGGGGATATTTTCAGTTCCTTAATTACAAATAAGCATGCAACTTTCTCCTAAACCCTTCAAAAGACGCCATGATACAGCAATGCAATAAATTCGCGGCAGGAAGGACTGTGGCAGCGAGTACTTTGTGTCATCTTTTAGCTAATAATCTGAGCGGAGATTGGCATGTGGCCTGGGACCCGGACCTAGAGCGATCTGATCTGAATGCCCGAGGGCTGAGGCTTCAGGAATCAGGTGGGATTTAAACTCATTTACAGAAAATGTTCGATTGCAACCGAGCCTCCCAGCGCTGACGTTTATCCGGTTTAACAGCTTGCCTCTGTGCACTTCCTAGGAATTTAGGGACATGTTAAATGACACTTTAATGTGTCCTGGGAATTCCTCATTATCTGCCTCCTGCCTCCTGGCATAATCAGTGTCAGCTTTTATTGAATGGCTCAATGGATTGGAAGAGCTTTACTGGTTTCTGTTTGTTTTCTTCCTCTCGCTCCACTCCCCTCCCCCTGAGGGGCTGCTGGCCACCTGATCTCAGCCACCTCCCTCTCCGCACACACAAGCAGACAACACCCCGAGGATAAGCTTCCTGCCAATATTTTTTTTCGTAAGTGGTTTTGGCTCGATTCCAAAGGCGGTGTGGCCAAGGTTATTAGGTTTTTGAGACAACTTCCATCACATTGCGTCCATCTCGCCATTGCTGCCAGACACGCTCTGTGACGCACTCCGACATGAGTTCCAGCCCCAAAGTCTGGTCTTCAGCTCAAGCACTGTACTGGGGGAGGGCTGCATTTTGCAAAATACAGTCAATCCACTTTATTCTGTAAAGCACTTTGAAATGTCTCAACTATGTGATGAGATGCTATATCTTTAATATATATCGTTTATTATGGTCAGAGATGCCTTCCTCCAAATGAATCCTTCGCGCTCGTGTCACTTTAAAGATCCCGCAAAGCTATTGGAAAAGAAAAGGGAGGTTTTCACTTTCTCTCGCTCGTTCGCTCAGTATCCCGGCTGACAAATCCCAAATGGGATCCTTATCGTCACAGCTGTTTGTGTGCACATTGTCTGCTGTGTTTGCCAATAATTTCAGTGCCTGTTTGATTTCATTTTGAGATGTTTCAGTGGGCGCTTATCAAATGTGAGGGCTGATATTGTTTTTTTTGCCACAGTTCCCTCCTGAGTAGACGTGGGGGAACAGGATACATCTGCAGTGGAGGAAGCGAGTGAGAAACCTGATCTGTGTGCAGGAAACTGGGGAATTTGGTCTCTCAACTGCTGACTTGCCTGGAAGCCATGTTTGTTCTAAGCGAGTCTTGCTCAGTGGGTGGGTGGGGAAAGGTCTTGTGAGGAGGGCGTGATGTCAGCCAAGTCTGTCTTGGCCGGAGCTGTGAGGCTGTTACTCAGCAGGCTGAGCAAAGGCAGGGAAATTGTATATAATAATGATGATAATCCTTGCATTTGGTACAGCGCCTCATCCTTGAGGCGTCTCAAACCGCTTCACAGAATATATTATAAAGTGGATTGACTGTAGTTTGTCATCAGAAAACACGGCGGCCAATTGCGCACAGCAGTGTCCCACGAACGGTCGTGGAATGAGTGACCATTTTGTTTAAAAGCAATTCTTACCCCTAGAAACTGATCTTCTAATTGACTTACAATCAGATTCCTACTTACTGCTCGATAAGTAGAGATGTGTGGAGTAAGCAAACTTGCCTAATGTTTCGCCCCCCCGGGAATCGAACCTGGGTATTGTTGCTTGCGAGGCGAGTGCTCTAAGCACTACATTACGGCACTCCGGATTGTGTTTTTGCCCATGTTGAAACTTTTACTCACAGTCTAGGCTGACTGGAGCGAGCACCTCATTGTCGGAGGTGATATCAAACTGAGGTCCTGTCTGTGCCTGTGCAGGTGGACGCTAAAAGTCCTGTGATGCTATTGGAAAAGAGAAGGGAGTTTCTCTCTCCTGATGTCCTTGCCGACAATCATCCAGACACATAAAATCATTCACTTCACGGCTGTTGGGAAAACTTCTGTGCCCAAAATCATTGTGACAAAGTCAGGAATGTCCTATGAATCACTGAGATGATTTGACATTCCTGGCCCTGTAACAAACTTGTCTGTTAATGTGCAATTCACACCGTGAGCAGAGAGTTAGCCCCTGCCCTCGTTAACGCTCTTGCTATTTTGTCCTGACACAGGTGAAGTCCAGTCAGGCTGAGGTGATCCGCGTCCTGGACGCGAAAGGGGTCAAGTACGAGCTGATCGACATCTCGCAGGAGAACTCTCTGAAGGAGGAAATGAGGAAGAAAACAGGGATTCCCGATGCTTGTCCACCACAGATCTTTAACGGGGAGCAGTACTGTGGGGTAAGCACCTCACGCCCCCACCCACACACACACACGCACACACACAAGGTCCATATATCACGGCATTCAAATGGGAGTGGGAGGGGGCTGGTCAGGGAACTCCAGAAAGTGTGTGTGAGTGGGTTGTGCGTGTGAGGCGTGTGTTGGGGATCATGTGTGTGTGTGAGTGACTGGGTGCGGGTTTGCATTGTGTATTTGTAGGAGGGAATATGAGTGAGTGGTATGTGTGGGAGGGGATTTGTGTGTGTGTGAGGTATGCATGCGTTGGGGTGCAAGTCGATGTATCAAACAAACCATTGCAGTGATTGGGATGGATTGGCTGTGTGTCTGTCTTCCAGGGGCACGAGGATTTTGTGGAGGCTGTGGAAGGGGATACGGTGATGAAGTTCCTGAAGCTGGATTGACCTCAGACCTGCGGCCTGGGCCTGGCCCAGTGCTGGGGAAGCCCAGGACAGTAGTGACTGGACTCGCCTTCCCACATGCGGTGCTGATGTAGTGCTGTGCAAGGCTAAGTGTAGATTTCTCTAAGGATGGTAACGGCTTCTCTTTCTGCTGAGCACTTGTTGTTTGCTGGCCATTAACTCTTTATCTGCCGGGACCATGACCCTTTACTGACCTGTCAGGACTACGACCCTTTACCATCCCCTCCGCCTCCCCCCAAAATGTAGTGCTGCGCAATGCCTTAAGTGTAGATACCCCTAAGGATGGCGACGGATTCTCTATCTGTTGAGTACGCGTCTGCTGGGACATTAACTCTTTACCTATCGGGACCATAACTCTATACTGATCTGTCAGGACCATGACTCTACTCTTTACTCACCTGTCAGGACCATGTCCCTCTAGCCCCCTCCCCTCCAAGCTCTTTACTGCCCTGCCGGGACCTGAGGGTTGCCATCTCAGTCTGTTGTAAGTCTTGTTAATAATTAGGACTTAGTCGTGTTTGAGGCATTGGTGATGAAGAAGATGATGTTGGTTGAACTTCTCTTAGAGCAGCATCTAACGATAAGAAAGTATCTAGTGTTGTGAATGCCATCCTAGAAAATGAGTGAGAAATCCTCCCGCCACTTTTCTCCCCCCCCCCCCATCCCCGGGACACCTTCTTTCTTGCACCTCCCCCATTAAACATCTTCAAAGGGAGTCGTGTCCTCATCATATTGCTTAAACCAGGTGCTTAAAAACTAGTGTAGAAAAGTCTTGCAATGAAGGGGCTTCAGAGCAGATGGGTTTTGTGCAGGGAGACGGAGGGGGAGGAGGCAGCAATGTGCTGGTCCAGGTCTTCCCAGGGGGTTTGGAAATGTTACTAGGGTGCAGGGAGGCTTTGCGAAGTGCCTGATGCGGTCACATTATGCCCTGGGAGGGATAGTCCACTGAGCTGGCTGCCGTCTGTGATGGTGCCTGCGTGCTGTGTGTACAATGTCGGGCCTAAGAGATTGCAACTGTTTCCACGCCTTGATTCCTCCTGTGTGTGCCGAGGTGACGCTGAAGCCTGGGTTCAGACAGCTGCTCGCTCTCCTGTGCCCCCTGCCCAACCGCAGCCTGGACCCTAATTGGAGTTTCTGCCAAAGCCTCAATAATCGTCTTCCAGGAAGATATTAAAAGATGTTCTGAACCCAGCATTAGCTGCTCCGTGTTTCATTCATACCTGGGGCCAACCTACTGCAGAGCAGCTGTTGAACTCCAGCTTAGGAGTGGGTGGGGACGGGGGAGAGTGCAATGGGCCTGTGTGTATATAGATGAATAAAATGGGTTTAGCCAGAATCGATGCTGGCAGGAGAGGGGTGGGGGGTGGAAATTCCTTGGTGTGTTTACAATGCAGGAGGGGAGTAAATAATATGATTATCACTACCTACACACATGCACACATCTGTCCTTGGCTACACTTTGAGACGTGCTAGAAACATAGAACCAGGAGAAGGCTATTCAGCCCTCGAGTCTGTTCTGCCATTCTATAAGGTCAAGACTAATCTGTACCTCAAGTCCAGTTACCCACCCTGCCCAATATCCCTTAATACCCTGACCTAACAAATATCTATCTGCCTCCGTCTTGAAAATATTGAATGAAAATATTGACGTCGAGGGCGCTTTATCGAATGAAAGGTTTATTTTTCTCAAATTCTGTGTGTTGACATCAGTTCTGGGGAGCAAGTAAGTGAGCGAACAACAGGAGTATGCGGGAAGCGGTGGAGTTTGGAATGTGAGTGAAACACCAGCGGCTCATCTCTCACTCTACGATCTTTTGAATAGCCTCGTAATGGGAAAGAAACTGAGACTGGAAAAAAAAAGGTAATATTTGGATGTGGGAGAGAGGAAGAGGGTGACATCTGTTTTTGACATAACTCAAAAGAAAAAATTCCGGCCACAAAGGGGGAATTGGAGAGAATGATTGGCACTCGGGGTAAGGAGGGAATCACAAGGGTGGCTTTGCGACACATAACCAGTCCTTTTCCCTCAGCTTTCTCAGTGAGTCTCACCCAACACAGGAATAAAGGCGTGTGACTCATTTAAATGAACAGGAAGTGGGCTAATGGTGGGTGGGTTTAGGTAACCCATGTGGGTTGGGGTCAGAGCTAGTGTTTGCAGGCCTGAAGCATTAGCATGGCATTGGGGACCAAACCGTATTCCTCCAGTGTCTTGTCCAGGTCGCTGTAGACTTGCTGAGGGAAGCTGCTGACAATATCGTAATCTACCAGTGGCTGTGATCTACAAAAGAGAATAATAATACAATGCAAAATTACATTTGTGTAGCGCCTTTCATGTTGGGAGGAGGTCCGAAGGCACTGGACAGTCAGAGATTTTGAAAATCATTTGAAAAGTTGAAATTTACAAGGCTATGGATCTTCTGCCTCCAGCAGCCTCCTGAGGCTGCAGTGGCTTCGCTGTGCTGCGGAGTCACTTGCACTGTCCTAGTCTCCGGCTGTGTTCCATCTCCTCCAATCAGAGCAGAATGGGACTCTGTCTTAAAACAAAATGGTGGTTGCTGGGGGCACACAACTGAGCCTCTCACCTGCTGTGATCCAGGTACTGCCGAAGCTCTCTCACTGTTTCCGAGAAAAGCATTTTGGCAATGTACGTCTGCTCGCCGTTCTCGGACTTGATCCTCAGCGTGGTGATGGTATCCAGTGATGACCTATTCTTCTCCTTCACCTTCAGCCTGTGACCAATTAGGACAAAGTGAGCGAGTGTTAAACGCATGATAATTTCTGAAGCTTCCCAAAACAACGAGGCTGGAGGTGCACAGCAGCCGGTCAGTGATGCTCAAGAGGGCAATAGCTCAGCCACGGTTAACATTTCCCACAGAGATTACAGTCTCCCTGGCCCCACCCTACTTCTGCTCAGCCCTTCCCCTGCCAGACCCCTCCCTATGCCAGGGCCCACCTTCTGCTCTCCCGTCGCCCCTGTCCGTACATTAATTATGGTCCAATTGACAGGGAAACGGCAGCCCCTCCTCACCCTGTTCGTACCTCTCCTTCATTGAGATGAGAGATGAGGTTTCAATGAGGATCACACCGTTGCTCCTTTTCCCTGACTGACCCTAAAGGGAGACAGAAATAACCTACAGTGAGATTAGGGCAATTTGACCCCATCAGTGAGGAATCTAGAGGAGTTTCACACAGAGCAGAACAACCCCCAGACCCACAGTTAACATTTCCCACCTCCCAAGTCCAATGGATCCAGTGATTGTTAGTAATTAACGACACTTCTGTGCATGTGCTTAACACGTGGTACATAATAAACTACAAAGTCTCCCCGGATCAGCTCTCTCATCCACGTTGTGAAGATTAATGCTGTCTGGGAACAGATGCGTGTTTTCACCCTGTAACAGGTGGAGGCCCCAGCATAGTGGGCAGGGCAAAACCTTACGTTTCATTACTCCATGTGCCTCTGGAGTAATGCAATGGCTGTTCCCGCTTATTAGTCAATTGGCGTATTGTTTTCCGTGGGTAAGTATCTCTCCACCACCCACTCCCCCCAAAAAATGTGGTCCCTCAATCCACCAGCTTGTGGGACACTGCTGTGTTTCGCTCACAAATATTAAGTCAATCCACTTTACAATATATTCTGTGAAGAGCTTTGAGATGGCTCAATGATGTGATAATCAAATGCAATGATTATTATTAAAGTAATCTGTTTAATCTATTCAGATGAGGTTCAGTAAATCCACACGTCAGTCACGGTCACATTACCTGAAGGCTGTCTCCAATCTCCTCTCTGATGTCGATCACTTTTCCACCTTTGATCACGTTCCTGGGCAGCTTCCTAAGAAATTGCTCCACCGTCAACTTTTGCCCTTCGAAGTTACAAGAGAAGTGTACTCAGATAAAGCAAATAATTCCCTACATTTGTTACAGCGCCTGCAAACATCTCAAAGTGCTTCACGGCAAGCTGCTGTCAAGTTTAGTGACTGTATTTGTTGGCAAGCACAGCGGTCAAGTTGTGCACAGTGAGGTGTTTCTCCCCACAAACACACACACACGGCCATGAAGTGAATGACCCATACATCCGGAGAACTGTCGGACAGAAACTGGGAGAAACCTGTCTTAACAGCATCTTGGGATCTTTTAGCATGCACCCGAACAGGCAGTTTAACAGTACATCTGGCAATGAAGCATTCACCACACCCCCCCACCTAAACTGTGACTATTTAAAATACATATATTTTAATTACCCCAAATTCTCATAAAAGCTACCTTAGAATCATAAAGTAGGTTTATAGCTCAAGGTAGTCCCTCGGAGAAACTCCAGCCAAGGCCAGTTAGAGAATAAAGTCTCAGGCTTTAAGAGCTATTATGGATTCTGCTTCAACCAGCATTTTCTGTGTAGGAGATAGGGGGATTCATGCCCTACCTGCCCCCTCCCCAATCTCGTAACCTCTCTCTTTTGTTTGTTATTTGGTGGTCTTAAATCTTAAACCTCTACTTATTGACTCACCACCCAGTGAAAATAGCTTCTTCTCCCGTTTACCTTATCAAACACCTCATCATTTTTGAATACAGAAACTCCATCATAAGTCTCCTCTCAAGTTGTTTCTGTTCCAGTGAAAACAGTCCGGTTTCTCCAGTCTCTCTTGCTCTCCCCATAAGTAATGCCTGGGATCATCTCAACAACAACAACTTGCTATTAATATTACGGCCTTCGCGCAGGACAGTGTCCTTGAGCGCTTCCCAGTGCATCTCAACTGTACCATTTCCGTTGAGATGGCTTTGATATCCCTCATAAAGAGGGGAGCCCAGGACTGAGCATAATGTTCGTCAAACCAGATGCAAGTCAATCAGTTAGCCTGACTCCACGGAGCCATCTCCACGGAACTCTCCTTTGGGATTGTGTCAGAGAGTGATTCCCCACTCACCTGGCAACTTGCTGGTCACCTGGACTCCCTTGGGATACTGCACCAGTGAAACACTGGAGACACGGCTGCCATCGATCGTCTGCCCTACTCCCGGGAAATCTGCGTACAGCTTCCTTTCCTGGAACGTCACGTCCCTCCTGTCTGATACCTTTGAGAGCAAAGCACACGGCGACGCATTCTAGGTCCACAGATGGGTAACGAGAGGGTTCAGTCCCATTCCTTTCACTCAGAGACTCATCAGGGAATTCATTCTCACAAGCAGCTGATTGATGAGGGAGGCAGTAAAAGGCAACAGGATGAGCAGTAAAAATAGTACAGGATTTGAGGAGAAAGCTGGGAAGTGGATTAATAATAGGAGGGGACAAGGGACATGAGAAGACCAGAGCCAGTTGAGTGGAGAAAGCGGAGTGAAGGGGTTTGTACACGAGTATGAGGAACTCCAAATACCGGACAGTTACAATGAGTCACAGCCATTAGGTCAAATTTCTGATAACTCTCTCCTTTTACCTGGAATGGGATTCCGTCTGGGAATTTGCTCTGCAATTCCGATGGGAAATATCCGTCTGCGAAGTCCTGCATGCAATGCTGAAGGAAAATAACATAATAATAATCCTTGCGTTTGATGTATAGCAACTTATCATGTCGTTGAGACGTCTCAAAATGCTTCACAGAATACATTGTAAAGTGGGTTGGCTGTATATTTTGTGGGCGAAACGCGGCAGCCAATTGCGCACAGCAGTGCCCACAAACATTTGTGGATTATATGTGAAAGGTTGAAGGGGCCAAAGGACAACCTCCATCGAAACCTCTTGTGTCTTTGGAAGGCAGCAGGTGTTCACAGCCCAGGTGTAGTGCTACCATTGTATTATAACCATTCAGAGAGAGAGAAACACACACACAGAAAAGACCTTAATGCCATCAATTTGCATTGGATTTGAAGTCAGGTCTCAGAAGTGAAAGCGCTCTGGGACGCTACCCTGCATGAGGAGCGCTGTATAAATACAAGTTGTTGTTGCCGAACGGGCAGGTTTCCAATTCACTGCATCAGACAGTCCCCTGCATGTGTTGAAGTTTCAGTTTTTATTGAAGAAGGTTGCTTACCTGTGTTGAAGGTTCCTTGAACGATCTGAAAGGGCCGTTGAACATGACAATCCCGTTTTTGAAGAGGGTGAGGGGGATGGGGTCAGGCCGCCTCAGCACAGCTCCCCCGGTCACGTGCTCAACCTTCGCCTCCCCTTCGCCAGCCAGAACGTTCAACTCTCTGATATTCTCCAGAATTAAATCGAAGTCGATTTGTGGCGGCTTGAGGATGGTGTCATCTGTCAACACACACACACAGTGCCACAATGGCGAAGGCTAAATGAGAAGAAATTCACTGCACGACTTGCAAACAGTGACCCCCCGTTTGTAGCAGGCGTACGTCACTCCGACCCACGGGAACAGCGCTCCAATGACATCAACTATTAGTTTGCATAGTTCCTAGACGTAGTTACCAGCAGGAGTCGATATTTGCAACAACTCTTGTTATAATTGGTATAAATATACAGTAGTGCAACAGCTTAATCTGGAGGATTATCAAGACAGATCACCAGGAGAGAGCAACCCCACTCTCTTTCAAAATCAGATCTTTTAAGTTCCACCTGAGCAAGAAGACAGAACCTCGATTTAATTTCTCACCGATGTTTCCCACATGGAAGTGCCCGGTTTGAATTATGTCTGAAATTCCTGAAGCTTTGTAACCAGAAATGAACAGACCGGGAATGGTTGGGTGGGGGGGGGGGGGTTGGAAAGAGAAGCATCAAAAAGTTAATCCACGTTTGTTGGTTTTTGGTTACAAAAGGACTTGGGGAGAATATAAACACAGAAAAACACCGAGTGCAGTGAAACAAGGCATTTATTTTCCTTGAAAAATTTTGGTTTCCATCAGCAGGAGTGACCACATTCTCAAGGATCCCTCTCGCCCCTCCTGCTCCTGTCACACATGGGCCTCACAGACAGTACAAAGGAGAGCAATGAGGCTGATCCCAAACCCCAGGCTCTGTGGTGTCTTCTCAGTGCCGACTTAATGCTGTTGACCTCATAGGCTCTTCGACTGTTCTGTGGGTTCGACGCTGAGTGTAGGAGAACTCAAGAGCTGCTGGAGGGTGGTGTTGAGGATATTCAGGGTTGCTGAGACCTGCTGGATCGCGCCGTTAATCCCATCCTGCAGTTGTTGCACTCCCTGCACAAGTGGTTCCTCCAAGTATGGAAAGCCAGAAGTCTCCTGGAGGGCTATCAGTGTCTTCCTAATCTCACTTTCAAAATCGTACGGTTCATTTTCATTGCTTCTTCCAGGAGGCAAGGATGGAGATCCACTTTTGGCAGGAACTGTCACGTGGTTTAGTTGATTAACATTCTCCACGGTGCTCTGGGTACCAAGATGAAGGATACTGGAATCTGTGGAAAGTAAGGCAGACTGTAACGAGATGTGATACTATATGGTTAACATCCAAAGTAGAAACAAGTGTCTTATGGGTTTATGTTTTGTTTCCGGCCTGAAAGCACATGTACAGAAGTGAAGACTTTCAGTAAAAGCAAAGGGGAAAACCGGTTTTGAAGAGTAAGGAGATGCAGTAAGAGACTTCTTGGCCATCACTACAGAGTCAGTCAATGTCCCAAAGAGAAAGTGAACAATCATATCAACATGGACAAAGTGATAAACCCACGAGATATCTGACAAGGACCTGGGACAGTCTTCCCTAGGACGTCCGTACACCGAGGCGCTCACATTAGCAAGGGATGGATCAATGATGGAAGTCATTGTGTGAATGAAGAGCATGAGACAAAGTAAAGACAGTTTGCAAAAGGAATTTAAGAGAAGTTTGTAAATAAATTCTTTACACAGAGGGCAATTGGAATGTGAAATTCTCTGCCACAATCCGGAGTTGAGTCAATGACCATCAATTTATTTAATAAGGGAATCAGATAGATCCTCGAGAAAGAGGAAAGTTACAGGGTACTAGGAGCAAGCAAGAGAGTGGGTTAGATTAGGTAGGTGGCTGATGTAGAGAAACGCACTCGCTATAACATTCTGTGAATATAGGACAAGTGATGAGTGGAAACGTCTAAACTTACCCCACGTGGGAGACTTCCTCGCGGCAGTGGTCAGCCTGCTCCTCCCGAGAGCTGACGGTCAGTTAGTGACCTGGAGGGATGGAGGGCACAGCTACCCAGCAAGATTAGAGTAATCCATGAGTTGCCCTTATTCAGCTGTGGGATGGACTGCTGAGAACCCAAGGGCTTCCTCTCTGGATATGATCAGTATCAGCTCAAGCACTGAGGAAGTAGAGTAAGCAGTTATGCTTGATTTTTTTTTGGTTTTAAAGGTGAGATTTTCCTCCATGTTAATCCAGCCTTGGCTCTGTGAAATGTGCATTCGCTGAGTAAAGTGTGGTGTTGGGTTGTGAGGTGGCAAGCCACACTCCAGAATCATGCATTTCCAGCTCATTCTTTGTGACAGTCAGACACGACGGTGTTTTTCATCAGGAATCAAATGGTTTACCAAAGTAAATAGTACCTTTCTTCTTTGTTTCTCTGCTGGATGCATCAATAAATCCCACTGCAGAAGCATTCGCCCCCCTCTACAAAAATTATTGCCTTATCTGACGACATTTTCTCTGCCCTTTGAAATTTATTTTCGAATGAATACCCACCTGACTACCTCAGTTTCCACAAATTTTACATGCTTGGCTTACACTTTCTTTACACAATTCGCACAATAAATAAAGAAATACTCGCAGTCAACTGTCCCGAAACTGCCCTCCTCACACCCGACCCTGCGCTCTTGTCATGCAGAGCGGACCTGCTCAATTGTGGATCCAGGAAGCCCATCATTTCCTGACATAATCAGAGTGAGGTACACCTTTCTAAAACAACATTCCTAATAATCCTTGCACTTAACATAGCGCCTTATCATGACTTTGAGACGTTTTAAAGAATATACTGTAAAGTGAATTGACTGGATATTCTGTGGGCGAAATGTGGCACAGCTGGGTTCCTACTTACTGCTAGTTAAACAGAGTCGTTGGAGTAAGGAAACTTGCTCAACATTTCGCCCTGGCGGGAATCGAACCCAGGTCTCTCACTTGGAAGGCGTGTGCTTTAAACACTGAGTTGCAGGACTCCACCTCAGTGCATTCCCTCAAGCCTGTGAAATTACAGCAGTGCCACACACACACACACACACAGCTGTGTTAATATAGTAAATTATTTCACTGCGAGTTGGCAGGAATCACAGCACAATGACAATGGGGCAGCAATGAGATGAGTTATGAGCATGAGTTTGTTCATCTCAAAAATAGACAGTCTGTACACTTTACAGTCAATTCAGTGAAGCGCTTTGATGACATGAAAAAAATGTTGCGTCAAATGCAGGGATTGTTATTATTAATTTTTTATAGATGCGTGAAAAGCATTTAGCCTTTGTCCCACCGTGAGGTGCAAAAAAATACAACATTTCATAATTATCACATTGAATCCATTAAGAAACATGGCGATTTTCACCCAGCTGACCCAGTCACTTCCCACACATAGCAATATTTACCTGGTTGCCAGATTCCGTTGCTCAGGATTATCTCATTCGTTTCCTCTTCCTCTTCAGTCGTGTCCTCATTGTTGTTCTCGTCGCCCTGGTCGCCAACCCAGGTCATCCCGTAATCGTTTAGGAACTTCTAGAAGAAACAGTTTCAAAAATATTAGCGTATTGGTCCGCCCTAAACTCTGTAACCCAATCACACCAGTCCTTCTCAGGCTCCACTGGCTCTCTATCACTGAATGTAAACTGACTCAAATGACTGCTCAACTGACTCTGGCCTCCTAGTTGGCCTTCATGCCTTCTGTTCCACCATCGGTGGCCGTGTTTTATCCACTACACCCCCAAACTCTAGAACATTCCCTCAATCACTCTGCCTTGCCCCCAACTTCCCCATCTTCAAGTCACACCTGAAGACCTTCCTTTTCGACTGTGCTTACGACTCCTCCCTCTGGCTCAACCATGCTCCGCCACTGTCAAGCACTCTGTGATGCTGCCCTGCATGAGGGGCATTGTATAGATGCAAATTGTTGTAGTTAGTCACGCACAGTGCAGGTGGACACCGCTCTCCCAGCTGCCATCACCCAGCCTTTAGAGTCTCATCCTCAATATATTGTTGAACAACGCGCAGTCTCTTACCTCCATTTCCCACACCTGGTTCTGAAGTTGCAGGTACTTCTCCAGCTCATGCTTTCTTTTGGGCTCATCAACTTTTTTTTGGGGGGGGGGGTTTAAAACAAAGAGTGACAAATCATTTGAATGTAACACTGTCTCCTTATCCTGCCTCTGAACCTGACAATGTACTTTGTCTCCACCTGTGGCATCCTTTTGGTATAAGATTGAAGACGGCATACAATTATAACAACAATATAATCCTTGCATTTGATATAGCGCTTTTCACGTCTTCTCGACGTCTCAAAGCGCTTTACAGAATATGCTGTAAAGTGAATTGACTGTATATTTGTGGGCGAAACACGGCAGCCTATTGCGCACAGCAGCGTCCCACAAACAGTCGTGGATTGAAAATGACTAATTTATTATTGTTTTCATTTTTTGGAGGATATTAGGCGTGTGGAGTAAGGAAACTTGCCCAAGGTTACACCCTGCCTGGAATTGAACCCAGGTGTCTCGCTGGGTTCCAATTGTGGAAAAATCCCAAATCCAAACTGAATTTGGAAACCGGTTGTTTTTAACCAAAGTCCGGGGAAACGAGCACTACCACAGACACGATGGGGTCAGAGCTTCAGAGGGCGCAGTTTTCTTTTTATATGTCTGTTGTAAAAAGTGATGCAAAGTCAATCAGCTTCATTCTGGGACAATAAAATGTGATTACCTTTGGCCTGCTGCAGTGTTTTCACCTTCTCCTCCAGAACAGTGATTTCCTTGTTCTACAAAGAAGAGAGCCTCAGTTAATCTCTGTTGAAGCAAATACTTTGGAACATAGCAACTACTAGATGAAAAATGACCAAAGTCCATCTGGTTTGCCTTTACCACCCTGGTAGTCACATGCTACAATCATGGTGCTGTCGACAGCAATTAATTCTGTGTGGATTAGAGAGTGGAAACCTTTGGAACCTTAAGATCCAAAGTTACCTGTTTTTTCCAGTATACTACACTTACCATATGTCATGTCTCAAATTACTCAATACACTGTATCCCAAAATATTATTTTTCAAAAGAAATCAATCTAACTTGTATTTGAATGAATTATGTCACTCATGCTGTCGACTCTGAGTCAGGATGTTGTGCAATGTTAGGACTTTGAGCTCATTGTCCAGCCCTCCATTGTCAGAGGCGCTGCGGTTTAGGTGAGGTGTTTAGCTCCTGTTTAATTTTGTACAAGTGGATGAAAAAATCCTATGTCACATTTAAAAAGAAAATTTCTCCCTATGTCCTGGCCGACAATTTCCAGATTAAAAAAATAATTATTCACCTCATGGCTATTTTAGGGGACATTGCTGTGCAAGCATTGGCTTCCATGTTGGCCTACAAAATACACAGTCACTATGGTTTACAGAAAAGCTCTGTGAAACATTTTGAGATGTGTGCAATATCCTCCCCCTTCCCCCTGGTTTGCTGTCAGACACCACCACTGTGAAGCACTCCAGGACGCTACCCCATGTGAAGGGAGCTATATAAATGCAAGTTGTTGTTGTTGTTATCATCAAACCAAGTATTGTTTTTTCAGTGCTACAATTGGGGAAAGGGCTTCATTGGGAATCTTCCTTACCTTTGAGCTGATCTCTCGAGCTTGGGCTCGGACTCTCTGCTCCAGTTCAGTCAATCTGCTCATCATGGTGGACATCAGCTCCATGTCATTGGGACTGGTGTCTGGAGATACACAAACACAGTTGGGGGACATAGGAACACAAGATTGTCTGGGAAAAGCTGGATCCATTCACATTTTCAAGACACATAGATATTTCTTAGGTCAGGGTATTAAGGGATTATGGGGCAAGGGCGGGTAACTTGGACTTGAGGTGCAGATCTGGCATGATCTTATAAAATGGCAGAAGAGTTAGAGGGGCTGAATAGCCTACTCCTGTTTCTATATTTCTAAAAGGGCAGAAGTGTGGAGGTGCCGCTTCTACCTTCAAATAATTACTTGACAAAAATCCCACATGATGGGCATGTTGTCGAGAATTTCAAACTTCTCATTTTGAAAGACAGAAATCAGGAAGTTCCTACACCAAAACTTGCATCAGTACCCTCCCTCTTCTCTTCCAAGTGTTGCTTCAGTGGGCCATACCTTTAGCCTTTGGCTTTTGAGTCGGGGTGAGACGCACTGAACTAGAGGCTGGCGACACTGATGCACGGGGCAAGATCTCACTCAGCAATGCAGCCTCATCCTCTGCAGAAGGAGGCAACACAAAGTTCAAGTACATCGAGTGCACAATGTTGACACTACATTGCACCCACTGACAGAAGTTTAGAATTTTCACCATTTGCATTATCGGTGGGCTGAAATCTGCAGTTCCCTGTGACGCTTATCGCAAGTGCTGTAAATTTCACTCCATTTTGAGTGTTTTTAAAACTAAATTGAATTCTCTTTTTGAGCCTCAAAGTTGCAAAGTCCCACAGCTAATTCTGTTGTCTGATCCCAGTTTCTAGATAAAGGCAGGGATCGCGTGCCACTGATTATTCATAATAACCCAAAGCTGAGGGCAAACTCAGGTTCACAGGAGCAGAGCATGGGTTACATGGAGGCATTGATTTAACACTAACAAGACTGAACAATGCTACAGATGAGAAGGGAATATGATGGTATCTGAAAACACTGCTAGCTATCAGCCGGCTCAGTTGAAGTCAATTAGGCAGAAGGCTAATGGTTTCAAATGCCACGTCTGGTGTTTCAATTCATAGTGTATATAGTGTATAGACACTCCAGTACAATGCTGGGAAATGTGCAGCTTTGTTGGGAGGCACCGTCCTTCAGATTACATCATCAAACCAAGGTCCCAACACCTGTGTTTGTTCAGTTAAAGATCCCTCTTCAAAAAGGAAAGGGAGTTTCTCCCATTGACCTGTATCAATGTATAGATAATAATAATTATTATTGTTCTGTCTTGCTCTATCCCACCTGGACTGTCTTACCTGTGTAGAAGCTCCCTTTAAATGGCACCACCCTCCTTCTGTAATAAATACACCAAAATAGACTTTTACACACCAAGGCGGCAACCAAACAGATTTATTAGGTGATCCGAAGAAAGCATTTATTCATCACGTTTCGCCCACAAACATAACAGTCAATTCACTTTTACAGTCTATCCTGTGAAGCGCTTGGAGACGTCGAGAAGACGTGAACAGCGCTATATCAAATGCAAGGATTATTATCATCATAATAATCCCTCCAAAACCAAAAACAATAATAAATTGGTCATTTTCAATCTACGACTGTTTGTGGGACATTGCTGTGCGCAATTGGCCGCCGCGTTCGCCCACAAATATACAGTCAATTCACATTACAGTGTGTTCTGTGAAGCGCTTTGGGACGTCCTCCCGACGTGAAAAGCGCTATATCAAATGCAAGGATTATTATTATTATCATCATCATCATCATCATCATCATTATTATGATTAGTAGTAGTATGTGGAAGCTTGGTTGCTGGGTGGTAGGCTCTGGAGGAGGCTGGGAGGAGGGCGCTCGCTTGACTTACCCATTGTGCTGCACCTCAGGTCGGGTCAGGGAGACCTTCCTCAGTTTGCCCAGTGTTGAGAGCGGGGAGCTCATGGTGCCCACCAACCACCTCCTGGGTCTCGCCAGTGCCTCCACACCATTGTTTACTGTGTTGCTAAGGGTCACAGCCAGCTGACAGCTGGTTGGCTGAGCCGCAGAGTAAGAGCCACAATGATTGGTCCTCCGACGGAGACAGCATCGACCCAATCAATCACTGGTTGGCTCCCACCATCCAATCGCAGGTTGGCTCCCACCATCCAATCACAGGTTGGCTCCCACCATCCAATCAAGGCTGGCTCCCACTATCCAATCAAAGCTGGCTCCCACCATCCAATCAAAAGCTGCCTTGATAGGGCCCTTTAACTCTCATATGGTGGGGATACTGTTGCCCAGTGGGTGGACCCATAGTCGCCACTCGTCCCCTTAAACCAAAGTAGACTGAATCGCAATCAACAGGGGAACGAGGGGTTGTCCTCGCAGTCATCACTTTTCCCCCTAAACTCTCCGGGGCCCAAATTGTCAAAGGACAATGCGGACCTGGTACCTGTCCTCACGATCACCTGAGCAAAACAGGTGACCGGATGGCCTCTCCAGCAGGGCAAGCCCGGCCCGCGCTCAAGGACCAAGTGCTCAAGTGAGCTCTGCTTTTCAGTGTCTCCACTTCCTCTCTGTGAGGGCATATTACACCCCTCACATCGGAAGCACTGCAATACTGATCCCAGTAAACAGAATACCGAAGGCAGCTTCTGCCAGGAGCTCATCCTCCCATAATATAATAATGATCCTTGCATTTGATTTAGCTCCTTACCACGTCTTCGAGACGTTTCAAAGCGCTTCACAGAATACCTCTGCGACCTCCTAACACTCTACCAATCTGCCGCTCCCTCCACTCAGCAGGCTCCAGCCAGCTTCATGTCTCCTGCCTCACCAGCCCCACCATTGACGGGCAGGCCTTCAGCCACTCGCCCCCACCTTCTGAAACTCCATCCCGCAATCCCCCATCCCCTTGTCTCTTTCAAGACCCATCTCAAGACCCTCCTCTTCGACCGTGCCTCCTTTCTCCCTGCCCTCCACCCTCCCCGATCCCGACTCCCAGCTCAGGTCCAAAAAACTGATTGGCGCCTTGGGTCGTTCTCCCAATGTGAAAGATGCTACACAAATATAATTTTGTTGTTATATACTGTAAAGTGAATTGACTGTATATTTTGTGGGCAAAATGCAGCAGCCAATTGCACACAACTGTGTCCCACAAAGTCATGGATTGAGTGACCAATTTTTTTTGAAGGATTTATTACCCTAGAAAAGTAATCTGCCAATCAACTAACAATCGGTTTCCTACTTACTGCTAAATAAACCAAAGCGTGAGTAGTAAGGAAACTTGCCCTAAGTTTCGTCTTAATGCATTATTATGAGGAGATTTGCTTACAGACGTGTAAACCCAAGGGAACCTCAACAGAACTTTTCTGATAGATGCATATCCCAAGGAGTAACTGATCAGAACAGATCTTAGCCAAAAGGCTGGGAGAGAGAAACTCTCTTTTCTAATAGCATTGCAGGATCTTTTAACGTCAACCTGAACAGGCACAGACAGGGAAGCTCGGGTTAACGTCATATCCAAAGGACGATGCTGTGAAGCAGGTCAATATTTATCCAGATAAATTGTTTATTCACGTCATGGCGGTTGTTTTTGGCACTTTGCTTGTCAAATTGGCTGCTGCCTTTTGCCCTGAAAGCACTTCAGACCCTAATGTGGCTGGGAGTCCAAGGTGTAAATGTAGACCCAATAACAGCGCCACTCGCGGGGAGAACAGTATTACATGCTCTCCAGAGCTTCATAAAGCAATTCCTATTTTTATATGGTGTGAGTAATGTGCCCGAGTGAAAGTTACAGCAAATGCAAGTTACATTGCGTGTGATAAGACAAATGTTAAATAGGGTTAGTCTACTTAAATAGGATTATATTTCCTCTTTCCTTTCCCCACCCGAAAATCACCCAATTTCAGTTCCACTTCAGGAAGCATTCCCCACTCTGACCCTTCTGACTTTGTGGAAAAAAGTATTTCATGACAGCTATCAGCATTAATCCCCCATGTGTACACAATGACCCACCACTCCACCCCTCGAATTGCACTTAGAGCCATTTACTTGTACTTCTCCATTGTTTCTGTGTTTACTGAAGATACTGAAATGAAGCCACCTCGGAGTTCACGTACCAAAGTCCAACACAATAAAGATCAATGAGATAATCATCTCCAAACACATTTCTAGATGAAAAGAATCTTATTTTAACATTCCCAGTTTGGCTCCTTGCACAAGCACATCTGTGGAGTTAACTCCTAATGGGTTTCCCGGAGCTAGGTTTTGGGAAAATCTGATTCAGAGGGGGATCTGCCGATTCCCTCAGCATTCCCGACACTGGGATGAAAATCATCCACAGGAAGTGAGAAGACCACATCCGCTCCCCAAATAACCTTGGAGGAACCATAACAATCATGCCAGGAACAGAGGCGCCTGATATTCAGGCTGATCATTGACATTGCTGTACTTGCTGTCCTTTGGAGCAGATTTTAAACCAAGATCCTGTTCAGGTGGACATTAAGATGCAAGATCATTCTTCCCAACTAGTTTCCTTTAGGCAAAAGTACCTTAACATTTACCTTCATCTTTACAACAACAAGATTACATTTGTTTAGCGCCTTTCACATCGGGAGGACGTCCCAAGGCGCTGGACAGTATACAGCATTTCATACCCGAACTGAGATCACAGGGGGAGAAGGGAAGGGAGGGTGACTGATGGCATAGTTGAAGAGGAGGATTTTGAGGCGGGACTTGAGGGAGGCTAAGGAGGGGGCGAGGCAGAGTGATTGGTGGATGGAATTCCAGAGGTTGGGGGCAGAGCGGGTGAAGGCTCTCCCGCCAATGGTGGGGCAGGTGGGTCGGGGAACGTGGAGCAGGCCACAGCCGGCTGAGTGGAGGAAGCAGGTGGGATGGTAGGGGGTTAGGAGGTCACAGAGGTAGGGTGGGGCGAGGACATGGAGGGCGTTGTAGGTGAGGACCAGGATTTTGAACTGGATCCTCTGAAGGATAGGGATCCAATGGAGTCGGGCGAGAATGGAGGTGATGGGGTCACAAAGTTTAGTGCGGGAGAGGACACCAATTATTATATATTATTGTTTTGCCATTCCATTTTCCCAGTTCCTCCGTCTCCACCGCATCTGCTCTGACAATGCAATCTTCCATGCCTGAGCAACCGAGATGTCCTCATTTTTCCTCGACCAAGGATTCCCATCGACAGTAGTAGCCAAACACAGCTTCCATGTAAAACACCTGTTTATATGTACTACCACCAGTGTAGTATACTGCATCCCCTGCTCACGGTGTGGTCTCCTCTATTTTGGGGAGACTAAGTGCAGATTGGTGCCGATTTGCAGAACGCCTCCATTTTGTGCGTAAGGTCAACCCTGATCTTCCAGTCTCCTCCTATTTTAACTCTCACTTCCATTCACAGTCTGACCTCTCTGTCCATAGTCCCCAATGATCCACAGCGAAAGCTTGAGGAACAGCATTTTATCTATCTGCTAAGGGACCCTACAGCCTTCTGTCCTCAATATCAATTTCAGCCATTTCAGACCATAACAGCTCACCTTCCCCGCTTCCCCTTCTTTCTGTTACCAGAAGAGTTATCTTCTGTTATCATTACAATCATCACCCCAGACACTCTTTGCCTCTCTCTGGTGTGTTGCCTGTTCTGCATTATTAAATCTTTTCTCCCCAGTTTTGTTTTAATCCACCCCCCCTTTGTTGTACAACTCCCCTTATGTTTTAGGAGACTATCACCTCGTTAACCCATCAACTAGCACACTTTGTTCATCCTTGTCCTGCTTCCCCCTCTCAATTTGTCTCTTAAAAACCTCTCCCTCCCAACTTGCCCCAAGTCTGACGAAGGGTCGTGGACTTGAAACGTTGACTCACTTTCCTTTCTCCATAGATGCTGCCTGACCTGCTGAGACCAGATTCCAGCATCTGCAGTATTTCGTGTTTTGTTGTGTGTGATATGTTATTATTAGATGCAAGATCTTTCTTCCCAACTAGCTTCCTTTAGACAAAAATACCTTAACATTTACCTTCACCTGACTTTAAAGCACATGATATTACCTGATAACAGGAAAAGCAATATCGTAATGATGAAGTCAATGGAAAATAAGTGGTTACCTTTGGCACTTCAACAACATGATTACCTTCCCAAAAGTTAAAAAAACACACAGTGAAAAGGAAGTGAAAGGCTATTTTAATGATCTGAGATTTATTGAGTGTGAGATTGTAAAAGTTCATCGTCCTTTCAATGACCCAGCAGAAACAGAGATCACTGTTACCTGCGTTTTAAGGCTCCAATGATCAAAAGCGTCAATGACCTGAAGTAACAGGCAGCCAAAGGTTGAAAATGTTGAGGCAATATTCTCGTCCAACAAACCTTGTCTAGTCCCAGCTGGAGGCATATTCAGCTCCGGGTGTGAAGCTTAGTGTAGCTTAGAGTCCTGTATGGTTAGAGCACTCGTCTCACAAGCGAGAGGACCTGGGTTCGATTCCCAGCTAGGGCGAAACACTGGGCAAGTTTCCTTACTCCACGTACCTTTTACCTAGCAGTAAGCAGGAACACGGTTGTTAGCCGATTGGTGGATCGCTTTTTCGAGTGTAATAATCCCTTCAAAAAATAACAGTAATTTGGTCACTCAATCCACGACTCTTTGTGGGACACTGCTGTGCGCTTTCACCTACAAAAATACAATCAATTCACTTTACAGTAATATTCTCTACAGTGCTTTGAGACTCAAAGATGTGTTACGGTGCTATATCAAATGCAAGGATGGTTATTATATGTGGCTACAACAACAACAACAACAAGATTCCATTTATAAAGCGCCTTTCACGTCAGGAGGACGTCCCAAGGCGCTGCACAGTTGGGTCATGACCCGAGCAGGGGGGAAATGGTGAGGGGAGGGAAGGGAGGGAGCGAGGAGGGGGGAAATGGTCAGGGTGAGGGAGGGAAGGGAGGGAGCGAGGAGGGGGAAGAGAGTCGAGAGGGGAGCTGAAGGCTCGGTCAAAGAGAAAGGTTTTGAGACCGGCCTTGAAGGAGGAAAGGGAGGAAGCGGCGAAGGCACTGGGGGATGGAGTTCCAGAGCCTGGGGGCTGAGAGGCTGAAGGCCCGACCACCGATGGTAGGGCGGTTGGGGCGGGGGACGTGGAGCAGACCGGAGCCAGAGGAACGGAGGGTACGGGCGGGTAGGTAGGGGATAGTAGGTTGGAGAGGTAGGAGGGAGCGAGGCCGTGAATGGCCTTGTAGGTGAGGATGAGGATCTTGAAATCAATCCTCTGGGGGATGGGGAGCCAGTGGAGGCGAGCGAGGGTGGGAGTGATGTGATCCGAAGCCTGGTGCGGGACAGTACACGAGCTGCAGAGTTCTGAATGACCTGCAGTGTGGAGGGAGGTGGCGGGAAGGCCGGCGAGGAGAGAGTTCCCGTAGTCCAGCCTTGAGGTGACAAAGGCGTGAACCAGGGTTTCAGCAGCGTGAGGGGTGAGGTAGTGCCGTAGTCTGGCGATGTTCCGGAGGTGATGGAAGGCGGTGCCAGTTGTGGTGCGGATGTGAGGGAGAAAGGACAGCTCAGGGTCGAACAAAACGCCGAGGTTCCTGACTGGCTTTGAGAGGTGGAGAGTGCAGCCTTGGATGCTAATGGGTTCACAGCCCAGCCCTGATACACTGAGGCAGTGTTGCATTATTGAATGTGTTATCTTTTGGATGAGATGTTAGAGGGTGAGATAAATTACATAAACATCCACATAAACATCCAATTAAAATCTCAGATCATTAAAATAGCCTTTCACTTCCTTGTCACTGCCTGTGTTATTTTTTAACTTTAAGGAAGTTAATCATGTTGTTAAAGTTTCAAAGGTAACTGCACTTATTTTCCATTGACATTATATGGTAATAAGAAGCATAAATTATGGGTGGTAGTTGCAAGGGACTTGGTTTATAACTTGAACAGTGTGGTATCCGCACTGATATCTGCACGGAGTAATGGGGGTGGGGAGCCTGTGTGGGAGAGAATATGGGCAAGGTTTTATATAAGTTGGAAGCTCTGGGAGCTAATTCAATCTATTTGTATTTTTCATTAACTCAATCTTTCCAGTGCTTTGGGACATCCTCCCTATGTGAAACGGGCTATACAAATGTAATTTTGTCATCTGCATTTTTCAAACTGCATTTCCTTTTGCGATAAGTTGCAACTTTCCAAAAACTTTACTAAAAAATTTGCACTTGTTACCTTTGGGAGTTAATTTTATACCTGACATTTCGTTAACCTATTGACCAATATTAACCTAACATTTTTCAGGAATGACAACCATTGTGATACGCTTCAAAGAGCAGCTTTGGGAAGACAAATATGCATGAGGTGATGGGGAGGAGGGAGCAAATCAGGTCTGTCTCAGAAAATTACATTTGTATGGCGCATGTCACCTCTGTAGGACATCCCAGGCGCTGGGCAGTCAGGAATTTGGACCTGAGCAGGGGGGTTGGGGTCAGGAGGGAATCGGAGGATAGGGGTAGGAGTCCATTGTCTTCATATTCAAGAATTGTGGAAGACTCTTAAATTCATTCTTAATTTTTTTAAATAACATTTAAATAAATTTGTTTTAAAAATATATAAAAAAAGACCGCAGTTAAACTAACTTCCGAATGAAGACTTCAGATTCTTCCATAACACCTCGCCGTCCTGGAGTGTGGTCAGATCGTCTTAGGTCCGTTGTCATTTCTCACCAAGAGACAATGGGCCAATGAGACTCTGGACCAATTGAAGGACCAATTTTCCATCAACTCGTGGGTTAATGGGGAGTCTTGGATAGCAATGTGCCAGGTTTTGTGGGAGGGGAGAGAGAGAGAGCGCACTGGAGTCTCTGACTGATTAGACAATGCTGAATCTAATCAGTTGGAGTGTAAATGTCGGTTGGAGTTTGATTCCTAGGTGGTATCACGCAATTCACTGAAATGGAAAATGAAATTAAATCTATTCCTTTTCCTCCCCACCCCCCAGAATATTTCAAGATGGTTCGCAGCCTCGAGTTGATTGTTTGGAAATTTAAAATCGAGCAGAGCTTTGGAAAAATCTTTCTCATGAAACATACAAAACAGTCTTCCAAATTAACATTGACAATTTTTTTCCCCCAATTTTATCCATATTAAATGTCATGTGAATGGACTTAAGGCCTCGTACGTGAAAGAATTTTTCCTAGGGAGTAGATACGCGAGATCTTTTTCCCCTCCCTTTGTAGTAAGGGATACTAACTGAGGCCAACTCCTGCCCCATCACGGTAGCCTGGGAAATGACCGCAGATCAATCAAGTATCAAATCCAAGTCAATGGAGTATCAAACTCTGCGACCTCCTGACCCCCCTACTATCCTGCTCACTCCCTCCGCTCAGCAGGCTCCAGCCTGCTTCACGTCCCCCACCTCACTCACCCCACTATTGGCAGGCGAGCTTTCTGCCACTCTGCCCCCACCCTCTGGAGCTCCATCCCATAGTTCCTCCACCTCTCCCCTTCCCTTGCCTCCTTTAAGATCCATCTCAAGACCCTCCTCTTCAACCATGCTTTTGATCACCCTGCTTCCCCCACTGCCCTCCACCCTCCGATCCCGATCCCCAACTCGGGTCCAAAACTCTGAGAAATTGTTCCAAAGCTTCAGGGAGTCGTGGCTGAAAGCGCGACTGCCGATGGTGGAGCATAGGGGACGAGGGATGAGCTGGAGGCCAGATCCAGAGGCAACGGGTAGTGGAGTGGCGAGTAAGCAGGTTGGAGAGGTACGGAGGTGCTAGGACGTGAAGAGATTTGTATACGACTTGCGAGACCTCAGCAGAACAAAGCCCGCCCAGGTCTGGATTGACCATTTCTGCAGCATTTCTAATTTATTGAACACGAGATTGCAAAGGTCCACTACCCTTTTAATTACTTAGCAGAAACACCGATCAATGGTATCCTTGCTTTAAAGCGAGTTGGGAATCACGTTCCAAAAAGGGTCAACTTTGAAACTGTTTTTCCCAAAGTTCATTGAATCATACACACACCAGCTTCATAATAAAATTCTGTAGAATTAAACAGTCTTTATTTTGAAGGCATATTTCCTGTATGTTTCTTTTAAGAACCAGCTTTAAGACTGAATTCATCAGTGTGCTGTAGAGCTCTGTAAATACACACAATCCACCCAACCTCAGGTGGAATTTCTCCCCACCTGTCCAGAGTACAACACCTGATTCAGGAAGCTCCAATAAAAAGGCTGACAACCTTTGAATTGCCACTTAAGCACAGCCATTTAGAGAAGGAAGCTACAAAAGTGAGTGCTCCTTCAACTCAGCATAAGGAATCATGAAGCTTACCGTCAGCCTGCTCGGTCTCATCACCCTTCTGGTAGGTTGTAACTAGAAGCTTTGAAATGATCCATTGAAGGAGAGAATATTCTCTTGTCCTGTGTACACCACAATTTTTAAGCAATATCTGACCTAATTAATGTACAGCAACAACCTGTGTTTTATTCAGCACCTCTCATGTAAAATATTGTCTCAAGGCACTTCACAGGATTTACTGTAAAGTGCAGTGACTGTATTTGTAAGTGAACGAGGCAGCCAATTTTATCATTAACACTGTTACTTCCTTATATTGCAGGCATCCAATCTTCCAAGTTCGTCAGCTACTGTAGCTTCATTAGTGAATGGCACTCAGACACCAGCAGTGAATGGCACTCAGCCACCAGCAGTGAATGGCACTCAGCCACCAGCAGTGAATGGCACTCAGCCACCAACACCAGCATGGAATGGCACTCAGACATCTACACCAGCATGGAATGTCACTCAGCCACCAGCAGTGAATAACACTAAGCCATGGATAAGTAACCCAGCAACCCCAACGATACGCCCCACAGATGCTGGGCCAGTTTCGGCGACCATTACATCTTTTACCCTGGTCCTGAGCTCTGGATTCTCTATAATCCTCCATTACATTCTGCACAAATAGCCTTCAAGCCAGGACACCAGCTTGGCTATCCAACACATACCTGCCTCGGTTTAATCAAGAGGAGACGACGCACTATAATCGTCATCTCTCTGTTGTAAGCAGTTTTTTTTTCGTTTCTAATGAAGTCTGTTTGGGAGCAATCTATCACCTACAAAATTCTTTACAAAATTCAGGCACCTTCTGATCATATTTTCACTTTACAGCAAAATTCTTGTTGTAATTCATGTTGTGACGCACCATAAATAAACTAATTATCCTTCCAATGCCATGTCTCGTACTTTATTAACGCAACAAATGTTGAGAAACCAAGGTCGAGAAGAAAGAGAGATGTAGGGGAGCGGGGAGGGAGGGGAAGTATGTTTAGAAGGGGTTTAGATGCGCCAAGCTTGGGGTTCAAAAAAGCTGTCGAGTGTGCAGGAAAGAAGAGAAAGAGAGAGAGGGCGATGTCACGGATCCTGGGATAGAATGAGAGTTAGAGGAGAAACAATGGAATAAATGATAAAAGAAAATGCTCAAATTACAGTTCAAATACCTTGGTTGGATCACACAAAACTCTGTGCGCTGACTGGGTAACATCTGTTAGAAGGAGGAGGCGATGGTTAAATGGCCTTTTAACCATACTCATTTATATTCTATTTCAGTGAAAGGTGCTGTATAAATGTAAATTAATATTGTGTTGGACTCCCCGCGACCCACCACTCCCACAGCCGCATTCAACGACTGCCCTTGTGTGTAACTTGGTGTCACTGTAACCATCCGACCCTCTCTCTCCCCCCACACACAGCTATCCTGGTGCTATTTAAAGATTACCTGTCACACAGTACCTCAGACTTGTTGCATATATAATGATTAAAAGCTTGGCAAAAAATTGTCGGACAATTTTTAACAAGATTATCAAGGTTTTGGGGGCAATTAAGCTGGTGAAATTGAATGTATAATTGGTTAATTATCAACCTGGATTTCACGCAATGATTCTTGTGCAATTCACTGTCCTCTTCTGTGGCTATAAGCAAACGTCACAGATTTAGTAAATTTTCCCATACACCTGGACTGTTGGCAGCACAATCATAATATCTCGCAATCGGTGCCACAGAATAATCCGCAAAGTAAAGTGAAACGAAACTCGTGCTCTGGTTTTCCATTTTCACCTAAAAGGAAGCTGATTGTTTCACCGTTGATATTGTAATACTTAAAGATAAAGAAAATATTTACAGTTCCAGCCGATAATCAACACACACACACACAGATAAGTGGTGGCCATATGACTCACTCAGTCACGATCTCATATCTAGGCCAGGAGATTATGAGTTCAAGACCCACATTGGGGTCTTTGAGCTCATAGTCCAGGCTGACTTTCCTGCACACGAATGGCGGAGGGAAGCACACTTGGAGGTAAGTAGTTAAGACATGACTGTGTCTAACCAAATGGACGTTAAAGATCGCATGATGCTGTTGGAAAAGAGAAAGGAGTTTCCTGGCTCACAATCTTCCAGATAAAATGGACTGTGTACAGGATCTTGGACAAATTAGCTACTGTATATTCACCTACAAAAGATAGCTACGTCACTTGACAGCAATTACCTGTGACACACTTTGAAATTATGGCAGATCTTTTAATCTCATTCTCTTCCAAGAGACAGTGCAGAGGAGAACAACTAGGAGTAGATTAGAGAAAATTGTCAGCCTTGACAAGAGAGATCTCAGAGGCAACTTTATAGTGGTAGAATTACATTTGTAATGGAATTGAGAAAGTAAACCTGGAACAATATTTTCAGACACCCTGAAGCAGCAGATTGTAAGGGTTGGGAGGGAGAGGCATTTAAGGGCTAACAGCCTTTCCCTCCCAACATGCCCCAGTTCTGACGAAGGGTCATGGACCTGAAATGTTGACTCACTTTCCTTTCTCCATAGATGCTACCTGACCTGCTGAGTGTTCCCAGCAACTTCTGTTTCCATTTATAATTTCCAGCATCTGCAGTATTTTGCATTTAGTTTTATTTTGAAATCATTATGCCCTACAAATAAATTTCTGCTACCATAAACACTATGATCCCAATATGCTAGTGTGGCAAAGTCCAGACATATTAATCTTTGAACCAAAGCTGCCCAAGGTATCAGCTGCCCTCTGGAATCTAACACTTACCCATTATCCACCACCAGCCTTGCAGCAGAAACTCTATTCCATTGCTACCTGGTGATACATCTGCATTACTGCAACATCAATTTGTTTTTGGCCAATTGGGTGTTTGGCCCAATCAGAAACCCATCAACGTACTTAAACCAAACTGAGAATATTTAAACCAAACTGAGAGTTACGTGCAGCTACACATGGAAATTCCAGAGATATTTGTTAGATGGAGCATTCTAACCATGGAGGGTTGTATCCTACTTACCTAATTCTGGAAAGTATTAGGTGCAGGTTGGCCATTTAGGGACCTCAGAGTGTGCGTTAGGGTAACTGCTGGAGTCTTTTCAGCTAAAACCGCATAGCTCGCTATTGAGAGCCCTGAATGGAAAGCTTTCCTGCTGCTTGCCCAGCTGGGACCACCCTATCAGCAAGGGCTTTGGCTTGCAGAGTTAACAGGAGCTGAGAGGGAGGATTCCCTGCCCCCAGGGGTCTGCCCTTCCAATTCCTGTCACTGAGCCAGGCTGGCTTTGCTGTCATCAGCAGAGCCAATGGAGTATGGTAGACTCGCCAGGCCATTTGGACCACCACAGAGGGCTGGCTTTATTCTCCTTGATTCTATATGACATCTGTAACATCAAGTTAAATTGGGATTAAAGTATTTGTCTGGAGTTAAGGGACAATGGGCTGACCAGCCTTGGTCTCTACTCTCCTGTCCAAGACACCACATCATAAGACTTCATAACCAGTTACTAAGCTAAGAATACCATTCCCATCTGCCTGTCACATTCTCACTTTGAGGGATGCTTTTAACCTTCAAATCCTAACAAATTAAAAGGAGGACCCCTTCAAACCTGGTCAAAGCAAAATAGGGAACAGGTGGTGCGCTCAAGCCAACCCATTCCCAACGAGAGCAAATCAAAACGTCCAATAGAGGCACTTGGATGTGTGTATAAGTAAATTAAGCATGATTGAGATTTAATTGGTGAAGGGACAGAGTGTGTGCAATTGTAAACTCCATCCCGACAAATGGCAGTCAAGAAGACACTCCTAAGCTTCTCCTCGGGCACCTGGAGGCTTCCCCACTCAGTGAGTGTCTGTGACTTTGCATCCGAAAATGTTCTTATTGATAAACTGGGAGCAGAGTGATGTCTGCAACCCTCTGCCCCTGTCCTAGTCCAACCCTCGCCAGGCAGGTGTGAGCCGCTAGCACTATCTGGGCGGTGATGGGGTCGGTATGTGCTGGTGTATATGATAGATTATACCTAACCACTTTAGGGACAGTGTTTTATTTAATTAGAAGGTTCTACGATGAAGACTTCTGCATCCTTGCCTCTGGAAGGGGAGGAGATGGGGGAGGAGATGGGGAAGGGAGGAGATGGTGGGGCGGAAGGGTTGGGGAAAATATATAAATTGAAGTTTAAGCAAACTTTGGAAGCTTTTTTTCTGTTGAATCGAAACAGGTTAATTAAAATGCTATTTAGCTTGATAAAGATATCACTGCTTTGGATGCCCATTAATTACCTGTCCACCCGATGGCTTGATCTCAGGATTGGGACCAGCTGAGGATATGTCTCCACTTGAAAGGTGTTATACAGATGTAATCTTGTTGTTGTCCTCATGGGAGTTTGTCGACCAGCTCCTAAAATATAGTAACCAATGTTTTTCTCTTGTTTCTGTGTACCAGTGCTCTGAGACTCTATATAAATGCAAGTTGTTGTTTTCTGTATCTTTGGTGGATCTGACTCTTATCAGGTGCTGCTGAAGCTCAGAAGGATCTCCTAGATTACCGCGGACTTGGGATCGGGGTTCTAGGTCAGTCCCGCTCTTACAGCTATACCACAGCAAGCCGCATGGACCTTTGCTATCTAACCAAGGCTTCCTTGTCAAACAGAACTGAGCCACCGATCTGCAGAGTTCGCTGAAATCCTGGAGAAGGTTAGGAGCAATCTGCAGAAAATGCTGTGAGTATCCCTGAACTAACCCCAGTGCTAGATGCAGCAGAGAGTGTGGGTGTGAGTTCAATTCCCGCTCTCTGCTGCTTTAGTTGATGGGATGGGGGAGGTGGCGGGGTTGCAGATCTGCTGTTTCTAATCTCAACACTCCTCAGATTGGGATATCTGACAGGGTTCCTGTTGCTTAACTCCCCTCCCACCTGCCTCATGTCGCTGCCCACTAGCTTTCGTAAGGGATTTGAAATAATCTTATTGAAATAAGATGCTCTCTCTCTCTGTTCTCTTGGGGAGGGGTCCACTGAATGTGGAGGGTGAGTGGCATATCTCCATCGCTCTCCAATCCTTGTTCAGCCAATTTAGTGGCTACGTGTCATAACCAATTGTTACCTTTCGATGTACAGAAACATCCCCCAGAACTACAAGGTGCTGTTCCTGCAAGGAGGCGACAGGGGTCAGTTCAGCGCTGTCCCCCTGAACCTTATTGGTCTGAAAGACAACAAATGTGCGGATTACGTAGTCACGGGCGTCTGCTCGGCCGAGGCAGCTAAAGAGGCCAGGAACTATGGCAGAGTCAACATCGTGCATGCTGAACTGGATAGCTACACAAGTGAGGCTTGCTGAAACTGCGGAGGTGTGAGACTCTGGGATCTCAGCCCACACTGGCCGAGAATGTTAAGTAACTCATTCGGTCAGTGCCTGGGCGAGCGAGTGTGCTTCTCCCTCCTGGGAGATCACTGCCCTGAAAAGGTGGGATGCACATCCTCTCACCAACATCTTCACTACTAATGTATCCTTTGCCAATCTCACACTTTCGGCAGGACTTTTGTAAATGACAGCTGGCCTGTTTTAAGCGTGCATAGCGCCCCTGCGTGAGGGCTGATATACAAATGTAGTAAGTAGTTGAAAAAAGATCTTAGCTTGATCTGAGTTTTTTTTAAAAGTTGGATTGCTATTGATGCTCTGGCACTGGGTTGTACCCATCCTTGCCCCACGTTCAACCAATTTCCTGCCCAACTGGACCAAAACATTATTTTTCAAGCGTTTGCCATTTGCGGCTGAGTGATTTAGTGTCTCAAATTACTTTACATGTAATTGCTATCCAGTGCAGTGATAGCAATTACAGTGGGCCAAACTTCCCCCAATCTCAAGGCTGGATCTCAACCAAATCCACAAGCACTCCAAATCGGAATATGTTCTCTGTTTTCAGAAATCCCTGAGCCCAGCAGCTGGTGTCTGAGTGTGGACGCCTCGTACCTGTATTACTGCGCCAATGATTCCATCAGTGGTGTGGAGATCAACTTCATCCCTGACTTCAGAGATGCTGTGCTGATCTGTGATATGTCCTCCAACTTCCTGTCAAAGCCAATAGATGTCTCAAAGGCAGGTGGATTGAAAACACTTGATGTGAATTGAGACCAATAACTACAGTGGAATGGTGCTTCCAGTGCAAAATTAATAATTGCATTTGGCTTTATGGCTTGTTCCAACTTTCTACATAGTAATCATGTCTGGTGTTTGACCATTCTTTCATTTGTTCCATCCAACTTTCCCCAAAATGCTCTTGGCCGTCTCTCTCATCACCTATTCCTTGAAGGTTTATTTCTGGGGTCTTGTCTAGCTCTTTTTGGCAACCATTTATCATTCCCAACTTGTCTGTTTGTTCATTGTAAACAGTTTTATTTTTATTATTAAAACTGTCCTGAACATCCTCTCTTTTTCCCCACAGTTTGGTTTGATATTTGCCGATGGTCAGAGCAATGGTTGTGCTGGCATCACTGTGGTCATAGTGCGAGAAGATCTTCTAGGCTCTGCGCTCAGTGGTTGCCCCATAGTCTTTGACTACAAACAGCATGCAGATAGTCTCCACAACACTCCTCTGTGCTATAGGTAAGAGCCTTTACCCTGTATGGCCGGTCTGCCTGAGAAAGAAATTTCTTAGAATTGGTTCTTGCCATCAGTTAATTCTCGGGAGCAAAGCCCAAGATAACGCAAGAGTTTGAAATACTTATGGTAGAAATTGATATGGATTTTGAATAATTGCACATTAATTGCATGGGAAGAAGGTACTTGAAAAAGAAACTTGCTGATGGAATTCTTTATTGTTGTGTTGATTGCCACTGTTAAGCGCTCTGAGACTCTACCCTGCATGCAGAGCGCTATATACGTACAAGTTGTTATTGTTCAGCTACTGTTTTTTTATTTTACACACAGTATCTACATGATGGAATTAGTCTTGGAGTGGATAAAGAGGATTGGCGGCACAGAAGCCATGGAGAGCAATAGTCTTGCTAAATCCAGGCTGATCTACAGTGTGATTGATGACTCTAATGAATTCTATGTGTAAGTTCTCACAGATATTAAACCAAGACCCCCAACCTCTGTCTGGCCTTCAAGTGAGCGTTTAAAGATCTTGTGACATTATTCAAAAAGAGAAGGGAGTTTCTACTGGTGTCCTGGTCAATTACCAACCCTTCAAATAAATTGGTCAATTCACTTCATGATTGTTCCTGAACCATTGCTGATACAATTGGCTCCTGCATTTTCCAAGTGATTAAACTTTGAAGAGCTTTGAAAAGTCTCAATGTGATGAGTGCCATTTAGATAATGCCCTTCATGTTAGGAGGAGGCCTCAAAGCTTGTTTTCTATAAAATGCAAATGTTTTTTCTTGTTCAAATCTCACCATTGCCCTGAGGAATCAATAACGCACAATCTAACCTGCAGGTGTCCTGTTGACGTAAACTGCAGGAGCCGAATGAATGTTGTGTTTCGGGTTGGAGGTGCTAATGGCTGCAGTGAGCTAGAATCTAGCTTCCTTGCTAAAGCTGCGGAGCTTGGCATGATTTTATTAAAGGGTCACAGGTAGGTTAAGTACCTTTACTGCTGCTTACTATTGAGTTGTGTGCTTCATCATAAGATAATATTCTATAACTGACAGAATTGGATAACTGCCCAAATTTCCACTTAGCCTGTAGGTGGGTGTAAGCAGTGTCTGCTGCCCATTGATGATTGCTGCTCTGGTTTCTAGCTCTGTCAGAGGGATCTGTGTCTCTCTCTGCAACACTGTGACACTGGAAGAAATGCAGAAGCTGATAGAATTCATGATTTGCTTTCTGAAGGAACATCAGTCTACGGTCCAGTGAAGCCCTTTGGAACTGACTGCAATTACAATGACTCCTGCATCCTTTGTAATTCATCTTCCCCTCATTAAAAAAAAACTCAACTCGTCAAGAGTACTTGTCTGACTGAATACTTTCTATCCTTGAGCAATTTGGGGTTCCAGTGTTGTAAAGTGATTTTAAAAAGGGTGCAAGAATCTGCATTTCATGTGGTTGTGTTAACGAGGAGTAAATCCACCTTGCACATGGACATTCATATCTAGACAGAAATTCGCATGTATTGGAATGCTCACTTCATCCCTGGGAAAGGTTGAATGATGATCCTTAAACTCTAAGAAGCAGCTGATGACCTTTGCTCCTGGTGGGATGAGGGTATCTGAGTGGGGCCGGACACAGTGCCATAGAGAACTGAGCCTAGATTTGTTTTCTGTGTTCTGGGAGTCTACCCTGCATGAGGGGCACAAGTTGCTGTTGTTAGATTTGGAGAATATTCTTCAGAATCCTCTCACTGTTGGTTCCAATGATTGGATTAACTGCACTTTAAGCTCCACATTACAGGTTTCACTAAAATCTATCCGAAGCAGGATAAGATATAACACCTTATTTTTTTGGTTGGGGGGGGGGAGGAGGTGAGCCAAGGTTCTGGAGCTGAATTCATGTGACTTAGCGTAATCTACAATTTGCATTCTACAAATCACTTGCAAATGTTCCTATCATTAAGTGAGAATTTCTCAGTTGGTCTGTCAGTTGAGCAGAGCAACTCACTAACCCTAACGTCTCACGATAATTTAGGAAACTGAAGCCACTCAGTCTTAAATATTCCATCCTCCCGTTAAAGAGCCATGTGGTGCTTTGTGTTGCTCACTGTATCGCTCTTTATTGGACCCATTGAGACAGCCGGAGAGTGGGACAGTTCCTCCACAGACTTTGAGCTGCCTGGGGACTATATTCTTGGAGGTTTGTTCCCCATTCACACTGAAGCTTTCAGCACTCTGTCAAGACCCATAGTTCCGACCTGTAAAAAGTAAGTAGCATTTTAACTTAATGGTGAAGGAAATGTGATGTGTGGAATTGAACTGAGATTCAAGTAGAGAATGGAGTAATCACAATTTTTGATGCAATTATTCATGTAGAATCATAAAATATTCACAGCCTGCACATAGGTCATTAGAATCATATTTTTGTTATGTCTGTGTTGGTGCTCACTCCCCACTGGAGCTCTCCACTCTAATCCCATACCGCTGCTTTCTGGGTGCAGTGTGTCTGTGTTAGTGCTCGCTTCCCCCACTGGAACTCTCTAATCCCAATTATCTTGATCCGACTCTTATCCCTTTTTACATTATTCCTTTTCAATTGTTTTATTGAATGACTCAATTAATATTAAATCTTGGATTATCATAAATATCATGTTATGGGAAGTTTTTGTCCATTTGATGGGAATTGCATATCTCTGAACAGCGCCACTTGAATGCATTTTACTGTGTAAAGAAAATGCAAATCACATCCTGTCCTTGTAAAGAGAATCATTTTGGGTTAATTTTATTTTGGGAAGAACAAATATGGATGTAGGAAATGTAGATTTTAATATGTAAACAGTACCGGATGGGAGAGTTCCGTTGACCTTAATCATTTGTTTAGATATTTTCTTAGCTGCTGCCGATAAAGAAAAAGCTAATAGGGGCACTTTAAGATTTTTTTGATTCCACACAGAAACCATAATTGACCATAATCGGTGGAAATTGAGAAAATATTAATCAAGAAATACATAAAATGTCAAGGAGAATGAGATAAGTGTAGATTGCTCCAGTAGGAATGAGCACCAGCACAGAAAAGATGGACCAAATGTGCTGTTAACTTTTTATAACAGTAACATAACATGTAGGAGTAGGCCATTCGGCCCTTCGAGCCTGCCCCGCCATTCAATCATGGCTGATCTTCTAATTTAACTCCAGCTGATAACTTGACCCTGCCTTATCCCCATATCCCTTAATCCCTTTTGCAATAAGAAATCTATCTCAGTTTTGAATATGTTCAAGGACTAAGCGTCAACAGCCCTTGGGGTAACGAGTTCCATACATTCGCCACCCTGTAAGTGAAGAAGTTCTTCCTCAACTCAGTGCCAAAAAAGCTGGCCTCTGATTTTAAGGTTGTGACCCCTGGTTTTAGTTTCTCCATGCAAACTATTTAGTTTATAAACCATGCAAACTATTGTCTGTTTAATCAATTTTCAGTTTCAATATTGAAGTCAGTCAATGGCACCACAACTTGTCCAGGATTTGAGCTGTGTTGACCATTCAGTCTCTGACATTTCCTTTAGCTTTCTACGAGCGTCATATTGCATCTTCCAAGCCATGAGGTTTGCTGTTGAGGAGATAAACAATGCCACTCATCTCCTTCCAAATATCACCTTGGGCTACCAGATCTTTGATGACTGCACTTCCTCCATATACATCAAGGCAATGTTTGCCTTCGTGCTGAGAAGGGCACAGACCAGCTCGGGAGCAACACACAATCTGTGTGGCTACCAGCCACGTGTTACTGCCATAATCGGACCCTGGAGCTCAGATGGTGCTACCATCGTGGCCAACATTCTTCACCCGTTTCTCCTTCCACAGGTACGCTGATGCTCCTTACGCTGTATGCAGTTACTCCTTACGCTGCTACCAATCAATAATAATCCTTGCATTTGATATAGCACCCTCTCACATCTTCAAGATGTATCAAAGCACTTCAGAGAATATACTGTAAAGTGAATTGACTTTATTTTGTGGGCGAAATGCGGCAGCCAATTGCTCACAGTAGTGTCTCACATCCAGATTGAGTGACCAAGTTATTTTTTTTTTGAAGGAATTATTGTCTCTCGTATAAACATTAGGGCTGTTTTTCTCTCTCCCAGTGTCCTGGCCGACAAACCCCCCCCCTAATAAAATCGGCCATTTACATCTGTGGCGTAAATTGGCTTTCGCATCCTCTTATAACATGCTCAGTCACTACACTTTACAGTAATTCCAGTGTTTTTTAGACCTCTTGATGGCGTGATAAGAGGTGATAATATATAATAATAATCCTCGCATTTGATATAGCTCCTTATCACATCTTCAAGATCTCTCAAAGTAAAATTAATTGACTATATATTTTGTGGGTGAAACAGTTAAACAATTGTGGATTCAATGTCCAAATTTTTTTAAGGGAATCAAATCCGGGTCCTCTCACTTGCAAGGCGAATGCTCTCACCAATATGCTACAGAACTCCACAATATCAAATGCAAAGATAATTATTATTAAATCTTGAATTAGCAACACAAATGGTGCACTTCACTGGAAATATTTGTCGATTTGATGGGGATTTTGCCAGCTCCGAACAATGCCACTAGATTGCGTTTTACTGAATAAATAGATACACCATTCATTCCATATTTCAACTACTGTCTGCTTCCAGTTCGAACTACAGTCCCTCCACCGTGCCCCCTTCCTTGCCTCCTTCAAGACCTATTAAAGACCTAGTCACCATCTTACCCCTATCCTCGCCGCCTTCCACCCCTCCTGATCCCAACCACCAGCTCGGGTCCAAATCCCTGACTGTCCAGTGCCTCAGGATGTCTCCTAACCTTAAAGGCGTTAATACAACTGTAATTTGTTCTTGTTGCTTGACAATAAATCTTGAACGTCCTCCAAACTCTTCCTGTTACGTTGCTGAGTTTGATGTTACACTGAGAGTCACCACGAGCCAAAATTGTTCTGTTGCAGATCAGCTATGGGGCATCCAGCGAGAAGCTGAGTGACAAAGTGTACTTCCCCTCATTCCTGAGGACCATTCCTAGCGACAAGAACCAAGCGGAGGCCATAATTCTACTGATCCAGAGGTTCAAGTATGACTGGATCGCAGTAGTTGGGAGCGACGATCAATACGGACAGTATGGGAAGCACGAGGTGACCACATTGGCATCTGAGAGGAACATCTGCATGGCTTACCAAGGTATAATCAAGGCAAAAGAGGGCACTTTGAAGGAAGCGATAATTCAAGTGATCAAACACATTGACAGCAGCAGGGTCAACATAACTGTTCTGTTTGCCACCCTTCAATTGACTGTCATGTACTTTCAGACGGCTATTGAGTTAAATATCCGAGACAAAGTCTGGATTATCAGTGAGGCCATCTCTGCAAACAACATCCTTTCAGAAATTCCGAATATCAGTAAAGTCGGGTTAATCCTGGGCATTGCTGTTAGGGAGGGACAAATGCCCGGTTTTCAGGATTTTTTGTCTAATGCTTTGGCTGCCCAGAGCCTGAGTCCATCAAACCTATCCCAAGCGTCTGCTGAGAGCTGTGCTCAAACCTGCATTGAGTGTCAGTCATTCACTAATGCTATGGTCCAGTCTATACTTGGTTCCAACAAGTGGGGAATCTCCTTCAACGTGTATTCCGCCGTCTACTCTGTGGCTCATTCTCTACACCAGCTCCTCAACTGTGACTCAGGAACATGCAACAAGTCCAGGACTTTCCTCCCATCCGAGGTAAGCAGAAGTTACCAAGTGACCAGTCACTGGGTGTAGGGAGTCATCCCACTCAGCTCCTGTTAACCCTGCAAGTTAAAACCCTAACAGTGGAGTCCTGTAGCTCAGTGGTTAGAGCACTTGCCTTGCAAGCGAGAGACCTGGGTTCAATTCCAGGCAGGGTGAAACCTTGGGCAAGTTTCCTTGCTTTACAAGCCTAATAATAATCGCTCCAAAAACAAAACAATAATAAATTGGTCATTTCAATCCATGACTGTTTGTGGGACATTGCTGTGCGCAATTGGCTGCCGCGTTTCGCCCACATATATACGGTTAATTCAGTCTATTCTGTGAAGCGCTTTGAGACGTCGAATAGACGTGAAAAGTACTATATCAACTGCAAGGATTATTATTATAACAGGTACGTTGGTCCTTAGCTGGACAAGCAGCGGGAAAGCTTGCCAGATAGTGATGGCAAACTATGCGGTTTTAGCTGGTTAGACACCAGCAGTTACCCCAACGCACACTCTGGGGTCCCCAACCTCTTGCCAACCTGCGCCTAATACTTTCCGGATTTAGTAAGCAGGGAGAGAGTGCGCATTCCAACAATCTATCTCTGTGTTTTCCATGTGTAGGTGGGATGCATGGAATTCTCAGCTTGGTTTTCATTCTCTTAAGCACGGTGATGGGTTTCCATATGTATCAGACCAAAAAAACACAGTACCAGCTTCCTGGGGCACCATCTCTCTCGACTCAATATCTAGATTTACTTACTTTTTAAACATAATAATCCTTGCATTGGATACAGTGCCTTATAACATCCTCAGGACATCTCAAAGTACTTCAAATAATATACTTTAAAGTGAATTGACTGAATATTCCATGGGTGAAATGCGGCAGCCAACTGCGCACAGCAATAGTGGTGGATTGAGTGACCAAAACATTTCAGAACATTTATTATGGCAGTTGGCAATCTGTTGAATTCAGATTTTATTTTAAATTTGTTCTTTTTTAATGTAATTCATAAAGGAACGTTAGAGCTTCAGAATTAAAGGTGTGTTTAAGAGGCTGCCGCGTTTTATCCACAAAATATACAGTCAATTTACTTTACAGTATATTATGTGAAGCGTTTTGAGACATCTCAATGACATAATAAGGCGCTATATATCAAATGCAAGGATTATTATTATAACTTGGAAGAAACTTAACGCTCCTCATTCTCTTTCAGCTCCTGGAGAGTTTGAAAAGAGTAAACTTCACTCTTCACAACAGAACAATTAACTTTGACGCAAATGGGAACTTGCGGACAGGATACAATATCATCATCTGGGAAAACAAAAGTTCAATTGATCCCTTCAGAGTGATCGGGTCCTACACCCCTAACCCAGGACGTGTGGTCATCAACCAGCCCTTTAACACCTGGGCGCCTGGTCTAAAGAAGGTACATTTCACATTACTCCTTCCACAGACAGACACGGAAACACGCAGACACACGCTGGTAAGCACAGTCACGTGCATCCAGACACGCACCCATACACAGGACAGAATATCAGACCCACTCCCTCAGGTAGATTATCTGCATCTCACAGCCTGGCCTGATGCTCCAGTCTAGTACTGGGGGAAGAATTGCATTGTTGTAGTGGTTGTCTTTCAGATAATAATATTTGCATTTAATGAGATGTTGACATCCCAGCTGCCTGTACCAGGTGCATGTTAAAGTTGCAGTGATAATGTCAAGAAGAAAGTCATTGAGATTTGCCTGCTGTCCTTCCCTTATCCAAATGCATCAGGAAAAGACAGATCAATTTTTTTCCCCCCTCTTCATCTCATCATTGGGCGATGATAATCACCACAGAAATAATCACCATAAGGCACTGGATGGAATGGGTTAATTAGTATTATATTTGATAACTTTTATTGTTCTACCATCTCCTCTAACAGATGCCCACCTCAAAGTGCTCCAGTGAGTGTGAGCCGGGTCAGAGGAAGAATCTGGATGGTTTCCACCACTGTTGTTTCAAGTGTACAGATTGCCCAAAGAACACCTTCGAAAGCAACCACGGTTTGTGTCTCCTCATCTCCTCCACAAGCTACAGATTATTCAGAACTCTGCAGCTCATGTCCTCTCCAGCGCTAGGTTCTGGGAACCCAAATCCCCCCATCCTTGCATTTAATAGCTTTACAGGTTTTACGAATAGCGGATGCACATCTTCGATTGTCCAGCGCTTTGGGATGTCCTCCCGACATGAAAAGCGTATACAAATGTAATTTGTTGTTGTTGTTGTGTCAAACTGCTGAGTCGGCAACGCTCTTGTTTCTGGGTCACAAAGTGCTGGGTTCAGGCTGAGATTCCAAGGTGCCCACCCTGCGTTTGGGCTCTAGTGAGATTCTGAATAACAGCGGCGGCCTGTGTCTCAGTCTTTCTTTCCTTTCTGTACCTATCTGAGGCCCAGATAAAGTGGGATTGGGGGGATGAGTGGTGGTGAGGGAAAAGGAGTATCCCAGCAGGAGTGGTCACTGGTCTGAGTTAGAGCTCACGGTATGTTCTTGTCTTCTCCAGGCCGTTTGCTCTAGTGCCTCGTTGCTCTTTGTTTTACAGATTGCGTAGAGTGCTTCAAGTGGCAATGGGCTCCCTCGAAGAGCAGTGTGTGTTACAACAAGACCATAGTCTACCTGCGTTGGGAGGATGGCATCTCCATTGCCCTGTGCGCCATGGCGGGCGCTGGGATCCTGGCCAAAGCAACCATCACTGTTATTTTCATAGTTAATCTGAAGACCCCAATAGTGAAGGCGGCTGGGGGGAAGCTGTGCTTTGTCATGTTGCTGGCGTTGGTCAGTGGCTCCTCCTGTGTCTTGCCTTCATTGGGTTACCCAGTGAGTTGGTCTGTAAGGTGCGACAGCCGGTGTTTGCTGTGAGCTTCACCGTCTTCCTCTCCTGTATCCTGGTCAGATCTTTCCAGCTGGCGTGCATTTTCAAAATGGCCTCCAGGCTGCCCAAAGCGTATGCCTATTGGATAAAGTACAATGGCCAATATGTCTTTGTGCTGCTCAGCACCATGGTGTCTGTTTTTCACTCTCTTATGCTGCTTATCAACCACCCTTCGAGTTTCATGAGGAGAGACAGCCTCTCTGATTTAGAGTTAATCCTGCATTGTAACAGTGACCTGTTTATTGTCTTCCTTAAAAGCTATATTTACAACATTCTGCTCAGCTTGCTCTGTTTCCTCTTTGCTTTCCTGGGAAAAGATTTGCCCAAAAACTACAACGAGGGCAAATGGATTTCACAAAGTATGGTTGTCTTCATCTTCTCCTGGTCCCTGTTTGCACTCATTTCTTTCTCCGCATCGCAGAGGTATATCCCCATTATTCAGGCAGTTGTCATCCTCAGCAGCTCCTACGGAATTGTTGGAATGTATTTCATTCCCAAATGCTACATCATTCTGTTCAAGCCGCAGCAAAACACCAACGCCTACTTCCAGATGTGTATCCAGGAGTACACAAAGCGTAGATCTACCTAGCGACCCCAGCTAACGGGCGGGAGGGTCTGGAGTGCCATGCTGTTGTTGCCTGTCACAATCCGCCAGTTCTCCACTCCTTAAAAATCCACACCCAATTCGACCCACTTTTAATTAACGGAATGGTCGGCTGGTTTTGCTCGGGTGTTCCGCTCCAGTTAACGATACCCATAGAGGCGGTGAAGGTAGATTTTATCAGCAAATTCAGGCAGAAGCGACTTGACAAAAAAGTTGACAAGGGAGAGAATTGTTGTGTAGACAGATCACGTTGATGTTCCTAAACAGACTAGTAGAAAATTAAATTGTAGCATTTGAGCTCAGTCAGCTATTGTGTGCGACCTGTTATAAAATCTTGGATGTTTTAATCGCTTCAATAAAGCTTTTTTGGGGGGCATGTGAATGTGGTTGGAATGGGTCGAGAGGTGTGAGAGCACGAATCCAAACACTCCGGAGCACTCAGCCTTGACTGTCCCAATATCGATCGGTCATCGGGTCATTGATAACTCTGTTCCTGTTGGGATTATTAAGTTCCAAGAAAATAATGTAATAATACCCCCTCTCTCACCACAAGGCGACGCTGTCCAATGGCATTTCCTTCTCTGAGCCAGACCTTGGGTGGCAGTGCAGTATCTTGCCGCAAGATGTCGCTGTGCACAAGCATTCCGGAACCTGTGCAGTGTGTAGCAACAGTGCAATTAATTGACCAAAATACATCACAAGGTCCTACTGATAGTCCTGAACTGATATTTATCTGGAGGATTTTGGCCTTAATTTCTCTTTTCCAATAGCGTCATAGGTCTCATCCAAAGGACAGCACCTCCACTAATGCGATGCTTCCCCCAGCACTGCTTTTCAGCATCAGCCCGAGCCAATAGCTCAAACGATTAATAATAATCCTCGCATTTGATTTAGCGCCTTATAACGTCTTTGAGACGTCTCAAAGCACTTCACAGAATATACTGTAAAGTGAATTGACTGTATATTTTGTGGGCGAAACACAGCAGCCAAGTGCGCACAGCAGCGTCCCACAAACCGTTGTGGATTGAAGTGAGCAATTTATTATTATAATTTTTTGGAAGGAGTTATTACCCCTGGAAAAGCGATCTGCCAATCGGCTAACAACTGAGTTTCTACTTAGTACTAGGTAAACAGAGGCATATGGAGTAAGGAAACTTGCCCAACATTTCGTCCTGCCGAGAATCAAATTCATGTTTCTTCACTTGCAAAGCGAGTGCTCTAACCACTGAGCTACAGTTCTCTACGGATTAATTCAAACCCAGATGTGGAGGTTGCACCTACAATGGTCTGACAGGCTAAAACCCTGGTCCGTTGGGTTTTCTCCCCTGAATGATGCTAAGTTCTATCTCAAGAGTGCTGACAGCAGTCTGATCTAGTGAGCATCAATCATAAATAATAGTTTGCATTTGATACAATGTCCAGCCAGCTGTGATTATAAGGTTTTTATTTGTAAAATAAGTTAAATTTTCATAAATACATTTTAAAAATCTTTATTACAAGTAAATCATTTTATGTCTGTACAGTAGAGCAGGGGTGGAGGAAAGGTCCCGTGAATTAATCTGTGTGCTCGCTCTCCTCGTCTTCCTCGCTCTCCTCATTGCTGTCAGACTCCTCGTAGAAGGAGATGGTTGCCTGGGCAGGGTAATTGGCCAGCAAATTGGCGGCATCTTCATACATATAATCAAAGCACTTTGATTTCGGCCAAAGGATTCTGCAGGAAAACAGTTCACATTAAAAATCCAGCAAGCAACTGATAACTAGCATAGAACTTCACACTACAGGAGGAAGCCATTCAATGCATCTTGCCAGCTCTCTGAGCGAGCTCTCCATTCAGACCCTCCCTCCCCTTTCATCCCCTTTTGTATTTTTCCTTTACAAATATTTGTCTGATTCCACACACAATCTATTATAGACTCCGCGCTGAGATCTGGTTTGGGTTCCTCACCCACCGCAGTCTCATCATTGTCCATTCACAACATCAACAACAAATTACATTTGGATAGCGACTTTCACATCAGGAGGACGTCCCACAGGATGTAAGTCATCACTTGGTCACTTACTTGACTGGGTGCTGGAATACTGGGCTCTTGTCTGCCTCTGATGAGTGAGGGACATGGTTTCCAAGATAACTGGACATCTGTAATAGTAGAACTTCGAGTTAATAATAATAATAATAATCCTTGCATTTGGTATAGAACCTTATCACGTAGGAAGAACATCTCAAAGCGATTCACAGGATTTTCTGCAAAGTGGAATGACTGTGTTTTTGTAGACAAACGTTAGCAGAATTGTGTACATTAATTTCCCCACACACAGCCATGAACAAATGACTGATTTTATTTGGGGGGGAATGTTGGGCGGGACACCGGGAAAGAGAAACTCCTTCTCTTCGAGTTAAAACTATGGGAACATGGAGTCATTCCGATTGCCCAACCAACAGAAGGATTTTGAGGTGGAGGAGTTTGGAGAGGATGTTCCAGATCCCTGTGGTTAGTGATAAAAAGCTGCCAACGATGGGTGGAGGAGGGGACAGACGTGGGGGAGGGAGGTGGAAGGCTAAATATTACAGCAACCGAATGATTGTATCAGACTTACTGCTGAGAGTTGGCTGCGAGGTCCTCTTTCAGTGTCTTGGAGTGAGTTCAGCCACGGTCTCCACATGTCACCAGGAGCCCTGCAGACAGTAACAGGAAAAGTCAAGGTTAAGAAGATCCCAAACGCCACAACCAGCCTGAGCACTGAAATCTCTCACTCTGCTGTCTTGTCAATCACAGTCATTTAGTCGAGCTCTTGTTGTGGAGTCAGAACACTCTGGGGTTGACCTCTAAATTGGGATTGGAATTCATGGCCATTCCAGGTGATTCCTTCCAATGAGACATTAAATTGTGAACCTGTCTGCCCACTAAGGCAGACATCAGATCCCGCAACACTATTTGGAAGGAGAAAGGATGTTTCTCCTGCCCCCAACCCCCTCCTACTTCCTCTGCTTGTCAAACCACAAACAACAGTTTAATCACTGTCGTCATTCAGTCCTGACTGGCATGGATTAACCATTGCATTGTCTTATAATATTGTAAATAACTGTGTGTGAGACGCTGTGAGATGTTTTTAACGGCTTAAGACCCTGGATCAAGCACAAGTATGTCCGTAATTACTTGCTCGTGGGCTGACACACAATTACAGCCAAGCCCTGCATCACCCACCAAATATACAGTCAGTTCACTTTACAGTATACTCTGTAAAGCGCTTTGAGACGTCTCAATGACTTAATAAAGCGCTATATCAAATGCAACGATTATTATCATTATTTCTTTTGAATCGTCTCAAGGGACTGTCGACGTCCACCCGAACAGGCGGAGAGGACCTCAGTTTAACTTCTCATCTGAAGTGTATGCGCTGTAACAACAGTGACTGATTTCAATACAGATGGCATTGCCGCAACTTCTACAGAGTGTCTGGAGAGGAAATGAAACATTGGTAACTGATAGTCACGATTGATGCCCATGCGGAGAGCAAAGGTCTCACCTTGCGCTGGTTGCCGGATGACTTGTATGCACTCTGCATTGACATTGCAGGTCGTGACAGACTGGGGCGATGGGTGCTGTCCATCGAGCTCTCTGCATTTCACATGAAGGGTCCATCTCTCCTTTGCTGGTGATAGCTGTGATCTTGCTTCTGGAAGTCTGTGTTAAGCTGCACTCAAGTCGCTTCCTCCTTCAATCTACTCAGTTCTCTGCTTCTCTCTTTTTATTCTCTCTCAGCTCACTGGCACCCTTTCCCCCCCCACGCTGCTCCCTGCACTCGGATTGGCTGCTGACCAGCTGGAATGCTGCATTGGCACCGAGATGTAAACACTGGAGCCAAATGCAGCTGTGAGCACAGACACGGGCACTTCCAACACCTACGCCATAGTGGCACAGCAAGAGGCCAAGTGTCAGGAACAACACTGACCAGTTAACTGCTGCAAGTGACCGCAGGCTGGAGCTCAGTAACACACCTCCACACACTTCTCAGCTGCCACACACTGCTCCAGCCCTTCACACCAGGGCAAATGCTGTGTGCAATTGGCTGTCGCCTTTCGCCCCAAAAATCACAGTCGTGTTGGGTTCTCTGTAATTTACACCGAGACCAGACTATGTTTCATTCGAAAGGGTTTTTATTTTAACCTGATATAACTATCCAATGGAAATCTTAATGCAGCAGTTACAAAAATGCAGGACAACACAAATAATAAAGAAATACCACTCGCCATTCCTGGGAGCTGGCCAGGAGACACGGCATGTTCTCATCTCTCAATAACTCCTATTTGGTTTCTCAAACTTTTTATCCCCTGCTATCTTAACTTTAGCAATCTTAAACTTAAACCTTTAAACTTCTTTCCCATTGTCACAGCCAAGATAATAGCGTTATCCTGACTGAGAATGTTAAACAATAAGTGGCCACAAGTATCTCCTGTTTCTCTTTGTTTCAAGAAGCGTTCTCAGACCGACAAGGTTCCAATGCGGTCTTTCAATCCAAATGTCTGTTAATCATTTAGTCTTTTAACTAACCTTAGACAATGGCTAAGGTTAGTTAATCACCTTAGCCATTGTCCTTTTTTTCCCAGACCACATTAACTCATTCATTTATAATTATATTAATCCTTGGCTTTGACACAGCACTCCCCCACATCCTCCAGACGTCTCAAAGCGCCCCCAGAATATACTGTAAAGTGAACCGACCGCAGGCCACGCAGCCGAAACCTTTACAGCCCAACAGTGAATTTGTCTAAGTGGCATGATACGGCGCTGTATCAAATGCAAAGATTATAATTGTAACCTCACTTGTCACAGCCCTAAGACGCGCACTACAGAGTGAATTCAGTCATATCTCCACTCAGAGGCTGGCGGGTGAGGGGGGCATAGTGAGGTTTTTACAATTATGAAAGTTCTTGAGGGGGTAAAGGAGAAAGATCACTAAAAAATGAGACGATAACGAGAGTTTGA